CAGCCTTGCATTTACTAGGCAGAAAATCTATTAGTTGAGCCACGCCTCCAGCTTCTCTGGAGATCTCACACCTGTAATCGTAGCTACTCAGGAGGCTGATTTGAGGACTGCAGATCAAAGCCAACCAGGACAGTAAAGTATGTAAGACTTCTCTCCAACTAACTACCAAAAAGCTACAAGTGGAGCTGGGGCTCAAGTAGAGGGCCAGCCTTCGACAAAATTTCAGGAAAAGGGCCTAGGCTCTGAATTCAAACCTCACAACCGACCCCCCATCCCCACGCCCCCCAAAAACACCACACGTGGAAATGGAGCACAACTCAAGTGTAAGGCTGGCGGGGACAATGTACATGGTCCCTCAGGGACCATGTACATGGCCTAAGTTCTGTTATGCCTAGGTCGCAGGACCCCCTCCCCCTTCCCCTCCCCCCCCCCCCAGAAGGCCACCGAGAGTCAGACTCTACAGCTGTTTTATTTCAAACAGGCTGCAGCAACACAGCGGAGCCTAGGAGGAGAGCCCCGACGCGAAGGATTTGCAGGTCTTATATAGGCACACAATCAACCAGGTGTTTTGATTACCACCACGTGTTGCTTTGTTGTGGTGGTCACTGCCTCAAACTTTAACCTTTCAGTTCAAGTCCCAAAACGGACTCAGAAAAAGCAAAGAATAACTATGTTGTAGAAAGGTTTCTACAAAATACCCCTCTCAGCAAAAAAGTTTGGTCAACTGCTGGGCTTGCTGGCATACCCCTGGTGATATGAGATACATAAAGTGTTCTGGGGGGAAATGGCCGATACTTTGCCAACAGACATTTCAGAAACCCAGTTTTATGTTGTATACAGGAATAGTTTCCCACATGACAGAAAAAACAAGGTGCTATGGGGAGGGCAGTTTGGAGGTCATGCACATGATTGTCTGTTATAACAGGACTTGAACTTAGGGATTTGCACTCTAATTTGGCTTCTAACACTCAAGGCTGGTGCTTTATCACTTGAGCCAAACTTCCACTTTAGACTTTTATAAAGAGTTTTTGTTTTTTTTTTGGGGGGGGGGGGGGTGGTTCAGTACTGGGGCTTGAACTCTGGACCTGGGCACTGTCCCTCAGCTCTTCAGCTCAAGGCTAGCACTCTACCATTTAAGACACAGCACCACTTCCGGATTTATGGTGGTTGACTGGAGAGGAGTCTCACAGACTTTCCTGCCTGGGCTGGCTTTGGACGGTGATCCTCAGAACTCATTCCTCTCTGTGTAGCTAGGATTACAGATGTGAGCCACCAGTGACTGACTTTCTGGCTCTTTCCCTTTCCTCCCCCTTCTCGCCCAACTCCAGGGCTTGAACTCTGGGCCTGTGCCCTGTCCCTCAGCTCTTCAGCTCAAGGCTAGAGCTCTACCACTTGAGGCACAGCACCACTTCTGATTTTCTTGCTGGTTAATTGGAGATAAGAGTCTCACGGAAGGGCTGGGAAAGTGGCTCAGTGGTAGAGCGCTTGCCTTGCATCCATGAGGCCTTGGGTTCAATTCCTTAGCACCATATAAGCAGAAACGGCCGGAAGTGGTGCTGTGACTCAATTGGTAGAGCGCTAGCCTTGAGCTCAAGAGCTGAGGGACAGCGCCCAGGCCCAGAATTCAGGCCCCATGACCGGACCCCAAAAAAAGAGTCTCACAGACTTTCCTGCCAGGTCTTTGCTCTGAACCATGATCCTAAGATCTCAGCCCCTCTCCCTCTCCCCCCCCCCCCCCAGTAGCTAGGACTACAAGCATAAGCCACCAGTGCCTGGCTCTGGATCTTTTTTATTGTAAATTGAATATGAGTCTTACAGGAGACTTTTTTGACCAAATTGGCAGTCAAACTGCAATCCTCATATCTCAGACCAAGTAGCTAGTAGTATACACATGAGCCATTGGTGCCAGACTATGGTTGGTTCTTATATATATATAAATGCATTACAGCCTAGTGCAGGTGGCTCACACCTGTAATCTTAGGTACTCAGGCGGCTGAGGATCCCAGTTCAAAGCCAGCAAGGGCAGGAAAGTCCATGAGACTCTCATTTCCAATTAAACACCAGAAAACCAGGAGTTACGCTGTGACTCAAAAGTAGTAAAGCACTAGCCTTGAGGCTGAAGAGTTGACCCCCCCACAAAAAATTCATTACATAAGGGATGAAAAAACAAAAAGCAAGCAATATTTCAAATGTATAAGGAAGTCACTTCTTATTCTTGCAAAATCAAAATTTATTCATAAGAATTTAGTAAAATTTAATTCTTCCAGTTATATCTTTTTGTGAAAAATATAGACTACACATTAAAACAGCTACCAGTTAACTGAACAAAAATAACTTCAGGCTGGAAGGAGGCTTAGTGGTAGAGTGCTAGCTTGAGCAAAAAAAGCTTAGGGACAGTGCCCAAGCCCTGAGTTCAAACTCTGGACTGCCCCCCCACCCCCAAAAAACCCTTCAGTTTTCAGTCACTTAAAAAGGACACAATAAACAGTATAAAATAACTTTTATTTACATAATTTATACCTATAGAACATAACTGCTTTCTTTAGAACAAGAAAATTTACAATGACATATTGCTTCTTTTGTCAAAGATGTCTTCAAGCAAACTATTAATATACATGGCCATTTCTAGTTAATAAGGTGGTAAACAGTAGATACAAATCTTTTCATCTGTGCATCAATCACTTATCAACAATTATGAACTTCTAAACCATTGTACTGGTCACTTGCTAAGATCTAAGTGTTCAGGAGGGAAGGACAAAAAAAGATGAAGACTTTAAATCACATCTCTTTAAGACTTATAAAATAAATTCGTTGCAACATCTGCCTTACATCAATTGGACTTAACAGACTTTTCTACCTGGCAAGGTAGCTTCTCTTTCTCACAAGATCTGTTTTATGGATCTAACAATAGGAAAATCTATTGACTAACTGATTCTCCACACATTGAATGGCCTTGTATTTTTTATACAGTAAGAAATTGCATCTTCCAGAAAATTGGTTTATTGTATATGAACAAGAGACACAAGTTAACAAAGATAAGAAATAAATACTATAAAGGGATAAACAAGTCATAACAACCTAATATTAAACTAACATTACTAATATAATTAATAAGAACATGAAGTTTTTTTAATTTAACAAAACAGTATTAAAATAGCAAGGTGATTTACTATCATGATTTTTGTGACAGAAGTCATATGAGATAAATGTAAATTTATAATTTCCACTCAGATTTATGTTTCCCCTTCATGACCAAAAAACAACAAAACAAAACAAAACAAAACACCTATATTTCACTAGAAGGCAATCAATACGAAATGCTCTAATCCCAGATTTCAACAAATTACCATCACTATTATACCTGCTGAGCCATATCCCCTTTTATTAAAGAACTTGAAAACTGGCCACCACTTTTTCAATATACAAACACTAAAATTATCTAGAGTTTAAAATGTTTTCCCAATTGAAATACTGATGGTTTCATAATACGCAGTTTTTAGGCACACCTGAAAGCTTCCATGACAAGTACTCATAAAAAAAAGACATCAGCACCTTGAGGTAAAAAACTACTGTTAAAGGTAGGAATCAAATTCAACCTACAACCCAGGTGTCACTCTTCAAGGACGTACTCTGACTGCTCTCACATGTGACTAAAGGACTGTCCCAGCAGTAGATTACTGGGTCTACTATCCCAAAGAATGTTTCAGAAAAAAAAGTATCCAACTCCCAAACTAATTTATCAAAGGATTTTTGAACTAAAATCAAAATAAATATGCTCTTTGAGAAATTTTCATTTGAACTGAAAATTTTACTTGGGCAAATGTCATACATCTATATGTACACACATAGATTATATATGTAAATCAGCAAATCTCAAAATTACTAAACCCTTGAACTCATACTAATGATAATCACTGACATTATAAAGTCTTTTTTGTTTTTTTTTTTTTTTGGTGCCAGCCCTGGGGCTTGAACTCAGAACCCGAGCACAGTCCCTGAGCTTTTGTGCTCAAGGCTAGCACTCTAGCACTTGAGCCACAGCTCCACTTCTAGCTTTTTGTTGGTTTAATTGGAGATAAGAGTCTCACAGACTTTCCTGCCTGGGCTGGCTTCAAACCATGATCCTCAGATCTCAGCATCCTGAGTAGCTAGGGTTATAGGTGTGAGCCACCAGCACCTGGCTCATTTTAATTATCTTTAAAATTAAAGGAAAAGGAGACAGACATAAATTTGTTAATACTTCTTTACCAACAATCAGAGGTGAAAATTAAAACATCCTTTAAAATAAGAAAAATTTAAATAAATATAGCTCTTTGATGTGCTATCTTTATAAATAAATTTAAGTACTACCTCTCCAGTTAGTAATGTTATATTACCAGGAATTAGAAAAATACACAAATATCAGATAACAGGAAAGTTTCTAACTTTACCATGCTAAAATGGAGTTTCAATCTGCTTTTCTGTCAGTACAGACAACTTAAAAGGCCTTCAAAATATCTCCAGAAAGCAAATTACTGGGATGTAGCTCAGTGGCAAAGCGCTTGCCTAACAAGTGCAACGTCCTGGGTTCGATCCCCAGTACCAAAAAAAAGAAAGACCAAAACAAACAAAAACAAAAACACTTTACAAAAGAAGTTCACTATACGTTAAATACAATCAAAAGCCAAATATGTCAGGGCTGTGATGTATACACTTATTCACAACATTCCCATAGGTCCATATGCTCCATAGGAAGAGTCAAAATGTAAACAAGAGTTGCTATTTCTGTCTAAAAAAGCAGTCTTTGTCTTTCTTTCTTTTTTGCTTTTCCTTTTTTTTTTTTTTTCATTTTTTGGTGCTGGTCCTGAGGCTTGAATTCTGGGCCCGGGCACTGTCCCTGAGCTTTTTCTGCTCAAGGCTAGCCTCTACCACTTGAGCCACAGCTCCACTTTTGGCTTTTTTGGTGCTTAATTGGAGATAAAGAATCTCACTTTCCTGCCCAGGCTGGCTTTGAACTGTGATCCTCAAATCGCAGCCTCCTGAGTAGCTAGGATTACAGGCATGAGCCACCTGTGCCCGGCAAAAACAGCCGTCTTCATTACTTGCTAATTTCCAAAATGCTGAATCAATCAAAATAAACTTCAGCAATATTTTTCAATGATTACAAAAGCTTCCAATGAAGCTTATTAAATATTCAAAATTGACCTAAGTTAAAATAGACAATGATATGTTTTTCTCAATACTGCATTAATATTGACTTTAAAACTCCCAAGCTTAAAAAAGAAAGAAAAAACAAAAACAATTATTTTATACTATTTCATCCATTTCAATGAATATATCACCAAAGAAATATTCAGAGACTGTGGGTGGCTCATCTTCAGGTGCCCGGTTTTGGCCACTTTTACATTCTCCTTTTAGTGAGGGTTGATCACTACAAACCTAAAAAGGTAACAAAAATAAATATTGTATAAATATTGATGTAACTATTACTAGTGAGGGCTAGAGCTGTAGCACAGTAGTATATGATTGCCTACCATGCCCCGAGTTTAATCCCTAGCCCTAGAGGGAAAAAAGTATATAATCCTAAACACAGTAAAATTTCAAGAATAATTGTAGCATTAATTACTATAATAAAATTGGATGCAATCTAAATACATTACACTACATGTCACTCAGTGTTATAGCATAGGTATGATAACTTACTTCACCTTAATTCCAATTAATTTTTTGAAATATACAAAAATAAAAACTGTGTATGTGTAAATACTAGACAAGAGTCCTGGGACTTGAACTGATTACACTTCTTTTATTATTATCTTGAAGAGGGTACACAAAGGAGTTCTTAAATAACAAATGAATATAACAGATCTTAATCAGTGTCACCCCTTTCAATATTCACCTGACTGCACTCTGGCTTTTCTAGTCAAAGCCAGAGCTCTAATACTTGAGCCATACTTCTACTTCCAGCTTTTTAGTGGTTAACTGGAGATAAGAATCTCATGGACTTTTCTGCACTGGTTTTGAACCTCGATCCTCAGATCTCAGCCTCCTAAGCAGCTAGAATTATAAGTCTGAGCCACTGTTACCCAGCTAACACATTCTTAAATCTATAAAATTAAAACACTTAATCTGGAAGAAAAAGTGACACATGAGACAAAATAAGGTTCCAAACAAAGAGCATAAATCAAAGAGATATTATATTAAAGATTATCACATTCATAAATCTGAAAAAAGAAAAATTGCTGGTGTTGTGGCTCAAGTGATAAAGATTCAACTAGTAAGTATGAGGATCTGAATTCAAACAACAGTACCATCAAGAGAAAAAAATTAAGATAGCTAATTACCGACATAGGAACAAGCATAAAGCTACAAACACTCTGTTACATGTTAAATCAAATCAACAATGAGTAAAAATAATTATTCAAGGGGCTGGGAAGGTGGCTCAGTGGTAGAGCGCTTGCCTTGCATGCATGAGGCCCTAGGTTCGATTCCTCAGCACCACATAAGCAAAAAGAAAAAAAAAAGCCAGAAGTGGTGCTGTGGCTCAAGTGGTAGAGTACTAGCCTTGAGCTGAAGAGCTGAGGGACAGCGCCCAGGCCCAGAGTTCAGGCCCCACGACCAGACCGCCCAAAAAAATTATTATTCAATAAATGATATAGGACAATTGCATAAACTTTCTAAAAAAAAAAGTCAGACCTATATTCCATCAAAATAAATACTAAATGAATCAAAGACTTAAATGACATTAAAACAGCTAAACCAACTATAATGTATAATCCTGGGTGAGGAGGAGTAGGTATCTTTTCAAAAGACCTGAAATCAGAAGCCATCTGATTGCTAAATTCACCTAAATAAAAACAAAAACTCTCTGCATAGCAAAAACAACCATAAAGTCAAAAAAAATGTTTGGGATAAAAGCTGTAACCTGTATCAGAAGTGGGTTTTTTTTTTTCCCTACCTTTAATGAGTACTTCTACAAAACAAAAAGTTATGTGCTCATTAAAAAAGTCTGTAAGGGGCTGGGAAGGTGGCTCCTTGCCTTGTATGCATAAGGCCCGGGTTCGATTCCCCAGCACCACATAAGCAAAAAGAAAAAAGCCGGAAGTGGCACTGTGGCTCAAGTGGTAGAGCGCTAGCCTTGAGCTGAAGAGCTGAGGGACAACGCCCAGGCCCAGAGTTCAGGCCCCACGACTGGACCCAAAAAAAAAAAAAAAAGTCTAAAAGGACTCAAAAGTAAAAAGAATTGTTAACATATTAGTGTGAGAAAAAAGATGCTAAGAATAGAAACTGATACATTTTCTCTTGAAAATAATCAGGCAGTACTCACCTAAAGAATAATCACTGCTTTGCACTAAGCAATTCTATTTCTAGGACTATGCATATATGTGCAAAATGACTCATTTTTAAGATAACTATTAACATTTTGTCATTGCTTTTCAGCGCCTCATGTTGGTCAAATGCTCTACTATTATAGCCATTCCCTGAGTACTAATAAAACTTTACATCAACTCTGGATCAAACTGCGGGGCTCAAGCATGCAAAGCAAGCTTTCAATCACTGAGCTACATTATCACCTACACCTCCAGACTAACACATTGCTTCAAATAGTATATAGACAACCTAAATGCCTATGCATATAAGACAAATATTACTAGATGGTACAACCAAATAATGAAATACTATATAGTAATTAAAGCAATCTAGGCTAGCCAGGAGCTGGTAGCTCATGCCTGTAATCCTACCTATTCCAGAGGCTGAGATCAGAGGATCATGGTTCAAAGCCAGCCTGGGCAAGAAAATCTATTTAGACTCTTTTTTTTTTTTTGGGTCCGGTCGTGGGGCTTGGGCACTGTCACTCAGCTCTTCAGCTCAAGGCTAGCATTCTACCACTTGAGCCACAGCACCACTTCCGGCTTTTTTTTTTCTTTTGCTTATGTGGTGCTGAGGAATCGAACTCAGGGCCTTAGGCATGCAAGGCAAGTGCTCTACCACTGAGCCACTTTCTCAGCCCCTCTATTTAGACTCTTACATACAATTAACCAAAAGAAAAACAGAAGTGGTGTTACGGCTCAAAATGGTAATGTTATCTGTGAGCAAAAGAGCTCAGGGACAGCACTCAAGCCCCAGGACTGACAAAAATAACAACAAAAAAAGAAAACAAAAACAAAAACAATGAGTCTAGGTATTGTGGTATAGGCCTGTAATCCCAGCACTAAAAAGAAGGCTCTACAGCCGGGAGCCGGTGGCTCACACCTGTAATCCTAGCTATTCAGGAGGCTGGGATCTGAGGATCACGGTTCAAAGCCAGCCCGGGCAGGAAAGACCGTGAGACTCCTATCTACAATAAACTAAAAAACTGAAAGTGGCTGTAGCTCAAGTGGTAGAGCGCTCGCCTTGAGCTGAAGAGCTGAGGGACAATGCCCAGGCCCAGAGTTCAAGCCCCATGACCAACAAAAAAAAAAAAAAGAAGGCTCTCCAGTTAGAGGCCACCCTGGCCTAAAATGACATTCCTTCAAAAACAAAAAACAAAAAGAAACAACAAAAGTAACAATGATACTCTTGGACACGTATTCTCTGTGTGTGTAACCTATATAAGGCTTAAGAGCAGCTTTAGTCATGGACACGTTGTGTGTGTGTGCGTGTGCGTGTGTGAGTGTGTGTGTGTGGACACGTAGTGTGTGTGTGTGTTTAACCTATATAAGGCTTAAGAGCAGTTTTAGTCATGATAGCCAAAAACTGAAAGAAACAGATGTCTTTCAAAAGAAAAAGAAATAAATAAAACTGTAGCATAATGGTGCCATGAAATACTACTCACTAACAAAAGGCAAAAAACTACTGTCAGCAGAGGAAGGAGTATCACCAGTCTAGGCCAGAGTGGAATAGTTAGACCCTGTTGCAAAAACAAACAAGCCAGCCATGTGCTGGTGGTTCCTACCTACTCAGGAGGCTCAGATATGAGGATCATGGTTCAAAGCCAAGCCCCACCAAAAAAAAAAAAAAAAACAAGCCATGCGCTGGTGGCTCACATCTGTAATCCTAGCTACTCAGGGGATCAAAAAGCTGAAAGTGGGGCTGTGGCTCAAGTGTTAGAGCCACAGCCTTGGGAAAAAGCTAAGGAATAGCATGCAGGCCCTGGGATTAAGCCCTAGTATTGACACATATACACAAAACCCCAAACTGATTTTGAAGGTCTTGCTCTGTAGCCCAAGGTGGCCTCAAATTCAGATCCTCAGGTCATTCATCAGTGGCTCAGGCCTATAATCCTAGCTTCTCAGGAAGTTGAGATCTAAGGATCATAATTCAAAGCCAGCTCAAACAAAAAGTCTATGAGACTCTTGTCTCCAATTAAAGACAAAAAAAGCCAGGAATAGAGCAGTGGCTCAAGTGGTAGAGTCCTAGCCGTGAACAAAAAGCTCAAGAACAATGCCCAAGCCCTGGGTTCAAGCCCCAGCACCAAAAAAAGTAAAAACAAAAAACACTCATATCTTCCTGACAGCCTTCCAATTTCTGGGCTCACGTGCCACCAAATCTGGCTAAAAGAAAACCTTAAATCACAAGCTATAAATAAACAATAAATCAATAAAAATATATGAACAAAAAACACAAAGGAAACATATAAAAGACAAAGTGCAGAATAAGCAAATTAAACCAATGAAATATCATTTATACTCCTCTACCATTGTATCTGATAGAAAACAGAATTATCTTGAAACACTTCAGACATGGATATAATTAATCTGGCACTGCCATACTACTGGTAACTACAGCTATTCTGCAACATAATTAGGAAATGATAGGTCATAAATACAGGTTCACAGCTTAGTATTTGCCTTTAGTGCATAGAAGTGAGAAACACACAAATCCTAGTTTTATGGCTCCTGAATTCTTAATAGGACATTTTCTTAATGCAAATAAAATGCAAACAGTGCTTCATTTTGCTTCCATGAGTCAGATGACTCTTTGCATTGAAGGGGCAGCAATTAAGTGTCCATTGATGGCTAGTTCAGTAGCTCTGCAGTAAGCTAGCTCTACCTTCCTAACTCAATACAGCACCTTTATTTTCTTCTGACTGGAGTTTTGATAAGGAAGAAATACAAGTGGCTATGAAATAATTTCTGATATCCAAATGAAAATAAAATTATCAGGTTTTCTCTAGGTGCGTAAGATATCCAACTCATTTTAGCAATCAAACTTATGAGTTGCCACCTACCTGAGTTGTTGAATTGCCAGTATTCTGGGACTGAGTATTAACAGTTGGAAGCACATCAGAAGATTCTTGCTGTTTTTTCTGGCCTTCTGTAAGGACAGTCGATCTTTTCAAATTTCGTCTTGATACAGGTATAATAGGTTTTAGGCGCTTCTTACTATGGACCTGAGTAGGTTCATCAGACTCCACACTATTCTTTGGACATATTAAAGATAAAAATCCCAGGGGTCTTCTACCAGGTCTAGAAATACAAACATAAAAATATTCAAGAAATCCAGTAAAGACATTTTCTTTCTTTCCTTCCTTCCTTCTTCCCTCCCTCCCTCCCTTTCCCTTCCCTTTCTTCCTTTTTTTGACAGAGGATCTCATTATGGGAACTGGAGGTATAGTTCCAAGTGGAAGAAGGCCAGTCTTGAGCAAAAAAAGCAGAGAGAACAACAAACTCACAATCCTGTCTTAGCCGAGACTAGAGGAATATATCAACATGCATAACAAGTGTATGTACATGTATGCATGTGCACACATATATGCATGCACCAGTACTGGGGCTGGAATTCAGTGGCTAGGCACTATCCCTTAGCCTTTTTTGCTCAAGGCTTTTTGCTGAATGTAAAATAAGAATCTCATGGACTTTCCCACCCAGACTGGCTTTGAATCCTCAGTTCTCAGCCTTCTGAGTAACTTGAATTACAGGAATCAGCCAAAATATATACTATCTTATTTCAATAATGCTAAAATGGCCCAGTCTGCTAACTAGTGATGCCAGTATACCATAATTTGTATTTATAACAGGATCAAAGCTTATATTACAGTAGTACTTCTCAAACTTAAAAGTACACAAAACAGGGCTGGGAAGGTGGCTCAGTGGTAGAGCGTCTGCCTTGCATGCTCAAGGCCCTGGGTTCGATTCCTCAGCACCACATAAGCAAAAAGGAAAAAGCCGGAAGTGGTGCTGGGGCTCAAGTGGTAGAGTGCTAGCCTTGAGCTAAAGAGCTAAGGGACAGTGCCCAGGCCCAGAGTTCAGGCCAAAAAAAAAAAAAAAAATTACACAAAACAGGCTGGGAAAGTGGCTCAGTGGTAAAGTGCTTGCCTTGGATGCATAAGGCCCTGGGTTCGATTCCTCAGAACCATATAAACAGAAAAAGCCAGAAGTGGTGCTGTGGCTCAAGTGGTAGAGTGTCAGCCTTGAGCTGAAGAGCTGAGGGACAGTGTCCAGGCCCATAGTTCAGGCCCCAAACCAACAAAAAAAGAAAAAGTACACAAAACAGAGTTCCAGTGACTCAGGCTTGTAATTCCAACTAACTAAAGCCTGACGTCAGATCTTAGAAGGCTAAAATCATGGTTCAAAGCCAACCTAAGCCACGTGCCATTGGCTCAGACCTGTAATCCTAGCTACTCAGGAGGTTGAGATCTGAGGATCATGGTTCAAACACAGCAGGGGCAGAAAAGTCTGTGAGACTCTTATCTCCAACTAACCACCAGAAAACCAGAAGTGGAGCTGTGGCTCAAGTGGTAGAGCACTAGCCTTGAGCTGAAGAGCTGAGGGAGAGCACCCAGGCCCAGAGTTCAGGCCCTATGACTGGCAAAAAAAAAAAAAAAAATGCAACCTGAATAGCAAAGTCCAAGAACTCTATTTCCAAAACTTAGAGATGTGCCTCAAGTGGTACAGGAACCAAGCCAAGCAAGCCAAATGAGCCTGCATTTAAACACATTTGTATGTTTGGCAGGACAGGGTGTTTATATAACATCAGAGGATATTACTGAAATGAAAATCACTGAAATGAAATTGGTAGCCAATGTGTCCTGAGTCCCACATATAAACAATTCTCTAATGGTGCCCACATTGCTGGTCCTAGAACCATGGTCTGGGCCCAGAGCGGTGTTCTTCTAGCAAAATTAATGGCCCACACAAATGTAGCCTCTCATCTAATTGTATAAATAAGTTTTATTAGAACACAGTATGGATATCTTTTTACAATTACTTTTCTGCTATAACTATAGGACTGAGTGGCTGCAAGAGAAGTCATATGGCCCACAAAGTCTAAATACGTACTCTAAGACATTTAGCAAAAAATATGTTAGCCTTTCCTCTAAAACACTGCTTTTCAATTTGTTTAATCCAAACCCTTATGCTATTTATTTCCATCATTCTATTTTCAGTACATAAAGACAGTGCTTTATCAAATTTAGATAACCAAAACAACAGACTGATTACACAAAACTGTTTAAGATACACACATCCTTTCCCTTAGTGGATGCTAGGGCAACTCATCATGTTAAAAGTTTTAATGCTATTAATAAGCCAATAATTATTGATAATTCAGAAAATTTGTTTCTTGAGTGTGGAAAAAGTAGACCTCAGGCCCACATTCCATTTATTTGTTTGGAAAGAAAGCTATGGTTTACTTCATTTAGTATGTTTCAAAGGAAGAAAATTATGAATGATTTGGAAATTTAATAAAACTTCCAGAACTGTCTCTGACATCAGCTCTACATTTCACATCATCTACATGTACATTATAGAAACTAATCAAAATAATCACTGGACAATATGCAAAAGAGGATGTCATATCTTCTAAGGATTATCTATCTAAAATAGCCAAAGCTTCAAAACATTTATTTCATAGAATGTGTTTAACTAGAACACTACTGTGTTTTCCTTGCTGAACTGTCTTCCCTATACATTGCTGAGAAGGATATATTTATAAAACACCAATCTCAGTATTGAACTTCTAGATTGTACTTAATGAGTGACTCAGAGGAACACTTATTAAAGCACTTCTCATGATACCTGGTTAGTGGGGCTTTTGAAGGCAATGTTCCTTTATCTATCTGTTCAGATTTAGAACCAGCATTAGATCTTTCTTCTTTATCAGACACAATCATTTCATCTTGAGGCAATTGAACCATGTTCCTTTCTTCACAGAGATCTCTTATATTATCATGAGGAACAGATCCTGTATTCTGAAAAGTTGGATCCAGTTGCTCACTTTGAGGTTCTGGAGTTGTATGTATGCTTTCTGAGGCAGGGAAAATGCCTTGTCTGTTGTAAGACATCCCTTCAATAAAAAGAGCAAATGGTAAACAGGTCATTATATCAAAATTAACACACTCAATTCAACTGCAGTATTTAAAGGAAAAAAAACACAGTATTCATAACAGACCTACTTTACTAAGAGAAACCTAAATTATAATTAGGAGAGTTATTTGGATTAGGAATAGCTAGTTAGGATGCCAGGTGCTGGTGGCTCACACTTGTAATCCTAGCTACTCAGGAGGCTGAGATCTGAGGATCACGGTTCAAAGCCAGCCTGGGCAGGAAACTCTGTGAGACTCTTATCTTCAATAAACCACTAGAAAACCCGAAGTGGCGCTGTGGCTCAAGCAGTAGAGCGCTCACCTTGAGCTGAAGAGCACAGGGACAGCGCACAAGCCCAGAGTTCAAGCCCCACGGAAAAAGAAAGAAAAAGAAAAAAAAGAATAACTAGTTAGGGCTGGGAAGGTGGCTCAGTGGTAGAGTGCTTGCCTTGTATGCATGAGCCCCTGAGTTCGATTCCTCAACACCACATAAGCAGAAAAAGAAAAAAAAGCTGGAAGTGGCGCTATGGCTCAAGTGGTAGAGCACTAGCCTTGAGCTGAAGAGCTGAGGGACAGCGCCCAGGCCTAGAGTTCAGGCCCCATGACCAACCAAAATAATAATTAAAATAAAAAAAACTAGTTAAAAGCTATGATGACAGCTTCTGCACAAGAACAAAATAGTCCTACTTTTGTTTGATATAGAAATGTTCCCTTCCCCCCTAAATATTCCTAAAATAGCAAAATAAAATCATTTCCTTAGCAAAAAAAAAAAAAAAGGGGGGGGTGGGGTTCATTAAAATGGAGAAGCAAAATCAACCCAAAATTACAAGTAATAACTCCTGAGTATTTATGGTATCACAGAAAAGCAAACCCACAGATTCTTTAATACTCATGTCTAACTAAAGACTTCCTTTCCTTAACTAACTGGAAGACTAAGGCCAAAGCAGAAATAATGAGAGATTTATTAAATAAAAATTCACATTTGTAATCTTACTCAGAAGTCTGAGATCTAAGGACTGGAATAAAACCCAGGCATACAAATCTGAGAAAATCTTAGCTTCAATTAGCCAGCTACAAAACTGGCTGGGCACCAGTGGCTCATGCCTATAATTCTAGCTACTTGGGAGGCTGAGATCTGAGAATCTCAGTCCAAAGCCAGCCCCAGGCAGGAAAGTCCATTAGATTCTTTTTTCGTGTTTGTGAGTATGTGTGTGTGTGTTTTGTTTTGTTTTGTTTTGTTTTGGGGAGGGGGGGGGGTCAGTCGTGGGGCCTGAACTCTGGGCCTAGGTGCTGTCCCTCAGCTCTTCAGTTCAAGGCTAGCACTCTACCACTTGAGCCACAGCACCACTTCCAGCTTTTTTTTTTTTTTTTGCTTATATGGTGCTGAGAAATCGAACCCAGGGGCTAATGCATGCAAGGCAAGCACTCTAGCACTGAGCCACCTTCCCAATGCGCCCCCCCCCCCCCAGATTCTTATCTCCAATTAACCACCAGAACACCAGAAGTGGCACTGTGACTCAAAGGGGAGTGCTAGCCTTGAACAAAAAAGCTCAGGGACAATACCCAGGTCTTGAGTTCAAGCCCCATAACCAAAACAAAAAAAAACCAAACAAACAAAAAACCCCTGGTATAAGTTTAAAACAAACTTACAACTTATAATCTATCTATCTATCTATCTATCTATCTATCTATCTATCTATCCATACCTATGGGTCTTACTCCCAGTGATTACTGTGTGTGGTGTATATGTGTATATACTTAAAAAATTATAGCTTAAAAAAATACAGCTCAGCAGTGCAGCAGTTGTCCAGCTATGTGAGGCCCAGGGTTCCATCCAAATTAACTGGAACCATCAGACTCTTCCATTCTATGATTTTTTTTTTTGGTACCTATACTGGGACTTAAACAGAGGAACTTTTACTATAATTGACTTTTTTGGCTCAAGACTGCTATTCAACTACTTTAGCTACATCTCTACTTCCCACTTTTTTTTTTTTCCCCCTTAGTCATGGGGCTTGAACTCTGGGCCTGGGCGCTGTCCCTCAGCTCTTCAGCTCAAGGCTAGCACTCTACCACTTGAGCCACAGCACCACTTCCGGTTTTCTGAGTGGTTTATTGAAAATAAGAGTCTCATGGACTTTCCTGCCTGGGCTGGCTTTGAATCACAATCCTCAGATCACCAACCTCTTGAGTAACTAGGATTACAAGTGTGAGCCACCTGTGCCTGGCTACTTCCCAGTTTTTTCAGGTTAATTGTAGGTAAGAGTCTCAGGGTTTTTCTGCCTGAGCTGGATTTGAACTGTGACCTTCAATTCTCAGTTCCTGGGTAGCTAGGATTACAGGCTTGAAAGAGACTCAGCTCCACTCTATAGCTCTTTTTTTTTAATTCACAAGAGCCATCACAATGGTTGAGCAATGGCTACAGGTGTCTGATAATCCTAAGACACAAAAAAGTTGAAAGAAGAATAAACAAGTTTATGTAATAATGAATAAATATAGCTAGCTGCCTTAACTATGATGAAATTAGACTCTAAATGCTTCATCTAGAAAGAGTCTGGGAATATGGCACAGTGGTAGAGTGAGTGCCTAACATTCATGAAGCCTGCGTTCGATTCCTTAGTACCACATAAACAGAAAAAGCCAGAAGTGGCACTGTGGCTCAGGTGGTAGAGTGCTAACACTGAGCAAAAGAAGCTCAGAGACAGCACCCAGGCCCTGAGTTCAAAACCCAGGACTGGCCAAAAAAAATCCAGAAAGATTTTAAATTCCTATGAAAACAGCCTCCAAGATCTTTTCAGTCTCCACAGATGGCTTAAGCTGGGAAAGATTTCTGTTAAAAAAGCAAATTCTCAAGGTATAGCTAAAGACCAGTAAAAACAACCACATCAGGAAAGGGTATTTGTGGGAGGGGAGACAGTGAAAGGAGTCAGTAAATGCAGTTATATTCAACCTCACCGAAATATGATCAAAAGTACTGTGTATTACACATACAAAAACAGAATAATAAAAAATGTTGTTTTGTTTTGTTTTTGCCAGTCCTGGAGCTTGAACTCCTGAATGTTCCACCACTTGAACCAGAGCTCCACTTCCAGCTTATGGACTTATTGGTCCAGGCTGGCTTCGAACAGTAATCCCAGATCCCAGCTTCCTGCATAGCTAAGATTACAGACATGAACCACTTGTGCCCCAAAGAAGGATTTTTGGTGATCTTGGAGCTTCACCTCTGGGCCTGGACACTGTCTCTGAGTTTCTTTTGCTCAAGGTTAGCACTTTACCCTCAGTCACAGCACTACTCTTGAATTTTTCTGAGTAGTTCACTGGAGTCTCAGAGATTTTCCTGCCCAGGCTGGCTTCAAACCTCTATCCTTAGATCTCAGCCTTCTGAGTAGGTAGGATTACTGGCCTGTGCCATCAGCACCCAGCAAGAAGTTATTTTAATAAGGTAGGAAAGCAGAAGATAAGGAAGGATAGAACAAGTGTGTGCATGTATAGAAATGTCACAATGAAACTTCTCTTGTACAACTAAAAATGCTAATTTTTTTAAAAACTTTAAAAAAATAATCACCTAGGGCTGGGATGTAGCTCAATGGCAAAGTGCTTGCCTAGCAAGTGCAACATCCTGGGTTCAATCCCCAGTACCAAAAAAGACCAAAAAAAAAAAAAGTTAAAAAAAAAATCACCTTTGGGCTGGGAAGGTGGCTCAGTGGTAGAGTGCTTGCCTTGCATGCCTGAGGCCCTGGGTTCGATTCCTCAGCACCACATAAGCAAAATGAAAAAAGCTGGAAGTGGCGCTATGGCTCAAGTGGTAGAGTGCTAGCCTTGAGCTGAAGAGCTGAGGGACAACGCCCAGGCCCAGAGTTCAGACCCCACGACCGGACCCAAAAAAAAAAAAAAAAAATTACCTTTATATTTAGGTTCTAATTTGTAAAATTCAAATACTAAGCTATGCATTCAAATTCTTCCATTAATTACAGGATGAAAGGAGCGTCTTTTGTTTACAAATGTGCTAAGGTCTAAAACATTAGCAAGAAAAAATTATTCATAACAAAAGTGTTATTTTTAGAGAAAAGTGAGCCAGGCTTCTGCTTCAAGCTTGATTGTCGAGATGCATCAGAAATATTCAGAGGAAAAAGAGAAAAAAGAATCAAAAGTACTTAGTAAAATGCAGCCATGTAAAATTTATTTCACTCACCTGTTGCCTCAGAAACATTTGATTCCTTTGAACACACCTGTTTGTAAAATATGTACAAAAATATTTTAGAAATTCTCTTAGTAAATAAAATTGAAATTAAAAGTGTCCTCTTTCCTCCTTTCTTTCCTAAAAAGAAAGCACCATACATCTAATAGGAATTCAACCATTTATGAAAAAGATATTGCTATTAGTATTTATGTGCACTGTAAGAGGCATAGCTGCCAAATGCTATTTACCTCAGGCACAATCCTGGTATCAACTGAACAGTATCCCCTAACACCAAAGGAAGAAGTCAAATACTCAAATTTTTAAATATATTGCACTAAAGATCAAATTAAGGGGCCTGAACATGCTGAGCACATTCTCTACCACCCCTGAGGGTACCTTCCCAATACCTCAAATGAAATAGTTCAAGCAGTAAATTAACAGATTAATCATCAAGAGCAAATAATGTATTTCAAGAATGAGAAGATTGGAAGGGGGCGCTGTGGCTCAACTGGTAGAGTGCTTGCCTTGAGCTGAAGAGCCCAAGCCCAGAGTTCAAGCCCCACAACCAACCAAAAGAAAAAAAAAAAAGAAGAATGCAAATATGATTCATCATAATGAATGCAAAGATGATTCATCATAATGAAATCTAATCAAACAGATCCAAGGAGAAAAATGTATATACTTATAGTATTCATTTTTGGACAAAGTTAACCAAATATGCTAGATACAATTCTTTTTCCCCAGATAAAATGTCAGTATGTTACTCAGACTGGTCTGGAACTTGTAGGCAATTGTGCTGTACAATTCTACTGAATACAAGTTATTTTTTTTTCTTTCTGGTCTCTCCCACTCCAGTACTGGAGTTTTTAATTTAAAAACTCACAGTCTCTACTACTTTGTTTTTCAAACAAGATCTCGTATTTTTTGCCAGAGCCTGCTCAGAAAGAAATCCTCCTACCTATGTCTTTAGTAGCTGTGATTACAAGTATTTAATACCATACCAAGTTAATTTGATGATAGGGTCTCACTAACTTTTTGCCCAAGTAGACCTCTAATTGCATTACCCTATCTCTAGTTCCCAAATAGTTAGGATTATAGATATAAGCCACTATATTAGGCACTTAATAACACTTAAGTACCTCCATTATAGTCAGTAATAAGAACAAGATACGATTCTTAGTACTACTTTTAAACATTTTCCAAGTCCATGAGAATCTTATCTCTAACCATCAAAAAAGCCAGAAAAGAAGGTGTGACTCAACTGGTAAAGTACCAGCTATGATTGAAAAAGTCAAGCAAGGGCCTAAGGTCTGGAATTTAAGATCCACTACCAGTGCAAGTGTGGTGTGCGTGCGCATATATGCACGCACACACACACAATCACTCTCATTTTCTCTGTCCCAGCTAGCTTCAAACTGCAACCCTCAATCTGAGCCTCCTAAGTAGCTAAAACTATAGGTGTGAATCATACGAATACTCAACTTTTACCTAAAACAAGCAAATTAATAAAAGTTCTTCTGGAATACCACTATTTTTTTTGGGGGGGGGGCCATTCGTGAGGCCTGAACTCTGGGCCGGGGCACTGTCCCTCAGCTCTTCAGCTCAAGGCTAGTGCTCTACCTCTTGAGCCACAGCGCCACTTCCGGCTTTTTTCATTTTGCTTATGTGGTGCTGAGGAATCGAACCCAGGGCCTCAGGCATGCAAGGCAAGCGCCACCTTCCAGCCCCAATATCACTATTTCCTAACCATATATAACACTACCCTTCCTCTGAGTATCCTAACATCCAAAAAATTGTTATCTTCAACTTTCTCCCTGAAAATATCGATTTTAAAATGGCTTTTCAATAGTGTTGTTACAAATTTGAGTGGTATCACAAACAAAACTAACAACGGTACATTCAAAAAACTGTAAAAGTGAATAGTGACCAAATCTACATAGTCAGGTTAGACTTACTTCCTTTAAGGATTAATTGAAAATGTTTGTTATATTTCAGAAGGGAATGATTTATAAGGGAGAGGACATGAAATGCCTTAGAACATGAAGAATACAATACATTCACAAACTGAAAGACAATTTGCTAGAAAACAGATTAGCACAAAAAGCACACCCCAGAAAATCTGGTATCATTCCTAAGAACAATGGACTTTACATCTAATTTTTTCTTCTTCTTCTTCTTCTTCTTTTTTTTTTTGTGGCTGTACTAGGGGGTTTTGAACTCAAGACGAGTTCTATCGCTTGAACCACAGCCCCACTTGGCTGGCTTTGAACTACAATCCTTGGATCTTTGCCTCCTTGAGTGGCTAGGATTACATGTATGAGCCACCAGTACCTGGAAGCTTCACACATTATAATGATGCTATTCATAAATTACTACTTTACACATAAGAAATTAATTCAAGAGGGAAAGCACCTCACATACAGTCCCACAGCTATTAGGAAGCCAAGATCCAGATCTACAAAATACTCTTGGGTCTACTTTCAGGCACTGCCACCAAGTTAAGCATTGAGTTCCTGATTAATGAACATCAACTTTCACTTTGAACAGCTTCAAATGGTAATTCCAAACTGGATTAATACAGACTATTTAAGATGAGAAAGGTCGGAAATATACTGAAGTACATACACACATCTATAAAAATGTCATAACAAAATGATAATCAGGCATGTAAAAATTTAAAAGAGTCTTGGGCTGGAAATGTGGCTCAATGGTACAGTGCTTGCCTTGCATTCATGCCCTTGGTTCGAATCCTCAATACCACATACACAGAAAAAAGCTGGAAGTGACACTGTGGCTCAAGTGGTAGAGCAAGCCTCAAGCAAAAAGAAGCTCAGGAACAATGCCCAGATCCAGAGTTCAAGCCTCAGGACTGGCAAAAAAAAAATTCTTTAAAACTCTGAATGAGGGGCTGGGAAGGTGGCTCAGTGGTTAGAGTGCTTGCCTTGCATGCATGAGGCCCTGGGTTCGATTCCTCAGCACCACATAAGCAAAAAAGAAAAAAGCCGGGCAGTGGTGTTGTGGCTCAAGTGGTAGAGCGCTAGCCTTGAGCTGAAGAGCTGAAGGACAGCGCCCAGGCCCAAAGTTCAGGCCCCACAACTGACAAAAAACAAAAACAAAAACAAAAAAAAAAAAACCTCTAATGAGGGGCTGGGGAAGGTAGCTCAGCGGGTAGCGTGGCATGCCTTGCAAGCATGAGGCCCTGGGTTCGATTCCTCAGCACCACATAAACAGAAAAAGCCAGAAGGTGGCGCTGTGGCTCCAAAAGCTCTAGCCTTGAGCTGAAGAGCTGAGGGACAGCGCCCAGACCCAGAGTTCAGGCCCCATGACCGGCAAAAAAAAAAAAACCTCTGATGAAATAATAGAAACAGCTATGTTGTGATATGCCATCTCAGTTGCTTAACGATTCTATCTTACCTCAGAAATGTATTCTTGCCAATCAGCTTCTGAAGGGAGTGAAGATTTTTTGGCAGGAGGAACAAGATCACTTTCATCATATCTGCGATGAAATCTCTTCCTAGATATAGGATCCAAATTATCAGCAGCTTTTCAGAATCATCTCTTCCACAATTAGATAAACAATGGTATCTTGAACAATGGAAGTTACTGGCAAATTCAAGCTGCATAGGAAACAAATACGTGTAAAACCAGGAAATCAGAAATCATTTAATAAAATTTCCGTCTGAGCTCTGCCAATTAAAATCTCAACAGAATTAAAACTTCAAAGTAGTAAACCAATGGCCATGAAAGTAAAAATGACACCTTGAGGTACATTCATACCCAAAGACTCACAACTTATATTGCATTGAATTAAATCTGAGGCCTATACACACAGTACTTCTCTCATCAGTAAAGTTAAATTTTCTTTTTTCTTGGGGGGGGGGGGGGGGGGGGGAGGGCACTACTAAACTTTCTACCTAAAATGTTCCTTCCTAATACATAAGGCTTAAATTTCCAATGCAACTTGATACACAATTGTTTTAAATGAGAGCAGTTACAAATTCAAATGAAAATATCAACAATATATAAAAATGGAGGTGATATGAAGACATAAAAAATGTCATATAAAACTCATTATTTTGTGAAATAAATATACACTAATAAAAAACTTTTTAAAAGAACAATAGCTGGGTATTGGGTGGCTCACATATGTAATCCTCGTTCAAAGTCAGCCTAGGCAGGAAAGTCCCATGAGACTCTTATCTCTAATTAGTCAAAAAAACCACTGGAACTTGTAGGCAGAGAAGGCAGGGGAAATCTGGGGGTAAATCAAAAAAAAGGAGTGACACTATCAAAAAAAGAAATGTATTCATTACACAATTTATAACTCTACTATACTATGCCTTAAGAACAAATAAAATTATACCTATATATTTTTTGTTTTTTAAAGAAAAGCTGGGGGCTGGGAAGGTGGCTCAGTGGTAGAGCACTTGCCTTGCATGCATGAGGCCTTGGTTCAATTCCTCAGCACCACATAAGCAAAAAGAAAAAAGCCGGAAGTGGCGCTGTGGCTCAAGTGGTAGAGTGCTAGCCTTGAGCTGAAGAGCTGAGGGACAGCACCCAAGCCCAGAGTTCAGGCCCCACGACCAGACCCAAAAAAAAAGTTTATAAAGAAAAGCTGAGAGTGAAGCTGTGGCTCAAATAGAGTGCTAGCCTTGAGTACAAAAAATAGAGACAATTGGGGGCTGGGAAGGTGGCTCAGTGGTAGACAGCTTGCCTTGCATGCCTGAGGCCCTGGGTTCCATTCCTCAGCACCACATAAGCAAAAAGAAAAAAGCCAGAAGTGGTGCTGTGGCTCAAGTGGTAGAGCGCTGGCCTTGAGCTGAAGAACTGAGGGGACAGGCCCCACGACGGGACCCAAAAAAAGAGAGAGAGAGAAACAGCACTTAGGCCCTGAGTTTAAACCCCAGGACTGGTATAAAAAATAAATAAATAAAAATAAAATTTACTTCTAGACAGGTACCTGTGGTTCACATCTATAATGCTAGCTATACAGGTGACTGAAATCTAGAGGTGCATGGTTCAAAGTCAACTAGGGCAGAAAAGTACTCAGGATTCTATCTCCAACATAACCAGGAAAAAAGTTGAGCTAGAAAGATGATTCAAATGGTTAGTGAGCCAGTCTGAGCGAGCAAGCTAAGCAAATGTCACACTCTTGAGTTCAAATCCCAGTTGCACCAAAAATAGTTAAAATGGCCATAGCATCAAAAGTAATCTATCATTCAATACCTATAAAAATATCTATGGCATTCTTTACAAAAAAGGCACTGATGGCTCACACATGTAATCCTAGTTATTCAAGAGGCTGAGATCTGAGTATCCTAGTTCAAAACCAGCCATGGCAGGAAAGTCCTAGAGACCCTTATCTCCATTAACCACCAGAAAACTGGAAGTTGTGCTGTGGCTCAAAGTGGTATAGCACAAGAATTGAGCAAGACCTCAGAGATATCACCCAGGCCCTCAGTTCAAGCCCCACCACCTACCCAAAAAAAAAACAAAAAAAAAAAAAAAACCAGGAAGAAGAAAGAGAAGAAAAGGAAAATTATAAAATTCATATGGCAGCATAAAGCATCCCCAAAAGCCAAAATAATCCTAAGCAAATAATAAAATGCTGGAGGTGGGCTGGAAAGGTGGCTCAGTGGGTAGAGTGCTTACCTTGTATGGGTTCCATTCCTCAGCACCACATAAGCAGGAAAAGGCCAGAAATGGCACTATGGCTCAAGTAGTAGAGCACTAGCTTTGAACTGAAGAGCTGAGGGGACAGTGCCAGGCCCAGAGTTCAAGCCCCATGACTGTCCCCCCCTTTCCCCGCCAAAAAAGTGCTGAAGGTGTCTATCACAATACTTGATCTTGAAAGCTACTACAAAGCCATAGTAACAATATCAGCATATAAACAGACACAGAAACATATAGAATAAATACAATGGATGGTCCCAGAAATAAAACCACACCTCTATATCCAACTCATTCTCATAAAATTACCAAAAACATGCATGAAAGAAAAATAGCATCTTTGGGGCTAGGAATGTGTCCTAGTGGTAGAATGCTTGCCTGGCATACATGAAGCTCTGGGTTCCATTCTTCAGTACCACATAAACAAAAAAAGCCTGAAATAGCACTTTGGCTCAAGTGGTTAGAGTGCTAGCCTTGAGCCAAAAGAAGCTCCAGGGATACTGGCCCAGGCTCTGAGTTCAAGCCCCAGGACTGGGAAAAGAAAAGAAAAGAGAGAGAGAGAAAGAAAAGAGAAAGAGAGAAAGAGAAAGAGAAAGAGAGAGAGAGGGAGGGTGGGAGGGAGGGAGGGAGGGAGGGAGGGAGGGGAGAAAAGAGAGAGAGAGGGAGGGTGGGAGGGAGGGAGGGAGGGAGGGAGGAAGGAAGGAAGGAAGGAAGGAAAAGAACAATCACAAGGAAAGTGGTAACACTGTCCAAAAAGAAATGTACTCTTTATCTGACTTATATAATTCCTTTGTATATCACCTTTATAATAAAAATTTTTTGTTTTAACTTTTTTTAAAAAAACAGAAACAAAGCCAGGCGCTGGTGGCTCACGCCTGTAATCCTAGCTACTCAGGAGGCTGAGATCTGAGGATCACGGTTCAAAGCCAGCCCGGGCAGGAAAGACTGTGAGACTCTATCTTCTAATAAACCACCAGAAAACCGGAAGTGGCGCTGTAGCTCAAGTGGTAGAGCACTCGCCTTGAGCTGAAGAGCTGAAGGACAGCGCCCAGGCCTAGAGTTCAAGCCTCACGACCGACAAAAAAAAAAAAAAAAAAAAACAGAAACAATCAACAGAGTAAGGAAGCAGCCTAAAATCTTTGTCAGTTACTAGGATTATAGGCTTAAGCCAATGGAGCCCTGCTTTTTAGCTATTTTTGGAGATGGAGTCTAGAGAGCTTTTCTTCTTGAGCTAGCTTCAAACCACAATCCTTTGGATCTTGGCCTCTCAGGAAAATAACACAGGTGTGAGCCAACAACATCAGCATCATAATGAGTTCTCCACCAAACAAAATCAATCTGGTTTATACTTTACCTCAAGTCACTTCTTTCTTCAGTATTCCCTGATTTGATCAATATCGGTGCTGGTAGTAAAGGGCTTGGCATTAACTGCATAGAATCACCAGTAAATTCTCCTGCTTCACTGGTTGGGATTTCCACCAGAGTTAAAATGACTGCTTGTTCATCATCTCCATCTTGATGTATATTCGAAAACAGATTCACTATAAAAGTTTTAAAATAAGAAAAACTAAGTCACAAAACCATTATTTCTTCTCAAAAAACAAAATCTCATGACAACTTATCATCACAACTAGAAGACTAAATTTATAGCCTGGACCCCAGAAAACTAATTTCATAAAGGGTAAGCATGCTATATCATAGAAAGACTTGTAATCCTAAGTAACAAAGCTGATATACAAAACATTGCAAATTTGCCAGAGACTGAAAAAGAATTGTTTAGTATTTTTTCACTTAAATGTAAAAACACCACTAGGCTGCTTCACTGAAGCAGACTATCATACCTGCTAGATCTTCAGGATTGATTACATTCTTTTGTTGGACTTCTGGAATAGAAGTTGATGTACACTGCCATAAAAATTAAAAGAGTAAAAAAAAAAAAAAAAAAAAAAAAAATTAAAAGAGTAAGGTTTAAAAGTTTTCCTGAAAACTTAATACATAGTAAGGAGATATTGTTTCAAAACTTATTTACTTATCTTAAACATACACAATTTTCCAAGTACTTGAATGAATGTGCCAATAAACTTACGGTTTACTGAAATAAACATAAACGCAAAGAATGTCAATTAAATTGTCAAATGTGTATTTTACAGGGTGATTTTGGACCTGTCAGGATACGGACTGATTCCCCTACTCCTGGCACACCAGGCACTTCATAAGTAGGTGATATGTGAATGAAGATAAACACCTGATTATCAGTTTGCTTCCCTCAAATCTGTTTTCCACAAAACTGCTAATATCCTGATTATAATTCTCTAATCCTTAAAACTGCAAAACTCCCATTTTGCAACCAATAATGTTGATTCAGGTAAGATATACCAATGAATACCAAAAGTATTGGATGACAAGCTGCTGGATCTCATTGGCCAAATTACTACAAAATAGAAAACATGTCCTTCTAATGAAGAAACTAGAAGGCACTAATACTGGTCAAGTGATCAGTCAACATCATCAGTAATAGTCTAGAAGGCACTAATACTGGTCAAGTGATCAGTCAACATCATCAGTAATAGTGTATGTATTTGATCTGATATAAAAAGGAAGAACACAAGATCACTATGTAGTGATCTTGCATAAAAACAATTGAATCATGAGTAGGCAGTTAAAACAAATATTCAGATTGCAGACTTGCTAACCCTATCTAAAATGCCAGATTCACACAAAAGAACTACCCACAACTAAAGAAGAGTAAGAAGAAATAACCATTAAACATAAGGTAACAGTTTATATGAGGTCTTTATTTTAAGAACAAAAAGGGTCTAATGGCCATGATTAAGACAACTGGAGAAACTTAATGAAAAATTGCCTATTAAACAATGTTACTGAATTATCCATGTTAAATGGCATTGTAACATTGACTGTGAAAACAGTACATCCTTGTTCTTATTAGAGCTGTATTATTAATATATTAAGACACATATTTGCAATTTACTCTTAAATGGATCAAATGTTTTTTCAACTTTCTACTAAACCACACAGATGAAGATGAAGACAGGGGAAAAAAAAAGAGGCAAAATTAATAATTAATGAATACAAAAAGGGTTTGGGTAAGTTTTCAAATTTTTGGAAATTTTCAGAAAGATTGAAAGTATTTTAAAATAAAAGACAGGGGCTGGGAAGGTGCTCAGTGGTAGAGTGCTTGCCTTGCATGCATGAGGCTCTGGGTTCGATTCCTCAGCACTACATAGGCAAAAAGAAAAAAGCTGGAAGTGGGGCTGTGGCTTAAGTGGTAGATGCTAGCCTTGAGCTGAAGAGCTAAGGGACAGCGCCCAGGCCCAGAGTTCAGGCCCCACGACCGGACCCAAAAAAAAAAAAAAATAATAATAATAATAAAATAAAATAAAAGACAAAAATTAACAAGTTGGTAAGTCTTAAAAATCTTTCTATGATGTATCTTGTGACCTTTTCATCTTCAGTCCTAGCCATATTCTTTTACATATCATTCTGCTCTACAATATTTTCTTTTCCTTCTTCCCCTTCCATCCTTATTTCCCATCCTTTCCTTCATTTTTGCTTTCTTTCTTTCCTTGTTTCTTTTTCTTCTCTTTTTTCTTCTCTTCTTTTTTGCTGGTCCCGAGGCTTAAACTCAGGTCGTGGGCACTGTCCTTGAGTTTCTTTTTGCTCAAGGCTAATGCTCTACCACTTGAGCCATAGCTCTACTTCCAGTGAATGCCTAGGCCACATTCACAGATTAACATCACTAGGTAGAGGACAACTTATACAGTCTTGTTCAAAACTCTATCTCACTTATCAAACTGAATTTGACCATTCATTCACTACTCTGCCCAGTACCTCATAATGTCAGATACATAGTATTGGCATCTCAATACACATTCTGTGAAACAAAGAACTCAGCTCTAAGAACTAAAATGGAAAACAAATTCTGTACGCTTCAAAACAAATTTGAGCATATTTTTTTATTTCTGTGCTTCAGAGGCTAACAATTAAAATTTTATCATAATATTCTTTCTTTTTTTTTTTTTTTTTTTTTTGGGGGGGGGGGCAGTCCTAGGGCTCGAATTCTAGGCTTGGGCAATGTCCCAAAGCTTCTTTTTACTCAAGGCTAGCGCTCTACTACTTGAGTCACAGCACCACTTCTGGCTTTTTCTCTCATTAACTGGAGATAAGTGTCTCACGGACTTTCCTGCCCTGGCTGGCTTCAAACTGTAACCCTCAGATCTCAACCTCCTAAGTAGCTAAGATGCATGAGTCACAGGCACCCAGCCATAATATTCTTTTATTTTACTGTGTTATCCATGCTGGCTTCAAATTCCTAAATTCTGTGATGCTCCTGTCTCCCAAATAGCTTCCCAAATAGCTAAGACTAAACACATGTACATTCACACCCAGTTCACAATATTTCTTACTACAATAATACTATTGGAAAAATTGATCCAGAATCATCAGGAGCTGAGAAAGAAGCACAGAAAAGGACTATTTAAAGGAGGAAAAAAAAAGGGGGGGCTGTGCACCAATGGCTCACATCTGTAATCGTAGCTACTCAGGAGGCTGAGATCTGAGGACTGCTGCTCAAAGCCAGCCTGGGCAGCAAAGTCTATAAGACTCATCTTCAACTAACCACCAGAAAACTGCAAGTGACGCTGTTGTAGAATGCTAGCCTTGAGCAAAAAAGCTCAGGAACAGCACCTGGGCCTTGAGTACAAGCCCCAAGACTGACCCCCCAAAAAAACTAGGAAATTATTGAGGTGCTAAACTATTCAAAGATTGGTTACAAAAATTTATACATCAGCACATGTTAAACTACAAAGGACAAAGTCTATTGTACATAAATCATACTTTAAATTTTAAAATGGGGGAAAAAATCTGCTTGTTACAGTCTTTATTCTTTTACCTCTGGTGCATGAAATGTGAGCACACTTTCTCCAGTAGAGTCCTTTCTCAAGGTCTCTTCCATAGAACTCTCACAAAGACCCCAACTCGAACCAAGTGTATGAGGAACTGTCTCAGGAGAAACTGAAGTAACTGACAGAACCTGAGCCACCTCAGCTCTCTCTTCTTCCTCTTCATTTCTAAAAGAGAATTTTTATTATTGGAAACCAGGGAATTATTTTTAGTACAAGATTCATCTGAGATAATACAATTTAACAGTTTTTTAATCTATTTTTTTTTAGGGGGGTCAGTCATGGGGCTTGAACTAGGGTCTGGATGCTGTTCCTGACCTCTTTTGCTTAAGGCTAGTGCTCTACTACTTTGAGGACTAGCTCCACTCCAGTTTTCAGGTGGTTAATTGGATTTACGAGTCTTATGGCCTTTCCTGTCTGGATCTTCAAACTGAGATCCTCTGATTTCAGCCTCCAGAGTAGTTAGGATTATAGGTATGAACCATTAGCAACCCACAATTTTCATTCTTTTAATGTAACAAACTTTAAATCAAATTCTTATAGCTAAAGCTGAAAAAGAAGATAAACTGAATGTCAAAGACTCTTTCCTATTTTACCTTTTCACTAGGTTTGCTTCCAGTGGAATACTGGTCCCTTTGACACAATGGATACTTGTCAATTGGTTCTGCTCCTTACTTTCTGCTGTTGTAACTGGCCCAAGGGTTTTATCTTCCAATTCTGTTGCTTTGGAAACATTTTGCTCAGTTTCTTAAACAAAAAATACATTTAAGACAGTGTTCAAAATATATTTAAGATATATTACAGCTGGTGCCAGTGGCTCATGCTTATAATCCTAGCTACTCAGGAAGATCTGAGGATTCCAGTTCAAAGCCAGACAGGTCAGGAAAGTCTGTGAGACCTGTTTTGTTTTGTTTTGTTTTTTTGCCAGTCCTAGAGCTTGAACTCAGGGCCTGGGCACTGTCCCTGAGCTTCATTTGCTGAAGGCTAGCACTCTACCACTTGAGCCATAGTGCCACTTCCGGCATTTTCTAATTATGTGCTACTGAGGAACTGAACCCAGGGCCTCATGCATGCTAGGCAAGCACTCTACCACTCGGCCACATTCCCAGCCCCGTGAGACTCCTGCCAGCCTGGGCAGCAAAGTTCAGGAGACTCTTTATCTCCAGTAAACCACCAGAAAACCAGAAGTAGCGCTGTGGCTCAAGTGGTAGAGTGCTAGCCTTGAGCTAAAGAACTCAGGGACAGCTCCCTGGGCCCAGAGTTGAAGCCCCATGACCACAACCAACAATAAAAAAGATATACTACGCTGAACTCTGTGTGTGTGTTGGGGGGGGGGGGGGGGGTCCGTTGTGGGGCTTGACCGTTGGGCCTGGGTGCTCTCCCTCAACTCTTCAGCTCAAGGCAAGTACTCTACCACCACTTGAGCCACACTTTCGGTTTTCTGGTGGTTTATTGGACATAAAGAGTCTCATGAACTTTCCTGCCCAGGCTGGCTTTGAACTGCAATCCTCAGATCTCAGTCTCCTGAGTAGCTAGAATTGGTGGCTTGAAATGTGCATATGATAAAAACAATACATTCTCTCTTTTAAAAAACAGATTACAGTATATGACTCCAAATATCTCTTAATCCAAAAGTCAGGTAATTCACATAGCAGAATAATAATCCTTGCCAAGGAGATTTTTCAATTTAAGACAGAAAATTAATAAACCCTGTACTGCATATATTTCACTCGACTACCAAAGCAACTATATTCACACCTTCTGGTAACTATACAGTACCATAATTAAATAAGCCATTATAATTTAAAAGTCCCATCCAAAAAAGTTTAGAAATGACTTATTTGAAGTCTGGATGGCTCTATCTTTAGAGATCTTACAGAGAAAAACATCACTGATGACAGAGAGATAGGAAAATATTTCTATAAAAAGAAGCAATGATCTGGTTCTGGAAGCTTATGCCTATAATCCTAACTACTCAGGAGGATGAGATCTGACTATCACAGTTTAAGTCAGTTCAGACAGGCAAGTCCATGACACTCTTATCTCCAACTAAAAGCCAGAAATGGAGCTGTGGGAAAAATAAAATAAGGGACAGCACCCAGACTCTAAGTTTAAACTCAGTACCATGAACGAATACAAGAAAATATTCACAAATGCTACTATAGAGATGAACACTGGAAACACAATGACAGAAGAATAGTTGAAATTGCCAGACTGGAACACATAGCATATGTTTTTATTTAGAAGGTCAAAAAAAGGCAAATCAGGGGCTGGGTAGGTAGCTCAGTGGTAGAGTGGTTACCTTGCATGCATGAGGCCCTGGGTTTGATTCCTCTGCACCACATGAGCAGAAAAAGCCAGAAATGGTGCTGTGGCTCAAGTGGAATAGCTCTAGCCTTGAGCTGAAGAGCTGAGGGATGGCACCTAGGCCCAGAGTTCAGGCCAAGACCAACCAAAAAAAAGCAAATCAAAAAAGACAGAAGAGTTGTGGTTGCTTAGAGTTGAAAACAGCTATAGATGAACTACAATGTGGAAAAAACACTAAATATTACTAAGTTGTATACTGAAGTTGGGGAACTACATAGTATCAATTACACATAAGCTGCTTAAAAACACTTTTGTAAGGCAGGGTCTTGTTATGTAGCCTAAGCTGACCTCCAACTCAAACCTCCAGCCTCGGGGCTGGGTAGAGCGCTTGCCTTGCATGCCTGAGGCCCTGGGTTCGATTCCTCAGCACCACATAAGCAAAAAGAAAAAAGCCGGAAGTGGTGCTGTGGCTCAAGTGGTAGAGCGCTAGCCTTGAGGGACAGCGCCCAGGCCCAGAGTTCAGGCCCCACGACCGGACCAAAAAAAAAAAACCTCCAGCCTCCATATTACACATATGGCCCATCATGTCCGTGCGTGCGTGCGTGCGTGCGTGTGTGTGCGCTGGTACTGGTGGTGGAGTTCAGGGCTTAGATCCTGTTTTTTAGCTTTCTGCATACAAGGCTAGCGCTTTACTACTTGAGCCATACTTCTACTCCTTGCTTTTTGTTGGCTAACTGGAGATAAGAGTCTCACAGAGGGGCTGGGAAGGTGGCTCAGTGGTAGAGCATTTGTCTTGCATGGATGAAGTCCCTGGGTTCGATTCCTCAGCACCACATAAGAAAAAAGAAAAAATCCGGAGGTGGCACTTTGGCTCAAGTGGTAAAGCGCTAGCCTTGAGCCTTGAGCTGAGGAACAGCGCCCAGGCCCAGAGTTCAGGCTCCACGATCGGACCCAAAAAAAAAAGATTCTCACAGTTGCCTGAGCTGGCTTTGAACTTCAATCTTCAGATCTCCATCTCTAGAGTAGCTAGAATTATAGGTATGAGCCACTAGAGTACAGCAAAAGTTGTTTTCAATTTATAGAGCATTGTATGTTTTTATTGTGTGCATGTTTTTAAATACATATATATACTACATAATGATTAAGTCCAGTTAATAACAAATATGTCACCTCATAATCATCCTTTTAGTTATATCAACACACAATATGCATGCTTTACTTTTTTTTTCTTTTGGTGGCACTGAGGTTTGAACTAAAGTCTTGTACTTGTTAGGCTAGAACTCTACCAACACTTTCATTCAGACAGATAGTTGTTGTTATTGTTTGCTGGTTGTAGGGCTAGAACTCAGGGCCTAGGCACTGTCCCTGAGCTTTTTCTGCTCAAGGCTAATGCTCTATTACTTTGAGCCACAGCACCATTTCCAGTTTTCTGTTAGTTAACTAAAAATAAAGAGTCTCACAGACTTTCCTGCCCAGGCTGGCTTCGAACCACAATCCTCAGATCTCAGCATCCTGAGTAGCTAGGATTACAATCATGAGGCACCAGCATCCAGCATACATAGTTATTTTTGTTGAAGATGGTCTAGGACCCTCCTTCCTCCATATAGCTGAGAACACAGGAATGTAACACACACCCAACTTTTTAACATAGGTTCATTTGAAGGTGATGGTGGCCCATCATGCCTGTAATCCTAGCTATTTATGAGCCTGAGATCTGAGGATCACAGTTCAAAAGCAGCCTGTGGAGAAGTCTATGAGAATCTTATCTCCAATTACCCAACACAAAGCTGGGAGTGAAGCTGTGTCTCAACTGGTAGAATACCAGACTTGAGGGAAAAAGCAAGAATTGTCTCAGTAGCACCGTGCACACACACACACATACACAAAACAAACAAACTGGTTCTCTGTAGCTTTTTGTCTGAGCTGACCTCAAATTCAATCCTCCTGGGTCTCCAACTCCCAAATAGCAGAGGTTTCAGGGATGAGCATCAAGACAATTAGCTTCCCTTTACATTTTTAATAATATAATAGACCATAATTAATTATAATCACTTTGCTTTATCATTACAAAGCTATTATTTTTAAATGCTTAGCAGTATGATATGGTATACATACAGATTTGTTCTTCTAAAAATATACACATTATTCATATATGGTAACACACATAGGAATAAACACAGACACCATTTAGATGATTACAAGTGTCTAAAAACATTTTTGGAAGTCCATAATAAAGTCTAAGAGCACTTCACCACTAGAAGTAGGACTTGTAAGCCAGGACCTAAGAAAGAGGTTTGTTTTTAATTTCATTCCTTTTGGGTACTTTCCTGTTAGAAATGCCTTATTTTTTTTTTTTTGCTTGCTCAAGGATATATACATACACATACAGACACTGATCGGGCAAATACAGCAAGCAAAACAGTATCAATGACTAAAACCAGTTAGATTTATGGATATTTCTTTTATAGATCATTTTACCTTTTTGTAATCTTTAAAAATTTTATATAGAATGTTCCACTGAATATTCCTTTGAAATGCTAATGTTATTTTTTAGGTCAATGTAATTTTACAATTTATAAAAACAATAAAATTTACCTCTTTGACTTTGTTTTTCTTCCCCTTTAGCTATACAAAAATTGGAAACTTCTTTATGAGCATCAAACATGCTGGTCTCTGAAATTTTCTCAAAATTTGACTTCGGCTTCACAAATCTACTCCTCATTCTTAAACTGCTGGTCCCTTGAGAAACTGCATTTCTGGGAGTAAAGAAATTGTTCAATTATGTAAGCATTCCCTTGCTTTCTTTTTTTTTTTTTTTGGTCGGCCGTGGGGCTTGAACTCTGGGCCTGGGCGCTGTCCCTCAGCTCTTCAGCTCAAGGCGAGCACTCTACCACTTGAGCTACAGTGCCAGTTCCGGTTTTCTGGTGGTTTATTGGAGATAGGAGTCTCATGTCTCTCCTGCCCGGGCTGGCTCTGAACCTCGATCCTCAGATCGCAGCCTCCTGAGTAGCTAGGATTACAGGCGTGAGCCACCAGCGCCCGGCCCCTTGGTTTCTTATATTGCCACATTCTGTCCAGCACCAGAGCAGTCAATGCACCATCTATTAAGTACCACATTATATACAGATGGTGTCTATTTATTTAATTTGGATTTACTTTTTGTGCCTATACTGAGGCTTGAATTCAGGGCATGAAAGGTGTCCCTTAGCATTTTCACTCAATAACAGTGCTCTACCATTTAAGCCACAGCTCTACTTTCAACTTTTTAGAGGTCAATTGGAGGTAAGAATCCCATGCACTTTCATGCCCAGGCTGACTTCAAACAATGGTCCCAGATTGCAGCCTCCTAAATATCTAGGATAGCAGGTATAAAACAAAAGAAAACAAAAACAGATTCCTTAAGTAGAGACTCAAACTATCAATCCTTCTACTCCAGGATCCCAAGTACTAGATTACAGATACAGTAAATACTCATTTCTTAATGCTGAAGTTATAAAATACTAAACTTACTAGAGGTATTAGGGAAAAAATCTAGACAATATTCATAAAACAGATTCAATTTCTATAAATCAACTTTTTCAAAGATACACTAAGACCAGTGATACCTAGATCAGACAAATATTAATTAAATGTGTAAGAAATCAGCATTGACTACTTAATTGAATACTAAAGTAATAAACCTGGTTGGTGTAGTTTCCTTTATTTCTTCCATTAAATCAACTTTTTCTCCAATAGTCCGTTCCTCTGACACAATCCTGTCTTCCAATGATGCAGTAGATGCACTTGTGATAAGTGAATTAAATTCTTGATATTCATCAACGGGCTTGTGAGTTACATTTTCTGTGCTAAAACGAATATGACTCCTATCCTCTGAATGAAATATGCACACACCTACTGCACAAAAAAAGAAAAAGAAAATTAAAAATGAACCCAATATGAATCAGTACCTGAATACTCTTCAAAATTCAGTAATTGTCAAATTCTACATTATTATTTAACTAAAGTTAGCTCTCTTTAGCTTTACATTCTAAATTCATGATTAAATATTTCATAAATGATGGGCTGGGAAGGTGGCTCAGTGGTAGAGCGCTTGCCTTGCATGCTCAAGGCCCTGGGTTCGATTCCTCAGCACCACATAAGCAAAAAGAAAAAAGCCGGAAGTGGAGCTGTGGCTCAAGTGGTAGAGCACTAGCCTTGAGCTGAAGAGCTGAGGGACAGTGCCCAGGCCGAGTTCAGGCCCCACGACCGGACCAAAAAAAAAAATAAATAAATAAATAAATAAATATTTCATAAATGAGAGTCGATCTGTAATAGGCTCATAATGAAAACTGTATGCTATCTAAAGTAATAGTCTTTTGTTACTTTCAATAATTTCAAAACAGATTGGACTTCCCTGTTACTTTGGGGTATGTGAGATAATACTGTGGTTTGAACTCAGGGCTGGTGCTCAAACTATAATCCCAGCTACTCAGGAGGCTGAAATCTGAGGTTTACCATTCAAAGACAGCCTGGGAGGAAAGTCTATGAGACTCATGTCCAATTAACCACCAGCAAACCATAAGTGAGCTGTGGCTCAACGTGGTAGAGCATTAGCCTTGAGTAAAGAAACAACTCAGAGGTACTGCCTGAGTTTGAGCACCAGTGCCCAGGTTCTTGATAATTGTTTTACTGACTAACTTGATGTTTAGTTGTTAGACTTTTAGGCTTATAACCCTATATTTATCAAAAGAAAGTTTCTGATTTGTAGCCATGTGCTGGTGGCACATGCCTGTAATCCTAGCTACTCAAGAAGATGAAATATAAGGATCACAGCCAGCCTGGGCAGGAAAAGTCTGTGAGACTCTTATCTCCACTAAACTACAAAAAAAAAAAAAAAAAGCAAAAAAAGCAGAAAGTAGAGCTGTGACTCAATTGGTAGTGCATTACAATTGAACATAAAAGCTCAGGGACAACACCCAACCCCCCCCCCCCCAAAAAAAAATTCTTTCTTAGTGGCAGAGTCTTGCAGTAGAGTCTGTCATAGCTGTGTGGGACATAAAATAATGGTTCTAAAAATGAATAAAGGAAGGACATTAATGCACACGCCTATATTCCTAGGTAATGCTGTAGAAATCAGGAGGATTGAGGTTCAAGGTAAGCCCAGGTGAGAAATTAGCCAGATCCTCCCTTCTTCCTCCCCTCTCCCCCCTTTTTAATTCTGAGGCCTGAACTCCAACCTCAGGTCCAGTAAAAAACAAACAGAAGGGCACCTGTAAATCTAGCTATTCAGGAGGCTAAGATCTGAGGATCACAGTTCAAAGCCAGTCCGGGCAGGAAAATCTCTGAGATTCTTACCTACAATTAACTACCAGAAAACCAGAAGTGGCATTGTGGCTCAAGTGGTAGAGCACTAGCTTTGAGCTGAAGACAGCTCAGAGACAGTGTCTAGGCCCAGAGTTCATGCCCCATGACCAACAACAACAACATCATCAAAAAAATGTGAACAGTTATTTCATGTAGTTATAGATAAAGAAATAGTAAAGACCACAGCTTCTAAGTTCAGCCTAACATACTAAAAATCACTGACGGCATGGAGCAAGTGGTAAAGTGTCAACCTACTAAGAATCCCTGAGTTCAAACCTCTCATCAGCAAGTTCAGTGCCAGTGGCTCATACCTAAAATCTTACCTACTCATGAAATAGATCAGAGGATCACAGTTTAAAGCCAGCCTGGGCAAAAAAGTCCAAGCCTCTATTTCCAATTAACCAGAAAAATGCCAGACTAAAAGTGTAGCTCAAGTTGTAGAGAACCAGACATGAAAAAGAAAGACAATGGAGAGCTCAAGGCTCTGCTCTCAAGTCCTAATACTGGCATCAAAATAAATAAATAAATAAATAAAAATAAGCTGGCCTATGTTTTGGCATTCTCCAAACTATTAGAACAGTTAAAATTATCTCAATGTCAAAACTATTATTACATAGGAGAAAATTTGCCACTTTAAGCAGCAAATCCTCTATTGAAGAGAAATATATATGTTGAGCTCAATTAAACAATGTTTATAATGATAAAAAAATAACTTCCATAAAGAAATACTTTGCTTGGTTAACCAAATACATGATCTTAAATAGTTAGCATATCTAACAGGATAAATAAGATAGTGCATGGATTGATATACAAATATTATGTTTTTTGTTTTGTTTTTTTGTCAGTAGTGGAACTTAAACTCTGTCCCTGTGCTCTTCAGCTCAAGGCTAGCATTGTACCACTTGAGCCACAGCACTACTTCTGGTATTCTGGTGGTTTTGTTAGAGATAAGAGTTTCACAGACTTTCCTGCCAGGGCTGGCTTTGAACTGCAATCCTCAGATCTCAGCCTCTGGAGAAGCCAGGATTACAGGCATGAGCCATGAGCACCTGGCAAATATTACTGTTTCTAAGAAAAGGAATGTAAATTTTAAATGTAAGGGGCTGTTCACTCCCAATGTGGATGTAAGTTCTTAGCAGACAGATCTGAAGAGGATTCAGATTCCTTTTCCACTCTTACCATCACCCTGGTCAGTACTGATTTCTGACTGCAGGACTATATCTCCCATTGTCAGCAAAGTTATGGCAGCTTCGGTGCTTCCATCGCTGGGATCTTGAGGAAACAAGCAATAAACAACAATAAATCTAGAAATCTATTTACTTAAAACAGAGAGTTGTGTGTGCACACATGCACGCACCAGTGCTAGAGCCTGAACTCAGGGCCTTGTGCTCTTGCTTAGCTTCTTCGTTCAAGGCTGGTGCTCTATACACTCATGCCACATTTCTATTTCCAGCCTTTTATTGGTTTGTTGGAGAGCTTTTCAGATTTGTCTACCTCAGGTCAGGCCACAGCCTCCTGAGTAATTGAGCATGAGCTCAGGCATGAGCCACTGGTTCCTTCAAACAGATTTTTTTTTCACTCAGGTGTCTATCTTCAGGTAATGTGTTCCAAAATCCTCTATACCAGTATTCCTTACTCATATGGTTACAGACTAAAGATTATAGACTACAGATTTTAGATTATAGACTGCCAAATTTTTTTTTAAACATCATTTGTTTGAGGGAGTGGGGGTTAGAATGCAGGTCCTAGGTTTGAACTCAGGGCCTAGACACTGCCCCTGAGCTTTTTTGCTCAAGGCTAGTGCTCTACCTAGTGAGCCACAGCTCTACTTTGGGCTTTTTAGTGATTAGCTGGAGATAAGAGTCTTACAGACTTCCTTGTCTGTGCTGGCTTTGAACCTTGATCCTCAGATTTTAGCCTCCTGACTAGTTAGGATTACATGCATGAGACACCAGCACCCAGGCTCATATATTGGCTTTTACTTGATGACAGTACTTTCTTTCCATTAAAAATGTTTTCAACAAAAAAATGTTCTCAGGTATACAAACCCAGAGACAATCTCTAGTTTTTTATTTAACACTTAAAACTCAACTCATCTTCCATAGTTACATCTAAGAATCTAACTTCTCATGCAGGTAACATACTTAGCACTAGAATCTTCTTGTTCAGCTCCGTAAGAAACATCCTCCAAACCCACTACAATAAATAACTGTGCTAATACAAACAAGAATGATAACAGATTAGCAGACTGATAACAATTACCTGCTACCCTTGGAGCTTGTTCTCCTGAGGTCATTTCCTAAAAGAGGAAAAGATAAGAGTAACATCTGTTTCTTCCAAACACTGTTCTCACAGACTGCATTATATAGTTCTTCCATAGTTTCACTTACCACAACGGAATTTTTTTCTTAATTTGTAATGATTCATAAAATTCCAGAAATGAGATAAATTTTTTTGAATCTTGCTCTGGTTTTGCCTTTTCTCCATTGCAAATTTTACTGCTAAGCACTTGCTATGTACATCTAACCACACTTTTTCACTATGTACATCTAACCACGCTTCTTCACTTTCAGCCCCTCAACTACAGTCAAATCTACTTGTACATAACAGAAATAGTTTGAAGATTATCCCAATTTTTATACTAGGTGAAAGAAAACAAAATTAATTTTAATAAATGAAAAAGTTACAGAATCAATGTCTACAGAGTTCATTTATCAGCTCCCCAGTGATACTGGCAAAAATAATATTAAATATAAAACATTTAAGCTGGGAATGTGTCTTAGTGGTGGAGTGCTGGACTAGCATACATGAAGCCCTGGGTTCGATTCCTCAGTACAATATAAACAGAAAAGGCCAGAAGTGGTGCCATGAGCAAAAGCAGCTTAGGGACAGTACCCAGGCCCTGAGTTCAAGCCCCAGGACTAGGGAGGAAAAAAAAAAAAGCCCAATTATCATAGGGCACAGTTGGAGATTTTTATTCCCTAAGAGCAAGAATTCAATACCTGAATATCTATTATGAATACTAACACTGAAATCTTCAGCTATGCACTGTAGCTCATGATTATAATCCTAGCAACTCAGGAGGTAGAAATCAAGAAGATCAAGGTTGGAGACTCTTGTTTTTTTGTTTCTTTTAGGGGTTTTTTTTGGTTTGTTTTTTCTTTTTGTTGTTGTTGTTGGTAAGTTATGGGGCTTAAACACTGGGCCTGAGCACTGTCCTTGAGTTTGTCAACTCAAGGCAAGTGCTCTACGACTGGTGGTTTATTAGAGATAAGAGACTGGTGGTCTATTAGAGATAAGAGATAAGAATCTCGGGCTGGGAAGGTAGCTCAGTGGTAGAGCGCTTGCCTTGCACGCATGAAGCCCTGGATTCGATTCCTCAGCACACATAAGCAAAAAGAAAAAAGCCGGAAGTGGCGCTGTGGCTCAAGTGGTAGAGCTCTAGCCTTGAGCTGAGGGACAGCACCCAGGCCCAGAGTTCAGGCCCCATGACTGGACCCAAAAAAGAAAAAAAAAAAAAAAGAGAGAGAGAGATAAGAATCTCTAGGACTTTCCTGCCCATGCTGGCTTTGAACCATGATCCTTAGATTTCAGCCTCCCGAGAAGCTAGGATTACAGGCATGAGCTACCAGGGCCCGACTGAAGAGTCTGTTAAACAAAACAGAAAAGCCCCATATGGTGGTAGATGCTTATAATCCTAGCTATTCAGCAGGATTGCGGTCCATGACTGGTCCAAGTACAGAATAGGAGATCTTTACCAGCCATATATCCAGCAGGGGCCTAATTTTCAACATATACAAGAAGCTCATGAAACTAAACTCCTCCCCCAAATCAATAACACAATTAATAAAAGGGCAAAGGAGTTAAAGAGAAACTTCTCGCAAGAATGGCCAATAAACACATGAGGAAATGCTCACCATCTCTGGCCATTAAACAAATGAAAATCAAAATAACACTGAGATTCTATCTCACCCAAATAAAATTAGCTATCACATCAAGATGGCTCACACTTTTAATCCTAGCTACTCAGGAGGCAGAGATCTAAGGATCATGGTTCAAAGCCAGCCCAGGTAGAAAAGTCTGGGAAACTCATCTCCAATTAACCACCAAAAAACTGAGAAGTGGAGCTGTGGCTTAAAGAATATTAGCCTTAAGCTCAGGGACAACACCCAGGCCTTGAGTTCAAGCCCCATGAACAACAACAACCCAAAAAGAATATGAACAACAAATGATGGCAGGGACATGAAGAAAAAGAAATCCTATTACACTATTGGTGAGAATGTAAACTAGTACAACCAGTCTAGAAGGCAGTATGGAGATTCCTCAAAAAACTAAACAGAGAAATACTCAATGATCCAGAAATACCACTCTTGGGCAAACACTTGCACACACAATAAGAATTTACTCATCTACCACGAAAAACAATATTATGTCATTTGCAGGGAAATTGGAAAAAACTTATAATAATAAAGTAAATCAGACACAGAGACATAAACAGCACATGTTCTCTCATCTGTGGACATTATATCTAAATTATAAACATATATGAAAACATATACATGGTTATATGCATATAAACATGAACACAATGACTACTAAGGGGCTAATATTTAACTCCTCTGAACAACTAACAAATAGTTTAACAAAATGAATACCAGATAGTTAAAACATGGTTGTTGTTGTTTTTTTGGAGGGGGGAGTTTCCAAGAGAAGATGATTATGGAGAAAGGAAGACTGGGTAAAAAATATATAGTTATTATTGTCAACATATATTAGATGATAAGCTGAACTAAGTAACTTGAAGGTATGGATGGGATTAAGAGAGGAAAACAACAGAAGAGGTGAACATTGATCAAGATGTACTATATTTACAATCTAACTTACTGAACTAAAACCTTTGTACAGCTACTTAAAATAATTTAAAACATTAAAACTCACTTCGATAAAATACTAACAGAAAAAAATAATGAAGGGGGGGTGGGAGATGGGAAGGGATGGGAAGGGGAAACAAAGGAGGAGGCAACAATGCTTGATAAGAAATGCACTCATTATCTTGCCCATGTAATTGTAACCCCTCTGTATCGTATTTTCACAAAAAAAAAAAAAGAACAAAAAATTAAATAAATAAATAAATCAGCTATTATCATCCAAGAAAAAAAAATAATGAAAGGGCTGGGAAGGTGGCTCAGTGATAGAGTGCTTGCCTTGCATGCATGAGGCCCTGGGTTCCTCAGCACCACAAAAGCAGAAAAAGCCGGAAGTGGGCTCTGTGGCTCAAGTTGTAGAGCACTCCTCTTGGGCTGAAGAGCTGAGGGACAGCGTCCAGGCCCAGAGTTCAAGCCCCATGACTGACCAAAAAAAAAAAACAAGAAAAAGAAAACAAAACAGGGGCTGAGAAGGTGGCTCAGTGGTAGAGCACTTGCCTTGCATGCCTGAGGCCCTGGGTTCGATTCCGCAGCACCACATAAACAGAAAAGGCCAGAAGTCTCACTGTGGCCCAAGTGGTAGAGCGCTAGCCTTGAGCTGAAGAGCTGAGGACAGCGCGCAGGCCCAGAGTTCGGGCCCCATGACCAGACCCCCCCCCCCCCCAAAAAAAGAAAGAAAACAGCCAGCTATCAGTGGCTCATTTCCTTAGACTTAATTATTAGAGAGGCTGATGTCTGAGGATCGCAGTTCAAAGTCAGCCAGGGCAGAAAAGTCTGTGAGATTTACCTCCAATCAATCACCATAAAGCCAGAGGGAGAGCTGTTGCTCGGTGGCAGAGCATTAGCTTTGAGCAAAAATGCTAAGGGACAGTGTCTAGGCCCTGAGGTTTAAGCCCAAGACTGGCACCAAAAAAAGAAAAAAAGAAAAGAAACAGGACCCAGCAATATTTAAAAATTATTCATTCCCTTAAAAAACTAAACATACAACTTCCCTATGATCCAGATATACCACTCCTGGGTATAGAACATTAGAAGTCAGACTATGGTAAAAGACACTTGCACATCCATGTTCAGTGCTGCCACTGCACCAGAAGTGGCACTGTACCTTAAGTGGTAGAGTCCCAGAGTTCAAGCCCCAGGACCAGCAAATAACTAACCCCCAACATGTTGAAATCTTAACTATATGTACTGTAACTATAGAAAGGATCTTTGCAAATGTACTCAAGTTAAGATGGAATAATACTATATTCAGGTTGGCCCTACTCCAATGGGACTGGTATCCCTGAAAAGACACAAATATGAGAAAGCATAAGCCAATACTGCAGAGTTTGGAATAATCCTGCCCAGAACTAACGAAATGACAAACAGCAGTCAACAAATGCACAAGGTAGAAGAAAGGAATGGGATGACTTTTCCTCAGAAGATTACAGGTTCAAGACCAGCCTGAGTTACATAGAGAGCTACTATCTCAAAAAGAAAGAGAAAGATAAAGAGAAAAAGAAAAAAAGACAGAAAGACAGACAGAGAGAGGAAGGAAGGAAGGACGGACGGACGGACGGACGGACTTAAACATTAAAAAAAATGGGGGGCTGGGAAGGTGGCTCAGTGGTAGAGTGCTTGCCTTGCATGCATGAGGCCCTAGGTTCGATTCCTCAGCACCCCATAAGCAGAAAAAAAAAGCCGGCAGTTACATTGTGGCTCAAGTGGTAGAGTGTTAGACTTGAGCTGAAGAGCTGAGGGACAGAGCCCAGGTCCAGAGTTCAGGCCCATGACCGGACCCAAAAAAAAAAAAAAAATGGGCAAATTTTTTATCTTCCTATTAACAGCTCCCTACAATGAGAAACATTATCTGGTAGAAAAACCTAAATATATCAGAAATTCTATTAGTCTTTTACAAGTAACCAAGCAAAGAATGAAAAGCATTAAAATGGATACTTACAAATGATGATGTATACAAATCTTTTCCCTGCTTCACTTCCTGGGTAGTCACATCCATGTGGGGAAGCTGATGCTCAACAACAGTTACACATCCTACATCTGCAACATTCTCTGTGATTTCAAGCTGTCAAAATGAAGGTTTATAATTTCATTTTCATTATGATTTCATTTTATACACATCAGGATACAATCTCATTTTCAACTGAAAAACATTGAACATTAAGATGAAGCAATAATACGTTCACTTAAAATTTCAAGAGAAATAAAGTAGTTTAAACTGACAACAATTTGGCAAAAGTAGTATGTTTAAGAATTTTTAGGGGTCTGTGACTATTATTACCAGTAACAAATTTCTAAGGCTAATCTTTAGTGCCAGGAACCTCATCATCCATTCTCCCCACTTTGTCTCTACTCTGCCTCAAATTTTTTGTTCCATCTATTAGAAGTTAGCTAGTGCTTTCTGAAAACTAGGAATATGGGCACAGGGAAATAATACCCAATAAGATGGGTTTGATTGCTCCCTCTCCTCAATGAACTCACAATTTAAGAGAAACACACAATCAACTAACTATACACTGTCATAAATACTTTAATAGAGATAACAATCCACTCCCACACTCTAATGCTTGCATAATTCTTGACATCTATGACAGTAGGTTCATACAATACTCTTCATGTACCAGTCCTGATAGTCAAAGGTCACATAATGGGCAGCTAAGTAGATATTGCTGTTATTTCCTAAAATATGCATGTACCACTTGGCTCCTATAAACCATATTAACATAAAAAAGGAATATAAAATGTTACATTATTGGTAGAAACTAGAAGTAAAAAAAAATCAAGTCTCGCCAGGTGCTGGTGGCTCACGCCTTTAATCCAAGCTACTCAGATCTGAGGATTGCGGTACAAAGCCAGCCCAGGCAGGAAAGTCCATGAGACTCATCTCCAATAAACCACTAGAAAACCAGCAGTAGCACTGTGGCTCAAGTGGTAAAGTGCTCACCTTGAGCTGAAGAGTGCAAGGACAGTGCTCAAGACCAGAGTTCAAGCCCCATGACCGACCAAAAAAAACAAAAATCAAGTCTCACAATCTTGCTTCAAAACATATATATTATAGTAACACGTGTATATTGTGATACATCAGATGCAAAGAGAAAATTTTTACTACTGTCCAATGAGCCTCAAAAATATTTTTTTGGGGGGTCCGGTCATGGGGCCTGAACTCTGGGCCTGGGCACTGTCCCTCAGCTCTTCAGCTCAAGGCTAGCGCTCTACCACTTGAGCCACAGCACCACTTCTGGCTTTTTTCTTTTTGCTTGTGTGGTGCTGAGGGCCTCAGGCATGCAAGGCAAGCGCTCTACCACTGAGCCAACTTCCCAGCCCCAGACTCAAAAATATTTGAAAATTCCAATGATTTAAAATATTTTCAACCAGGTACCAATGGCTCATGTCTATAATCCTAGCTACTCTGGAAGCTCAGATCTTAGGATCATGGTTCAAAGCCAGGCTGAGCAGGAAAATCCATGAAAACTCTGATCTCCACTTAATGACCAAAAAACCAAAGTGATGCTGTGGGAAGCTGAGATTAGGAGGAATTGTCATTTGAGGTCAACCCAAGAAAAAAGTTCTCAACACTCCATCTCAAAGCTGAGTGAGCTAAATGTGCCTGCCATCCCAGCTATTATGAAAAGCATAAACAAAAGAATTTAGACCAAGTTGACACAAATAATGGTAAAGTGCCTGCTCAGTACATTTCTAGGCCCTGAGTTCAAACCTCTGCATCACACAAAGGAAGGAGGGAAGGAATAAGAAAAAATCAGCTACTAACTTATTACCTTAAAACACTTAATGTGTTATTATTAACAGTGAATAAAACAAAAGTAGGTTTTGATTTCCACTTGCAAATATAACTTTACAAAAGACGGGGACAATCCATTGCTTTTATTTTTAAGGTCGGTCTTGGGAAGTTGCACTTGAGGCCTGGGCACTAACCTTCAGCTCTTTTGCTCAAATCTAGCACTCTACCTCTTTGAGCCACAGCACCACTTCCGGTTTTCTGGTGGTTAATTAGAAGTAAATCTCATGTACTTTCCTGCATAGGCTGGCTTTGCACCACAATCCTCAGATCTCAGCCTACTGAGTAGCTAGGATTCTAGTCATTAGCCATTCCATTACTCCTTATATAAACTGTTTTATGTTACCATTTCTTTAGTTGTCACTACTACTATCTTAGGTACCTCATGATTGTTTTAAATGACACAGAAATTATTATGAATTCTTACATAAAAGTGTCATATGCCAGACACCAGTGGCTCATGCCTGTAATCCTAGCTACTCAGAAGGCTGAGATCTGAAGATCACGGTTCAAACCCAGCCCAGGCAGGAAAGTCTGTGAGACTCTTTTCTCTAATTAACCACCAGAAACCCAGAAGTGGTGCTGTGGCTCAAGCAGTAGAATGCTTGCCTTGAGCTGAAGAGTGCAGGGTCAGCGCCCAAGACCAGAGTTTAAATCCCAGGACCGACCAAAAAAAAAGTGTCATATGAGCCAGGAGCTGGTGGCTCATGCCACTTTCGCAAGTTCCTGAGACTCTTATCTCCAATAAACAACCAAAAAACTGGAAGCGGTGCTGTGGCTTAAGCGGCAGAGTGCTAGCCTTGAGTTGAATTGCTCAGGGACAGCGTTCAGACCCAGAGTTCAAGCCAGAGTTATGACCAACCTAAAAAAAAAGTGATTACAACATGAAGCAGAACAGATAACTTTGAAATTTTTTTTTTTTGGGTCCGGTCATGGGGCCTGAACTCTGGGCAAGGCTAACGCTCTACCACTTGAGCCACAGCGCCACTTCCGGTTTTTTTCTTTTTGCTTATGTGGTGCTGAGGAATCGAACCCAGGGTCTCATGCATGCAAGGCAAGTGCTCTACCACTGAGCCACCTTCCCAGCTCAACTTTGAAATTAAACAGTGGGAATACTAGAACACAAGAATAAGGAAACATAGCTGGCAATGTGGCTTAGTGGTAGTGTACTTGCCTAGCAGACCCTAAGCCCTAGGTTTGATTCATCAGTACCACATAAACAGAAAAGTCTGGAAGTGGCACTATGGCTCAAGTGGGAGAGTGCTAGCCTTGAGCAAAAGAAGCTGAGGGACAGTGCCTGGGCCCTGAGTTTAAGCCCAGGACTGGCAAAAAGAGAAAAACTCTTATTAAATGGTAGCCTTTCTATATAACACCTTAATGCAATAAAAATTATTCCAAAAAAGGAAGAGGAGGAAGGAAGGAAGGAAGGAAGGAAGGAAGGAAGGAAGGAAGGAAGGAAGGAAGGAAGGAAGGAAGGAAGGAAGGAAGGAAGGAAGGAAGGAAGGAAGGAAGGAAGGAAGGGCGGGAGGGAGGGAGGGAGGGAGGGAGGGAGGGAGGGAGGGAGGGAAGGGGGGATGGGAGGGAGGGAGGGGAATAATGGCTATTGATAAGGATATGAAATAATAGAATCCTTGAACACTCAATGGAAAAAAATACTTTTGTAAAAAACATACATATAGCCAGGCACCAGTGGCACACTTATAATCCTAACTACTCAGGTGGCTGAGATGTAAGGATTATGGTTCAAAGCCAGCTTGGGCAGAAAAGTTAATTTGCCACAAAAAGCCAAAGTGGAGCTGGGGTTCAAGGGGTAGGGCTAGACTAGCCTTGAGCACAAAAGCTCAGAGACAGCACTCAGGTCTTAAGTTCAAGACCCAGATGGGGGAAATCTTGCCAATAAATGAACAATTCTACACATAGATATAGATATATTCCAACATTAATAAATTATTACCATGTTCAGAGCATTATTTGAAATAGCCAGATGTCTACTGCTGGATGAAGGGGTAAAAAATATGATATACACACATGTGCACACATGACTATTAATACCACCCTAAGCCGGGCACCAGTGGCTCACTGTAATCCTAGCTACTCAGAAGGCTGAGATCTGAGGATGACAGTTCAAAGCCAGCCGGGGCAGGAAAGTCCTTGAGGGCCGAGTGCCGGTTCACGCCTGTAATCCTAGCTACTCAGGAGGCTGAGATCTGAGGATCGTGATTCAAAGCCAGCCCGGGCAGGAAAGACCATGAGACTCTTATCTCCAATAAACCACCAGAAAACCAGAAGTGGCACTGTGGCTCAAGTGCTAGAGTGCTCACCTTGAGCTGAAGAGTGCAGGGACAGCGCCCATGCCCACAGTTCAAGCCCCATGACCAACCCAAAAAAAAAAAAAAAAAAAAAATACCACCTTAAATTAGGAAGGATAGTCCAAAGGATATTTATAATTGAACCTTAAACATATTATACTACACAAAATAAGGGAGTCACAAAGAAGACAAATTCTATATGATTCCATTTATTTACATGGCAGGCAATTCAAACTCAAAAAAATTAATAGTGAGCCAGGCGCTAGTGCCTCCGGCTATAATCCAAGCTACTCAGAAGGCTGAGATCTGAGGATCATGCTTCAAAGCCAGCCCAAGCCCAGGCAGGAAAGTCCGTGAGACTCATCTCTAATTAACCACCAGAAAACCAGAAGTGGCACTAGCCTTGAGCTGAAGAGCACAGGGACAGTGCCCAGGCCCAGAGTTCAAGCCCCATGACCAACAAAAATAAAAAATTAAAGAGTTGCAAGTAGGCACTGGTGGCTCAGAACTGAAATTCTAACTACTCAAGGGAATGAAATCTGAGGATTACAGTTCAAAATCAGTCAGAATAGACAAATCCTCAAAACTTTTATCTGTTAACCAGCAAAGAAAAGCCAAAATGGAGTTGGGGCTCTAATGGAAGTATGCCAATCAGGAAAGAAAAAGTCAAGTGAGAGTGAGAGGCCTGAAGTTAGAATTCTAGTCCCAGCACATCTCACACACAATACACACATACACATACATACACCAATTAGCATGATGGCTGGGAAGGTCTACAGAGTGGGTGTGGGGGAAATGGTGCTTTATTATCAGAATCTAGTTTTGGAGTATGAAGAATTATGTGGACAAGGAGGTGATGAACATAGCACTGAATTATACATTTAAAATTGATTCATATAGTAAATTTTATGTTCCTTTTACACCTATCCAGGGTGGGGAGAGAGTGCCAGACTGGAAGTTGAACTCCAGGCCTACTGTTCTTATTTGGCTCTCCCACCCATACCCAGGCTGGTGTGATCTACCACTTGAACCACACCTTCACTTCCCACTTTTTTTGTTGATTAACTGCAAACAGTACTCTCTCAGATTTGTCAACCTAGAGTAATCCAAACTATAATTCTCAGATCTCAGCCTCATGAGTAGCTGGGAATAGAGATGTTCCGCTTACCATCACCTTATAAACGAAAGAAAGAAGTATATTTCCCCTCTACTTTCTCTGCTGGTCAAAACTTAGCCTGAGGTCATTACAGATAATACCACTAGCCAGGTATTTTTCAGATCAGCCTGCTACATAGTAAGTTTGAAGCCAGACTAACTATATAAGCCAATGTCTAAAAAACAAATCAAGGAAGAAAACATCTAAAAAAATTAATATAAAGTTAACATAAGAGTAATATAAAAAAGTAGACTATGCAGGCATCAGTGGGCTCACTCCTGTAATCCTAGCTACTCAGGAGGCTGAGACTCAAAGGATCATGATTCAGGGGCAGCATGAGCAGAAAAACTTGGTAGACTCTACCTCCATAATACTAGGAAAAAGTATAACTGGAGGTATGGCTGAGGTAGAATTCCAGCCACAAGGACAAAGGCCCTGAGTTCACACCTGAATATCAATAAAGGGAGGGAAGCAGAGAGTGGAGAGAGCTAGAGAGAGAAAAAGAGAGAGATTAAGAAGCATCCAAATATATTGTTATAATGAGTCCCTTGCTCGGCCTGGATGGAAAGGTCTAAGTTAACACAAGAGATTATACACAGTTACTACTATTGTTTCCTTAATTCATTAAGGCCTCAAATCAATTACATGTGGCAATATATAGAGAATTAACTCTTCAAATCTTAGTAATCACTAAAAGAGAAATAAGGACCTAGTAAAAGAAAAACAAAGAAAAAACAAGTATGATAAAGTGACAAGGATTCCAAAAAACAAACTACCTCTTCCATTGTTTCCTCAATCTGAGCAGAAACAGGTTCAGGGGATCTGAGACCAACAGGTACAAACACTGGTGCTTTGTTTAATTCTTCTGGGGCAAGATGATAGGTTTCTTCTTCATAATAAGGTTCAAAATCTTCAGCATCATCTTCATCCTCTTCCTGGGAAGCTCGAAGAGTCACCAGCATGGACTTTGAAGCTCTAGGTTCCTTCTTAGCAGTCTTACCTCGAATTCGTTTTGATCCTCGCCCTTTGGTGACATTTGGTTTGCTCTTCCTATGTGTTCTCTTCCCATTATGATCTATTTCACACTCAGATGCAGAAGAGGTCGTTGTTTTTTGATCCAAAATAATTTTGGAGTAACTTGATCGTTTCAATGGTTGAGGATGACTAGATGTTTAAGCAAAATAAGAAATTACTGTCACATATGCACCAGGATACTTCTAATAAAAAACAAGCTGCTGCCAAACACTGGTGGATCACACCTGTGATCCTAACTACTCAAGAGGCTGAGAACTGAGGATGGCAGTTCAATGACAGCTTGGGCAGTAAAGTCCATGAGACTCTTATTTCTAATAAACTACTCAGAAAAGGCCAGATGTGACATTGTGGTTAAAGTGGTAGAGCACTAGCCTTGAGCACAAAGAGGCTCAGGAACAGCACCCAGACCCTGAGATCAAGCCACAGGACTGAGGCAAAAAAAAAAACAACAGCTATAGTAAAATTTCAGTTCTGATCAATAAAATGAAAATTTCAACAATCTCTTCTTTTTTCTCCTTACCTTTTTTTCTCACCCTTCCTACCTTTTCTGCAAAAAAATTTGTTTAAATGTCCAGTAACAGAAAAAAGGATAAAGTACAGAGTTTATTTATATATGTGTGTTTACATCTATATATATTAGTATATTATCCAGCCATAAAGAAAAATGAAAATTTTACATTTACAGGAAAATGAGTAAAATTGGAGGACATCTTAAAACCTGAAAACACACACACAAAATTATGTTTTCACTTATATGTGGAAGCTATATCTAAAAGACATTTGAGGCTGGGAATGTGGCTTAGTGGGAGTGCTTGCCTAGCATGCATGAAGCCCAGGGTTCAATTCATCAATACCATACAAACAGAAAAAGCAGGAGGTAGCACTATAGCTCAAGTAATACAGTGCTAGCTTTGAGAAAAAAAGAAGCTCAGGGACAGTGCCCAGGCTCTGAGTTCAAGCTCCAAGACTGGCAAAGTCGTAAATTTTTTTAAAAGATATGTGTATCCCACTGACATGTACATATGTATACATACCTATATACATAATTATATAGTGGATAAACAGAACATAACTTTTTTGGGGGGGGGTCAGGTTGTAGGCCCTGAACTCTGGGCCGGGTCACTGTCGCTCAGCTCTTCAGCTCAAGGCTAGAGCTCTACCACTTGAGCCACAGCGCCACTTCCGGCTTTTTTCTTTTTGCTTATGTGGTGCTGAGGAATCAAACCCAGGGCCTCATGCATGCAAGGCAAGCACTCTACCAGTGAGCGACCTTTCCAGCCCAGAACATAACTTTAATAAGAGTACTTTGAGAAGGGGAGAATGGAAAAAGAAAGATAAAAGGTAATTATTTTTAAATACATTGCAACTATACATTTAAACAGCATAAAGAACCTCAATGAATGCTGTTAATCCACAGGGAACGCAAGGGAAGAAAAACAGGCTTTATTGGGGAACTATTAGAAGGAGGCTGAGAAAACAAGGAGAGTGAATGAAGAGAAAATGGTGTAAATAGGTAGTTTTCCATGTATGAAAATAAGACAATGAGGGCTGGGAAGGTGGCTCAGTGGTAGAGCGCTTGCCTTGCATGCCTGAGGCCCTGGGTTCGATTCCTCAGCACCACATAAGCAAAAAGAAAAAAGCAGGAAGGGGCGCTGTGGCTCAAGTGGTAGAGCGCTAGCCTTGAGCTGAAGAGCTGAGGGACAGCGCCCAGGCCCAGAGTTCAGGCCCCAAGACCGGACCCAAAAGAAAAAAAAAACAAAAATAAGACAATGAAATCTGTTAATATGCCTTAGAAAAGAAGACAATGAAAATGAGAGTTTGAGATTGACTGATACATTGTATACATGAGGGGAAATGTCACAATGAACTCTCACCACTCCTTCCCTCAGTAATACATGACAATAAAACAAAAAAATATGATAGGAAAATAAAGTAAAAGCCAGGTGTCAGTGGTTCATGCCTATAATCCTAGCCGTGGTTTAAAGCCAGCACGAGCAGCAAAATTCATACGACTTTTTTTTTTTGGGGGGGGGGGGTGGAAAGGGAGGGAGGGAAGGGGGGTTGGTTGTGGGGCTTAAGCTCTGGGCCTTGGCGCTGTCCCTCAGCAATTCAGCTCAAGGCTAGCACTCTACCACTTGAGCCACAGCACCACTTGGGTTTTCTGGTGGTTTACTGGAGATAAGAGTCTCACAGACTTTCACGCCCCAGCATGGCTTTGAACAGGGATCCTCAGATCTCAGCTTCCTGAGTAGCTAGGATTACAGGCATGAACCACCTATGCCCAGCTTGTGAGACTATTATCTCCAATAAACCACTAGAAAACCAGAAGTGAAGCCATGGCTTAAAGTGGTAGAGCACTAGCCATGAGCAAACCAAAAAGAGCTCAGGGTCAGCACCTAGGCCCTGAGTTCAAGCCCCACGACCGGACCCTAAATAAATAAATAAATAAATAAATAACTGCCTCCATTTCCATAAGCCATATTCTTTTTTTGCTCTATTATTAAGGTAGGCCATCCATAAGGAATAATAAAAATTTACTTCATATTCTGTTTGTTAAGTAAAGTGTTACCTGGTAGGTTTACTCAGATGTTGTTCCTTAACAATGGAAGACACAGAATTATCTTTTCCAGTTTCCTCTTCAACACTCCTCGATGGTCCAACATCTAATTGAGCATATTTTTGAGCCAAACTACAGTCTTCAGAACCTACACAATCTTTTCTTGCTGAAACTTCCAGAGAGGTCAAAATCTCTGTCTTTTCCTTAAATTTAAGAAGAAACAGCTAATATTTCCAGGGACAATTTCTGTATTAATTTGGTTTAGCAGTTTGGTTGAATCTTCTAATTTACACACACAGACACGTGAACAGTTTCCAAACTGTTGGAATAATTGAAAGCCACTTACTTTCACAAAAATACTTCTAGTACAAAACTAAACTGACTTTATTATTTGTTTTCCTTCATTATCCTGATAAAAAGAGTTCACCACCAATAAAGTTACATTTTCTGAACTTACTTTCACAAGGAGCTGGGTGTCAGAATCTCCTTGCTGCAGCAAATTATCTTCTGGTTTGCATACCCTGTTCTCATCTGTTGCGCCTTTTTTCATACCTGCTCCTTTTTTACTGTTTGCTCTGCTCAAATTTGGCTTAGGCTTTTGGGAGAATCTTCTTATCAATTGTGCTGGACTAGGAACACATGGCTTATTTTCTTCACATCTGGAATGAAGCATAGATCATAGTGAAAAACAAAATCAGAACTTCTTGATGTAATAACTCTTAAGCAATTTTAGATATAAAATGGTTCAAAGAACTATGTATGAACTGATCATAAACCCAAGCATGGGAAATGAAACCATACATTGATACAAAAGGAACAAGATAAAAAGCTTTATTTTTTTGTGCCAGTACTGGGACTTGAACTCAGGGTCTCATATTTTCACTTGGGTTTTTTTTCTCAAAAATGGTGCTCTACCATTGGGCCACAACTCCAGTTCTAGAAAAGTTTTTTATAGCTACTTTTTTCTGCATAGCCTAAGAATGGGTTTAATATTAATCCTTATTACTGTAACTTATTCATTCTGGTCTGTGGCTGTCACTTTAAGTTTCAAAGAAATAACTGTATACGGGGGCGGAGGGAGGATGGGAAGGGAAAGGGAAATAAAGGAGGAGGCTACAATGCTTGATAAGAAATGTACTCATTATCTTGCCCATGTAATTGTAACCCCTCTGTACAGTATTTTCACAATAAAAATAAAAAAATAAACCCTAAAAAAATTTTTTTAATTAAAAATAATAAAAAATAATAAATTAAAAATTAAAAAATTAAAAAAAAAGAAATAACTGTATACTCCAAGATTACTAGCAGGCCTCAGTAAGTTTCACAGTAGGCCTTTAAAGGAATGCCTTAAACTGGGCTCCAAAGCATAAGCCTTATACGTGGTCCCATCACCTGATCAGGCTCAAGAGTAGGTCTATTCTGCTACCACAAACCTAATCCAGAATAAAATTCATAAAATCAGCTACAAAAAAGCCCAACCTTTATCCTTGAAGTGTTGTGTTTTTCTAATTAAAAGCAACCCTACAGCTGTTGACTCACGCCTGTAATCCTAGCTACTCAGGAAGCTGAAATCTGAGAATCACAATTCAAAGCCAGCCTGGTTAAGAAAGTACATGAGACTTTTATCTCCAATTATCCACAAGAAAAACAGACGTGGCACGGTGGCTCAAAGTGGTAGAACACTAGCCTTGAGCAAAAGAGCTCAGGGCCAGTGTCCAGGCCCTGAATTCAAGCCCACAACCAGATGTAAAAAAAAAAAAAAAAAAGTCAACCTTACCTTATCTTTTCCTCCAAAATATTTTTTTCCTCCAAAATAGTCTTGTCAACATGGAGACTTTCTGCAGGAACCACATGACTTTCATTTTCATCCATTCTGCATTCAGAAACTTTGGAGGATACAACTTCAATTTCAGTGTCAATTTCAGCATTTGACTATAAGGCAAAAACATTTTTTTGTAGCAGTGTCTACTTTCAAAAATATTATAATCATTAAAGAGTATTCATTTTTACTTCCTTCTCATTTTCTTTCCATGTTTATTTTTGTCCTAAGGATAAACCCAGAGCCTTGCAAATGTTCTACCACTGGGGTTCACTTGTAGCCCACTAGTTTTTGGTTTTTTTTAAATTAAGATTCAATCTGCATAACCAATGAAAGATTGCAATGACTGTTTCCATAATATGTTTACATAACACTTTTCTATGAATGTCAACAATTACAAAGTTAAAAATTACAAGTAGCTTGGGATGGTTATACACCCCAATGAGAGAGCGCAGTGGCTAGCATGCATAAGACTCTGGGCCTAGACAGGAGCAGGTGGCTCTGTAACCCTAGCTACTCGGGAGGCTGAGATCTGAGGACTGCAGTTCAAAGCTATCGAGGGCAGGAACGTCCATGAGACTCATCTCCAATAAACTACCAGAAAATCATAAGTGGTGCTGTGCCTCAAGTGGTAGAGTGCTCATCTTGAGTTGAGGAGCTGAGGGACAGCGCCCAGGCTCAGAATTCAAGCCCCACAACAGACCAAAAAAAGGAAGGATGGAAGGAAGGAAGGAAGGAAGGAAGGAAGGAAGGAAGGAAGGAAGGAAGGAAGGAAGGAAGGAAGGAAGGAAGGAAGGAAGGAAGGAAGGAAGGAAGGAAGGAAGGAAGGAAGGAAGGAAGGAAGGAAGGAAGGAAGGAAGGAAGGAAGGAAGGGGAAAAAAGACAAGACTCTGGGTCTGTCCAAGCATTAAAAAAAAGTGTAATGGGTTGTTAGTCTTATTTTATTCAAATAAGGATTCAGGATATGACTGCAATATGCCTGCAACATCTGTCACCCTACTGAACACCAGCATTGATTCTGAAGATCTGGCTAACTAGGACAGTAGCTGCTTCCTCTCTCACGACTCCATGTTCATGTCTCCCAAAGCTGCATGCTTAGTACAAGAGACAACCATTCTTTGATAAAGGGTATGATTAGCTGTGTTCTGGATCTCCAAAAAAGCTATCAAAGAAGGATTATTTGGTTATGCCTTGATATACAAAAAATAGGACACAAAAATAAAAAGTGGCTGAAATTGACATTTTTAGGGGTTACACTCTTGAACTTTTTTTTTTCCTAAACAAATACATCTATTAAAAACTTGGTAGATGGGCTAGGAAGGTGGCTCAGTGGTAGAGCACTTTTGCCTTGCATGCATGAGGCCCTGGGTTCGATTCCTCAGCACCACATAAGCAGGGGAAAAAAAAGCCAGAAGTGGCACTGTGGCTCAAGTGGTAGAGCTCTAGCCTTGAGCTGAAGGGCTGAGGGACAGCTCCCAGGCCCGGAATTCAGGCCCACGACCGGACTCCAAAAAAAAAAAACTTGGTAGAGGGCTGGGAAGGTGGCCAGTGGTAGAGCGCTTGCCTTGCATGCATGAGGCCCTGAGTTCAATTCCTCAGCACCACATAAGCAAAAAGAAAAAAAGCCTGAAGTGGCGCTGTGACTCAAGTGGTAGAGTGCTAGCCTTGAGCTGAAGAGCTGAGGGAGCACCCAGGCCAAAAAAAAAAAAAAAACACTTGGTAGAATACTAGGAATGTGGCTTAGTGGAACATGCATGAAGCCATGAGTTCGATTCCTCAGTACCACATAAACAGAAAAAGGCGAAGCGGTGCTTTGGCTCAAGTGGTAGAATGCTAACCTTGAGCAAAAAGCGCAGGGACAGTACCCAGGCCCTGAGTTCAGGTCCCAGGATTGGTTTAAAAAAAAAAGGAAAATCAACTTCGAAGAGCCGGGGGCTGGTGGCTCACACCTGTAATCCTAACTACTCAGGAGGCTGAGATCTGAAGATCATGGTTCAAGGCCAGCCCTGGCAAGAAAGCCATGAGACTCTTATCTTCAATTAACAACCAGAAAACAAGAAGTGGTGCTGTGGTTCAAGTGGTAGAACGCTCACTTGGGCTTAAGAGATCAGGAACAGTGCCCAGGCCCAGAGTTCAAGCCCCATGACCAACCACAAAAACTTGGTAGAGCTGGTACAATTTAAGTGGAGGATCACCAACTGCAAGCTAAAGGCCTTGAGTTTAATTCCCAAACATATCTCTCTCTCACACTCTCTCTCTCTCTCTCTCTCTCTCACACACACATACAATTGATTAAATGGCTGAGGCAAGATGATCAAGAATCTGAGGTCATCTTATGCTGCACAACAAAATCCAGTCTCAAAGAGGAAAGGAGCAAGATAAAGAGCAACACTGTCCAAAAAGGATGTACTCTGCCTGACCTATGAACTGTAACTCCTCTGAACATCACCTTTATAACAACTTTTCTTTAATTTTTCAAAAGGGAAGAGAGGGGAGAAGAAGAGATAAAGAATAGAAAGAAGGGAAGAAGGGAGAGAGAGGATGGAAAGAGATAAAGAAAGGAAAGAGGGATATAAAACATTTGAATCAATAGGATGTTAAAACATCATGTAGCCAGGCAACAATAGCTCACATCTATAATCCTAGCTATTTAGGTACCTATAATCTGAGAATCCAGGTTCAAAGCCAATCTGGGCAGAAGTCTGTGAAACTCATCTCCAATTACCCACCTAAAAGCCAGAAGTGGACCTGTGGTTCAAGTGGTAAAGCAGTAGCATTGAGCAAATAATATCAGGGACAGGGCTGGGAAGGTGGCTCAGTGGTAGAGTGCTTGCCTTGCAGGCCTGAGGCCCTGGGTTCAATTCCTCAGCACCACATAAGCAAAAAGAAAAAAGCCGGAAGTGGCACTGTGGCTCAAGTGGTAGAGCGCTAGCCTTGAGCTGAAGAGCTGAGGGACAGTGCCCAGGCCCAGAGTTCAGGCCCCACGACCAGACCCCAAAAAAAAAAGTCTGGGATAGCACCTAGGCCCTGAGTTCAAGTCCCACTACTGGCATGTGCACACACACACACACACACACACACACAGAAATCATGTATATGATGACTTTAACTTTACATAGATATATGTACATATGTGTGCTTAATGATGGACTCAGTAAGATATGGCAATATTTGGAGTATTATATTGTTTTAAACTGACATTTCAGAATGAATAGCTTTATTATTTGGGGTAAGGAGGTTCTCTTTTAAGTCAGGTGCTCTATCAGTTGATATCCCCCAGTCCCTTTGTTTTACTTTTAAAATAAGTTTTTGGGCTGGGAAGGTGGCTCAGTGGTAAGAGTACTCGTCTTGCATGCATGAAGCCCTGGGTTCAATTCCTCAGTACTACATACACAAAAAAAAGCCAGAAGTGGTGCTGTGGCTCAAGTGGTAGAGTAAAAAAGAAGCTCAGGAACAGTACCTAAGCCCTGAGTTCAAGCCCCAGGACTGGGGGAAAAAAAAAAAAAAGGTTCTCATGGTTCTGCCCAGGCCAGCCTGGGAAGTAATCCTACTTTTTTTCCAAAGTAGCTGGGATCAGAGGCATAGTCCACTATACCCAGCTTACTAGTTGAGATAAGAACGTTTTCTGAAGCTAAGCTCAAACCTCAATTCTCCCTTATCTCCACCTCCCAACTAGCTAGGATTACATGTGTAAGCCATCTATCTACTCCTATCTCTTGATATTTTAATATGCATTAAAAGGCTCAATTTAATTACATAAAAATAACATACCACAGCTTGGGATTTCTTCATTTCATCTTTCTGTGCTATTGTTCCTTCTGTCTTAATTTTGTCTTCAGCTTCACCTTTTTCCATTATTTGTCGCTGTCTAGCCTTTCGTATATTTGGTTTTGGTCTATGAAGCCGGCCTCTCAGTGGTAGAGCAGTTTGGACAACATTTTCCTTTGTCTTTTGTTGGAAATCATCTTGTTTTTGAGTCCTAGAAAAAGGACAGGGAGCTATTGATTGTAAAACACTGAAAACTACAATTAAAAAAAAATTAAATTTCACCTAGTACACTGAAAATATTTTTTAATCGCTTAAGGAACAGAGTCTGATTACAAAAATATTTTATAGAAGTTAATGTGGAGCTGGGGATGTATTTTAGTAATTAGAGTGTTTGCCTAACATGTGAGTCTTTGGGTTTCACCCCTAGAACTGCAAAAAGGGGAAGAAAGGGAAAGGGAAAAGGAAAGGAAGGAAGGGAGGGAGGGAGGAAGGGAGGGAGGGAGGGAGGGAGGGAGGGAGGGAGGGAGGAAGGGAAGGAGGAAGGGAGGAAGGGAAGGAGGGGGGAGGGGGAGGGGGAAGGAGGGAGGGGGAGGGAGAGAGGAAAGGAAAGGAAAGAAAAGGAAAAAGTTGCTTCAATTCTTAAAATAGCAATAAATATATATGATGCTCCTAACATAGTCAAATTTATAGAAATAGAAAAGAGAATAGTGGGGGTTGCCAGAAAATGGAAAAAGGGGGTAATGGAACTTAGTGTATAATGGATAGAGTTTCAATTTGGAGAAATTAAAAGTTTTTCTGGAGATGATAAGTGCTATGATTGCTCTCATCATGTGAACAGATGTGACTATGAATAGACCAAAGTAATTCAATTGGCAAACTTTATATTAGATATATTTTATCAATTTTTAAAGTAATGAATATACAGCAAATACACAGATCTATCTAGATAGATCTATCTTCATATAGGTATAGACGTATCTATATATCTATGTATATATACTGCTTGAGTGTATTGTGGTCTATAAATCTTAAAATTGTTGACATTAAACAAAAACCACAAAGCACTGAAAGTGCTTAATTTAGTGTGATTTTCTATCTTAGGTACACCAATAAATAATAAAAGAAGTATTCTTTTTTTTTTTGGTGGGGGGGTCCGGTCGTGGGGCCTGAACTCTGGGCCTGGGTGCTGTCCCTCAGCTCTTCAGCTCAAGGCTAGCGCTCTACCACTTGAGGCACAGCGCCACTTCCGGCTTTTTTCTTTTTGCTTATGTGGTGCTGAGGAATCAAATCCAGGGGCTCAGGCATGCAAGGCAAGCGCTCTACCACTGAGCTACCTTCCCAGCCCCAAGAAGTATTCTTTTTATCAACTTTTAAAATATACTAACGTATTTTTTTTTAATCTCCAATGAACCAAAAACCCATTGTGTCTCAACTGGTAGAGCACCAGCCTTTAAGACCCTTAGCACCAAGACCCTTAGTTCAAACCCTAATATGGGAGCCAAAAGATAAATTTCAAGTCTTTCTTATTTTAGATTGTCAGGGAAGTATCACTGTTTACCCCATAAAGATAACTAATTCATTTTCCTGGGTTTGTGTTAACTGAGATTCCTCTTTAGTTTCACAAGAATTTGAAGGTGAAGGATCCTTTCCGGTCTCTGTACATGACACTATTTCAGCCTCCTCCTCCTGAACTGACTTATCTTTTTCTCTTGGTGTTGTTAGAGAATCCTAGAGACAAAAAAGCAAAAATAAAAACATCATCCAGGGTGGGTACACATATTGGAAAATAATAGCTGTCACATATATATAATTTCTAAAAATTCAACTTCTACAAATTCATCTCACAGAAACAGCCAAAGAAGTAGGTAGATATATATAAGCAAAGGTATTTATGAGAGCAATTAAAGAATTCTCCAAAGACATATCAGTAAATCAGTAAAGGACTAAAAAGCCTGCCCAAAAAGAAAAGAAAACCCACACACTGGAAATAAGACAAAACTACTATAGGAAAACTAAATAAATTTTAATTTCTTTCTTTTTTTTTTTGGTCAGTTGTGGGCCTAAACTCTGGGCCTGGGCACTGTCCCTCAGCTCTTCATTCCAGCTTTTTCTGCTTATGTGGTGCTGAAGAATCGAACCCAGGGCCTCAAGCATGCAAGGCAAGCACTCTACCACTGAGCCACCTTCCCAGCCCTTAATTTCTTTACACTGAAACAGTACTCATCCTTTCGGAGGTGGAGAAAAGCAAGGGATAGTTCTCTCACTATATTGCCCAGGCTGGCATCTATCTTACAACTCTCCTTTTACAGTCTCTTGAGTAGCCAGGCCTACAGGCACTGGTACAACAGAGGCAAAGAAATGGAGGGACAAAGCGTAAACAAATGCAGCAGTGGTACTTAGTGGATACTATGTGGAAAATTAATTATTCAACTTGTAGGTAGGGACAGGAGGGAAAAACTGGGAGACAGCAAGGGAAGGAGTGACACTCTCCAAAAAGAAATGTACTCAGGCTAGGAATGTGGCTTAATGGTAGAGTGCTTGCCTAGCACGCATGAAGCCCCTAGGTTTGATTCTTCAGAACAGAGCCAGAAGAAGCAATGTGGCTCAAGTGTTAAGAGTGACAGTCTTAAGCAAAAGAAGCTCAGGGACAATACCCAGGCCCTGAATTCAAGCCCTAGGACTGGCAAAAAAAAAAAAAAAGTACTCTTTACCTGATTTATGTAACTGTAAAATCTTTGTATATCACCTTAAAATTAAGAATTTTTTAGAAGAAAAACCTATTGCACAGTGCTGATCCAAGATTTTCATAGCTAGGTACCAATGGCTCACACTTTTAATCCTAGCTATATTGGAGCCCTAAGAACAGAAGGATTATGGTTCAAAGCCAGCCTGAGCAGAGAAGCTCCAAGAGATTCTATCTTCAAAATAATCAGCAGAAAGCTGGACTGGAGGTATGGATCAAGTGGCAGAACATAGCTGAGCAAGCTAGCTTAGCAAGTGTGAGGATGTGATCTTAAACAATAGTAGTACCAGGAAGGGAAAAAAATGTGTTAAATAGAAAAATCAGAAGGCATGGAATGATTTTTTTGGTTTTTTGGCTAGTCCTGGGGCTTGGACTCAGGGCCTGGGCACTGTCCCTGGTTTCTTCAGTTCAAGGCTAGCACTATGCCACTTGAGTCACAGCCACTTCCAGCTTTTTCGGTGTGTGGTACGAAGCAATTGAATCCAGAGCTTCATGCATGCTAGACAAGGATTCAACCATTAAACTACATTTCCAGCCTTGGAATGATATATATTTTTTTTTGGGGGGGGGGGGGTCCGGTTATGGGGCCTGAACTCTGGGCCTGGGCACTATCCCTCAGCTCTTCAGCTCAAGGCGCTCTACCACTTGAGCCACAGCTCCACTTCTGGCTTTTTTCTTTTTGCTTATGTGCTGCTGAGGAATCAAACACAGGGCCTCATGCATGCAAGGCAAGTGTTCTACCACTGAGCCACCTTCCCAGCCCCCAATATATTATTTTTTTTTAATTAAAATCCCCACACAATATTTTATTTTATAAATAAGTGTTTACACAGAGTCTAGGTGTATATTCAAAAAGGGAGAATGAGCTGGGAGCCTAGGTGTATATTCAAAAAGGGAGAGTGAGCTGGGAGCCAGTGGCTCACGCCTGTAATCCTAGCTACTCAGGAAGCTGCGATTTGAGAATAGCGGTTCAAAGCCAGACAAAGCAGGAAAGTCTGTGACACTCTAATCTCCAATTAGCTACCTGAAAAGTGGCGCTGTGGCTCGAAGTAGTAGAATGCTAGCCTTGAGCTAAAGAACTCAGGGACAACACCCAGGCCCTGAGTTCAAGCCGATGAGGAAAAAAAATTTTAATGCATAAATATGAATTTGATGTATATTAATAACTAAACCTAGTTCTAAAAATCACATCATATGCATAAAACTCAATTTCTGATAATTAGCATTTCATTTCAAAGTTTCTGGTGTTGTATCAATTATGAGCCAAGTTAATAAAATAAATATCTGCTTTAATTTTCAAACATTTAATTTTTTATTTTACCTTCAAACTAGAATGGAATAATTACTATGAAGCAACTAGGCACATCAACCGGCTGTGACTACACAGTCAGACATTCAAACACAGCCCAGACTTCCTAAATAATCTTTGTTTTTTTTTGGGGGGGGGGGGGTCTGGTCATGAGGCCTGAACTCTGGGCCTGGGCGCTGTCCCTCAGCTCTTCAGCTCAAGGCTAGCGCCCTACCACTTGAGCCACAGTGCCACTTCCGGCTTTTTTCTTTATGTGGTGCTGAGGAATCGAACCCAGGGCCTCAGGCATGCAAGGCAAGCACTCTGCCACTGAGCCACCTTCCCAGCCCCCAAAATAATCTTTCCACAATACAACACACTACATACTTGCATATCCAAGATTTTTAAATAAACTACATTAATGTTGTGGTATATTGTTAATGTAGTTTCTGTAAGCACATGATCAGTATCAAACACAGTAAACATTATAGGAACCTAGAAAATTTTACTAACCATAGTGACACAAAAACCCAAAACATTCCACTTTAAGTTATCACTCACATGTTGAAAAGAGAGAATATTAGTTGGCTCAACGTCTTGCTGTACCACAACAGTCTTTATTTCATGTGTTTCTGACTTCTTTGCAGACAAATATTTTTCTGAGTCTGTAGTCTCTTTCTTTAAAGATGCTCTTACCAAGTTTGGTTTTGGTCTTTTGAATCGACTTCTCACAATTGGTACTGGTTTACTTTCAACTGGCTTCTGTTCTTGAGGAAGAGATTTGCTTTTGGAACAAGGATTATAAAACTTTAGGATGAACTGAAACGTTGGAATTTAGGATAATCTTAAGAGATTTGTAATGGGGGAAGGAGGGAAATAGGGGCAATAATGTGCTTGAGACTTTGCTCTTGCTAGATAAGCAGTTAACCACTTCAACCACATTCCCAGTACTTCAACTCTGAGATTACAAAAGCAAAATGGTTTCATGCTTTTTCTTTTTTTTTTTAATTTAATTTAATTTTTTTTTCTTTTTGTGAACATACTCTACAGAGGGGTTACAATTACATGGGCAGGATGGTTTCATGCTTTTGCCCAAGGTGATCTCAGCTAGTAATTCTCATTCTTCACTGGGATATAAATCAAACTGGAAGTATGGCTCCAGTAGTAAAGTATCTGTCTAGAAACTGCAGATTTTGAGACAAATTCCCAGTACTAACAAAATTAAGAAAAAGAAAATACTGCTGTGTTTGATGGTCCCCTAAAAACCATGAGTGGTTAACCAGGTGGCAGTGTAGCTACTCAGGAAGCTGAGGTCTAAGGATCATGGTTGAAAGCCAGCCCAGGCAGTAAAGTCCGTGACCCTATTATCTCCAATTAATCACACAAAAAGCCAGAAGTGCTGAGGTGGCTCAAGTGGTACAAAGCTAGCCTTGAGCACAAAAAGACTCAGGGATAGCACCCAGGTGCTGAGTTCAAGCCCCAGGACCAGCAAAACATAAAAAAAAATGTGAGTGGTATAAACAGAACTACATTGACAATTTTTGCATAAAGAAAACACTAGTCTAGGGTCCGGCACCAGTGGTTCATGTCTGTAATCCTAGTTACTCAGGAGGCTGAAATCTTAAGTTCCATGTCTGAAACCAGCCAGGGCAGGAAAGTTTATATCCAATAACTTACTAAAAAGCCAGAAGTAGAACTCTGGCTCAAGTGGTAGAGTACTAGGCCTTAAACAAAAGCAACTCAGGGACAGTGCCCAGGCACTGAGTTCAGGCCCAAGGACCAGGACAAGAAAGAAAAAAGGGAAGGAAGGGAGGAGGGAAGAAGGAAGGAAGAAACTGGGGGGAGCGAGGAAGGAAGGGAGGGAGGGAAGAAGGAAGGAAGGAAGGAAGGAAGGAAGGAAGGAAGGAAGGAAGGAAGGAAGGAAGGAAGGAAGGAAGGAAGGAAAGAAGGAAGAAATTGTGGGGGAGAGGAAGGGAGGGAGGTGGCGGAGGAGGAGGAGGACGGAGGGAGGGAGGGAAGGAGGGAGGGAAAGAGAAAACACCAGTCTGTAAACTCCATGTGGACTTATGACTGTGTATCACATGTAACTTTGTAGCTGTTAGTCTCATTACCAACTGCCAGAATAACCTCAATCCTCTCTCCTGGTATACCCAAAATATCTTAAAATTTCTAATACTACCGGGCAAACATGATTTATGTAATGTATACATGGAGTTTGTTTGCTTGTTTGTTTGTTTTGGGGGGGGATCCGGTCGTGGGGCCTGAACTCTGGGCCTGGGCGCTGTCCCTCAGCTCTTCAGCTCAAGGCTAGCACTCTACCACTTGAGCCACAGCACCACTTCCGGCTTTTTTATTTTTGCTAATATGGTACTGAGGGATCAAACCCAGGGCCTCAGGCATGCAAGGCAAGCGCTCTACCACTGAGCCACCTTCCCAGCCCCTATGTGGACTTTTAATATTGGACTTTTTAATGTTGGGTCATTAATTATACCAAATTTACCATATATAAGATTCTAATAATAGGAGAAATGTTTTATGCATACACAGAGTTTCTGTCAGTCTTCACATACTTTCTGTAACTTTCAAACTGTTATAAAATAAATGCTTATTGGGGAGTTTTTTGTTAAGTGTACACACACACACACACACACACACACACACACACACACACACACACACACACACACACACACACACACACACACACACACACACACACACACACACACACACACACACACACACACACACACACACACACACACACACACACACACACACACACACACCAACTTGTACCTTAAGTTACTCGCTGACAAGTGTTCTGCATTATCTGTAGGTTGTACCACCTGATCTGCATTATCTGTAGGTTGTACAACCTGATCTGCTTCACAAAGCCCAGAACTCTGTGAAAAAGTCTTCAAATGATTTGACACTTCCTTTTCAGAACTTTCTTTCTCTTTTGTAGATGTACACATCACCGAGGCTGCTTCAGTTCTAATGTTCTAAAGCAAAAACCAAAGTAAAGCTAAATATATACAACTTTCATAAACATTTCAAACAAAAGCCTACAATTTTCTAGACACAATTCTTTAAAAAGTTAAGCTTGTTTTTTTTAACTTTCAAGTAAGATTGACTACAAATGTTAAAACATAGAACTCTAGAATATCTTCCATTTATATTGTATTTTATAATTACTCCAAACTATAAATGCCATTATATCTTTTTAAAAAAACTTTAAAAATTAGAAAAATAGTCCTAAAAAATGTTTCAAGTGGGACTGAAACAGTGGCTCAGTGGTAGAGTGCTTGCCTCATATGCATGAGGCCCTGGGTTCGATTCCTCAGCACCACATAAGCAGAAAAGGCCAGAAGTGGCGCTGTGGCTCAAGTGGTACAGCGCTAGCTGTTTCAAGTGTATGAACTTAAATAAGGGAACTGTCAAGAAAAAGGAATTGTTATTAAGTGAAGAGAATGTTAGTAAGAAAAGAAATAAAGAAAAAGAAATAACCATGGCCAAGAGAAATAATTCCAGCTTCATAAAGTTAGTACATATCTAGTCCAATTTTATGTATTTCTTTAACCAACACCAAATTGCCATGAGAAATAGTACCTATTTAAGTTTCTGTTTGCTTTGTTTTTAAAGAAAACAAATTAAAGGTGGCTTACACCTATAATACTAGCTATTCAGGAGGTTGAGATCTGAAGATTACAATTCAAAGAAAGACCAGGCAAACAAATCAATGACACACTTATTTCCAATTAACCAGCAAAAAGCTAGAAGCAGAGGTGTAGATCAAGTGGGAGAACACCAGTTCTGAGTGAAAAAAAAGCCAAGCAAGTGCTCAAGATCTCGAGTTTAAGTCCGAATACGGGTGTGTGCATACGTGTGTACACATACACAAATGTTGTTAACAATCCTGAAACACAAAATTCAGGCTAAAAGAAGACTTTAGGCTTTCAGAGACTTTAAGTGCTATTGAATTTAAGGGCAATAATCATGAAATAATGTGAAGTTATTTTGGCAACTTTTCTCTGAAAAAGTATTCCAAAAAAAAAGGTTTTTTTTTTTGCCAGTACTGGGGCTTGAACTCAGGGCCTTGGCTCTGTCCCTGAGCTTCAATGTGTTCAAAACTAGAGTTCTACCACTTGAGATACAACACTTCTGGTTTTTTCTGAGTAGTTTAGTGAAGATAAGAGTGTCACAGACTTTCCTGACCAGGCTAGCCTCAAACAGTGACCTCAGATCTCAGCCTCCTAAGTAGTTAGCATTAACTAGTGTGAGCCACCAGCTTCACAATGAATTTATTTATGTACTTATTTATGTATTTATTTAGTCAGCCACGGGGCTTGAACTCGGGGCCTAGGCATTGTCCCTGAGGTTCTTTTGTTCAATGATAGCACTCTACCACTTGAGCCATAATACCGCAGCTAGCTTTTTCTGTTTATGTGGTACTTAGGTATCAAACCCAGGGCTTCATGCATGCTAGGCAAGTACTCTACCACTAAACTACATTCCCAAGCCTCAAAAATGTTTAAAGAAGGGCTGGGAAGGTGGCTCAGTGGTAGAGTGCTTGCCTTGCATGCATGAGGCCCTGGGTTCGATTCCTCAGCACCACATAAACAGAAAAAGACGGAAATGGTGCTGTGGCTCAAGCGGTAGAGCGCGCTCACCTTGAGCTGAAGAGCTGAGGGACAGCGCCCAGACACAAAGTTCAGGTCCATGACTGGCATAAAAAAAAAAAAATGTTTAAAGAAGAGAAAAATACATACTTCCATATCACATGAAGGCATAGGGCTGCAGTCACTACTACTGCTCTGCAATACATTTGTCTCATTTTGTTTTGAAGTACCAGATTCCTCTGCTGCATTTTCCTTTGGAGAAATGTCTATATTTCCATCTTCTTCCAAGTCTGCCATTACTTCTTTAGTAATATTGATCCCTTCAGAAATTTCTCTTCCTGTGTCTTTGAAATCTGCCTCAGTTTCCTCAATGGCAGTCAACCTTCCTGATACTATCTCCATCAGGGAAATGTCTTCTTTTCCAGTTTCATTGAAATCAATTTCCCTTTTTCCAGTAACATTAGCCTCCTCTAATACCTTTACTCCTTGGGATGATTCTCCTCCGATTTCTTTCAAATATATTTTCATTTCATCTATAGTTTTGGCCTCCTCTTGGGCCTTTAGCAATGCAGAACTTTCTCTTCCCTCAGTTTCTTCTAAATCTCTTTTGTTAGTAGTAACAATCATTTCTGATGTTCTCTCTTTTCCAGTTTCTTTCAAACTCATCTCCATCTCAATTACAGGCTTGTCTACATCAGGGCCACTTTCTTGTGGAACTATTTCCTTTCCACTTTCTTCCAAATTTGTGTCATTTTCCTCAGTGGTATCAATCAACTCAGGTATTGTCTCCTTTGAAGAAACCTCTTTTCTAGCTGATCTCAAAGCAGTCTCTGTTTCTACAGTGATATCAATCATTCCCTGTACTGTCTCTTTTGGGGAAATCTCTCTTTCAATTCCTTTCAAATCTGTCTCCATTTCCCCAGTGATATCAGTCATTTCTGGAATGATCTCACTGGGAGAGATGTCACTTCTTCCAGTTGCTTTTAAATCTGAGTCCAATTCCTTAGTACTAGCAGTTGTACTTGGTACCTTCTCCCCAGGTGAAGTATCTAGTCTTACAGTTTCTCTCGAAGTTGCTGTTAGTTCTTGAGAGACAAGAATTTCTTCTGGCACCTCTCCTTTTGAGGAAATTTCTCTTTTTCCATTTCTTCTTCCTATATTTGGCTTTGGCTTCTGAAATAGAGTCCTTTGAATTGAGACTTGTTTGAGTACATTTGTTTCATTATCCTCTGGAATGCTTATGGGGGGATAAAAAAGAAATCTTAAATTAGACTGAAAGTTGAGAGGATGGGTGAGAAATAACTATGGAAACACAAGAAGTCCTAAAACTACAAACTATTAAAGCCAGTCATGGTGTTGCACACCTGTAATCTCAGCATTCAAGACACTGAAGCAGGAGGATATTTAAGGCCAGTGTAAGCTGCACAAGGAGACTCTAACTATGAATAAATGTATCAATGGAAGGGAAGGAGGGAGGAAGAAAGGGAAGTTAAAGCAAAACAGTGATGAAGAAAGTTATCTCAGGAGGCTGAGGTCTAGATATAAAGGTTCAAGGTTTGAAGCCAATTAAGGCAGAAATATTGATTCGATTATTTTGGCCAGTTAACCACCAAAAAGCCAGAAGTACAACTGTGGCTCAAGTGGTAGAGCATTAGCCTTAAATGAAAGGGCTAAGGAACAGAGCTCAGGTCCTGAATTCAGAACTAGCCAAAAAGAAAGAATGAATTCAGAACAGAAAGGAAGGGAGGGAGGGAGGGAGGGAGGGAAAGAGGGGAGAGAGGGAGGAGAGGAAGGAGAGGAAAGGGAGGAAGGGGAGGGGAGGGAAGAAGGGGAGGGAAGGGAGAAAAAGGAAAAAAACAAAAATGAGGGCCACAAAACTCTATATAAAACTTTAAAATTAGGGGATGGGAATATAGCTTAGTGGTAGAGTGCTTTCCTACCATGCAAGAAGCCCTGAGTTTGATTCCTCAGTACCACATAAACAGAAAAAGCCAGAAGTGGCGCTGTGACTCAAGTGGTAGACCAAAAGAAGCTCAGGGACAGTGCCCAGGCCCTAAGTTCAAGCCTCAGGACTTGCTAAAAAAAAAAAAAAGTTAAAATTACATGACCAATAAGTAATGCTTACCTTAGATATTGATTAAGATCTTTGGACTCATCTGGCTGTACATTTTGAAAAGGACTATTAGTCTTCTCTGATTCTGATATGGTATCTTCACACTGGAAGTTTTTACAGGTCTGATCTGTTGTTTGTGGAGTAATCTTAACACCAAACAAAAATGTTAGTGTTTTAGATTTACCATAAGAACAATGGGTATTGTTTAAGGGGCATGATCCTTGCCTGAGCGAAGGCCTAAGTTCAATTCTCACAGAATACAAAAAACAAAAGCAAATTTACAACAAAACAAGTAAATTTGAAAAACTTCAATGAAAATTGTTACTTAGCTAACCCTAGTTGTGCACTACTTGGAGTAAGAGATCAAGAGAATAAATGTGACAATTTAAAAAATGAGATCTGGGCTGGGAATGTGGCTCAGTGGTATTCCTATCATGCATGAAGCCCTGGGTTCCACTCCTAAGTACCACATAAATTGAAAAAGCTGGAAGTGGCACTGTGGCTCAAGTGATACAGTGCTAGCCTTGAGCCTTGAGAGCAGAGAGACTCAGGCCCAGAGCCCAGGCCTTGAGTTCAAGCCCCAGGACTGGCGAAAAGAAAAACAAGTGAGATCTCCTGTCAACAAGAATGCTAGACATAGCAGCCCATGTCTGTAATCCTATCTCTGCAGGAGAAGTAAATGGATTATGATTGAATTGCAGCACAGGGTAAAAAAAGCAAGATCCTCACCAATAAAAAGACATGGTAGAACCACTACGCAGCAAACTAAAAGAATAAAATTCAAATCCTAGTAGGGGGAAAGCAATGGAGGGGGTAACAATGTTCAAGAGGAAGTGTACTCATAACCTCACTCATGTAACTGTAACCCTCTGTATAGTAGCTTTACAATTAAAAAAAAAAAAAATTTAAAAAAAAAAAAAAAAAAAAATTTGGGGCTGGGAAGGTGGCTCAGTGGTAGAGTGCTTGCCTTGCATGCCTGAGGCCCTGGGTTCAATTCCTCAGCACCACATAAGAAAAAAGCCGGAAGTGGCGCTGTGGCTCAAGTGGTAGAGAGCTAGCCTTGAGCTGAAGAGCTAAGGGACAGCGCCCAGGCCCAGAGTTCAGGACCCAAAAAAAAAAAAAAAAAACTTTTAAAAATTTAATTGGATATAATAAAAAATTAAAGGTTTGAAGTTCATAATTATAAAATGATATCCAAAAAATGCTTTCTAAAGTTTCTGTTTTTGCCTTTCCCTTTAGGTATGTAAGAAAACTCTCCAAGGCACCAACTATACTCAAAGTCTCCACCTCCACTGTTCTCCAACCAACCACAAAGCAATGTTTCAGTCTCATGTGTTTCAGTCTCATCCTCAGAATTACACCATGGTTCATCTTTCCAAATTCTTCTAATTGTTATAATTATATTATAAATCATAGGAATTAAACCATGAAGAAATACTAGTAAAGCCATGAAGAAATACTAGTAAAGCCGGGCGCTGGTGGCTCACACCTGTAATCCTAGCTACTCAGGAGGCTGAGATCTGAGGATCGCGGTTCAAAGCCAGCTCGGGCAGGAGAGACCGTGAGACTCCTATCTCCAATAAACCACCAGAAACCCCACGACAGACAAAAAAAAAAAAGGGGGGCTGGGAAGGTGGCTCAGTGGTAGAGTGCTTGCCTTGCATGCATGAGGCCCTGGGTTCGATTCCTCAGCACCACATAAGCAGGAAAAAAAAAAAAAAAAGAAATACTAATAAGCTGAGGATGTAGCATAGTGGTAAAGTACTTGCCTAGGATATGCAAAGCCTTGAATTCAACTCCCATTCACCACAAACAGAAAACCAAAGCAAAATTCATAATCTTATCCTTAGAATTATGCTTTAGTGGGAAGCTTTTTTTTTTTTTTTGGGTCCGGTCGTGGGGCCTGAACTCTGGGCCTGGGTGCTGTCCCTCAGCTCTTCAGCTCAAGGCTAGTGCTCTACCACTTGAGCCACAGCGCCACTTCCGGCTTTTTTCTTTTTGCTTATGTGGTGCTGAGGAATCGAACCCAGGGCCTCAGGCATGTGAGGCAAGTGCTCTACCACTGAGCCACCTTCCCAGCCCTAGTGGGAAGCTTTTAACTTTTTAAATTTAAGACAAACAGTAATAAGTCACATAATTACCTATCTCCATTTGTAAATTGGTGGTAGTGACTCAGTAATAAAGTACTTCCCTAGAATGTGTAAGTTTGGCTGGGTGCCTGTGGCTCACACCTATAATCCTAGCTACTCAGGAAGCTGAGATCTAAGTAAGGATCACGGTTCAAAGCCAGGGCAGGAAACTCTGTGAGACTCTTATCTCCAATAAACCACTAGAAAACCCCACTAGAAAACTTTAAAATAAGCAAAGCTGCTAAGAGATATTGACCACAAATATAGTATGTTAGCACAAGTTATATAGCAATGATGTTTTTAAAAGGTTAAGAGGCTTATGGTAAACCTTATTTATTTAGCAAAATGTGGAATAGAATCAAAGTACTTACATCTCTATCAACACAAGATTCATTCCCATTCTTCTCTATATTGTCCCCAATTTTTTCCTGTGGTGTGATCATTTCTTTTCTTTCTGAAACTTTCCCTACATTTGGCTTTGGTCGTTGTAATCGCCCCCGCATTGGTCGTACAGGTTTGCAAGCCTTTGGCTGATTATCTTCCTGCAGACAAGTTTTTTCACTCAAACTAGAACCACAAAGAGAAAAAAAAAATCAGTGCTTAATCAAACTTACCAAAGTTGCTTCTCTTTCAGTATTTCCTTCTCCCTGGTTTTATGAATAAGTAAACCAGGAAGAATATAAGATAATTCTCAAAAGAGCTTAAGAACATCTTCAAAAATACTCACAGACAGATATGGTACTATTTAGAGGAGACAGAATTCTGAAACTTAAGTATTTGTTGTTGTTGTTGTTTTTGTCAGTCATGGGGCTTGATCTCTGGACTTGGGTGGTGTCCCTGAGCTCTTCAGCACAAGGTGAGCACTCTACTGCTTGAGCCACACTGTCACTTCTGGTTTTCTAATGGTTTATTGGAGGTAAGAGTCTCAAAGAGTTTCCTATCCAGACTTGGCTTTGAACCGTGATCCTCAGATCTCAGCTAGGATTATAGGCATGAGCTACCAGCTCCCGGCTTCAACTAAAATATTTGTATGCCAGGTAAATACAGTGACTGACACCAGTAAGTCTAGCTAATAGGAGGTAAAGAATGAATGGCAAGTTCATTATTAAAGGCCAGCCCAGGAATAATATTCATAAAACTCTATTCTAACTGGAAATAAAAAGCCTATTGTGGTAATAGGTGCCACATGGGAAGCATAAATAGGAAGATCCCATTCTAAACTAGCATAGGCATAAATGAAATATTCTATCTGAAAAATCATAAAAGTAAAAAGGGCTAGGGGCATTGCTAAAATGGTAGAGGACCTACCTAGCAAGCACATGGCCCTGAATTCAAACCCCAGCACTAAAAAAAAATTTAAGTGAATTTCATTGCAAAATTAGTAGAAATCTTGTTTGATAAGCACATGATAGTATTATTCCTCATTCATTCATTCAGGATATTATTGTATACTTCAGAGAATTAGTTAAAACTTATAAAAAGCACTTCATTAACTAGCCCAAAAATCTACTATCAAGCCAGGTGACAGTGGCTCACAGCTGTAATCCTAGCTTCTCAGGTGGCTGAGATCTGAGAATCACAGTTCAAAGCCAGCCCAGGCAGAAATCTTATCTCCAATAAACCAATAAACCACCCAGAAAACCAGAAGTGGCCGCTGTGGCTCAAAGTGGTAGAGCGCTCCCTTCGAGCTGAAGAACACCAGGATCCGCACAAAAAGAAAAAAAGAAAAGAATTATGGGGCTGGGAAGATGACTCAGTGAAAGAAAAAAAGAAAAGAATTATGGGGCTGGGAAGATGACTCAGTGGTAGAGCTTGCCTTGCATGCATGAGGTCCTCGATTCGATTCCTCAGCACCACATAAGCAGAAAAAGGTGGAAGTGGGGTTGAGGCTCAAGTGGTACAGGGCTAGTCTACAGCTGAAGAGCTGAGGGACAGCACCCAGGCCCAGAGTTCAGGCCGTACAACCGACAAAAAAAAATATATAAAAGTTGGCCGGATGCCGGTGGCTCACCCCTGTAATTTTAGCTACTCAGGAAGCTGAGATCTGAGGATCGCCGTTCAAAGCCAAAGCCAAAGCCAGCCGGGGCAGCAAAGTTCGTGAGACTCTTATCGCCAATAAATCACTCAGAAAACCAGAAGTGGTACTGTGGCTCAAGTGGTAGCCTTGAGCTGAAGAGCTCAGGGGCAGTACCCAGGCCCAGAGTTCAAGCCCCATAACCGACAATCAATCAATCAATAAATGTGAAAAAGAAAGAATATGATAGTCATTCCTATAAGTTACTCCTTTTACACTACTTCCCAAGTACTTACGTAGATACAGTGTCAGCTTCTGAGTCCTCTCTTCTTGTACTCTCTAATTCTGAACTGTCAATTACATTCCTCTTCTCCTTTTCCATGGAATCCTATGAATTTAATTTTTCATACTTTAATCTACTTTCCATAAAAAGTAGATAAAAAAACCACAAAGATAGGATAAATGTGAAAAGAGTGATTACATCTGAATAATAAAAACAACTTTTGTTTTCATTTGTAGGTGAATGTATTTCTTTTGTCATAATGAAACATAACTTGTAATATTAATGTATATAAATAAAAAACCGGGGCTGGGAAGATGGCTCAGTGGTAGAGTGCTTGCCTTGCATGCCTGAGGCCCTGGGTGCGATTCCTCAGCACCACATAAGCAAAAAAGAAAAAAGCCGGAAGTGGCGGTGTGGCTCAAGTGGTAGAGTGCTAGCCTTGAGCTGAAGAGCTGAGGGACAGCACCCAGGCCCAGAGTTCAGGCCCCACAACTGGACCCAAAAAAAAAAATAAAATAAAATAAAATAAGTAAATAAATAAAAACCCAATGAAATCTGTATTTCTAAATAACAAAATTGCAAATAATTTCTTTTCATCCTTGCAATGATCTTAATTTTCAAATTGCTAGAATAAATTATAAGATTAATATAAGTACAGTTTTAAAGAAATGAAAATGAAGTTAGGTCTCAGGAGGCTGAGATTTGTGGCTCAAGGTTCAAAATCAGCCCAGGCAGAAAGTCTTTGAGATTTTTATCTCCCAAGTAACCACCAGAAAACAGGAAGTAGTGTTGTGGCTCAAAGTGGTAGAGTGCTAGACTTGGGCAAGAGTACAGGGACAGAGCCCAAGCCCTGAGTTCAAGCCCACAACTGGGAGAGGAGGGGAGGGGAGGGGAGGGGAAGTGAGGGGAGGGGAGGGGAGGGGAAGTGAGGGGAGGGGAGGAAGGGAAGGGAGAAAGAAAAGAAAGAAAGAAAGAAAGAAAGAAAGAAAGAAAGAAAGAAAGAAAGAAAGAAAGAAAGAAAGAAAGAAAGAAAGAAAGAAAGAAAGAAAGAAAGAAAGAAAGAAAAAGAGCTGACACTGATGGTTCACAACTATAATCCTATTCAAGAACCTAAAAAAATCTGAGGATTGTGGTTTGAAGCCAGCCTCTCTAGTAACCACCAAAAAGCCAGAAGTGGAGCTGTGGCTCAAGTGGCAGAGAGCTAACCTTCAGCAAGAAAAGCTCAGGAATAGTGCCCACAAACTGAGTTTAAACACATGAGTAACACAAGAAAAAAAAGAATGTTAAAGGCTGAGAATGTGGCTCAGTAGTAGAAGCACTTGATTAGTAATAAGCTTAAGGCCTTGGCTTCAATTCTCAGAACCATAAAAACAAAAGCCAAAAATAAAATTATGATAAAGATATTTCACATGAGAGAAAACAAATGATCATTTTTAAAGTTACTTACAATTAGAAGAATGTAATTCTAAGAAGAATAAACAATACATTTATTTAATGCCAATAGAATCTTTCCTTCTGGATAAAACCATAGAAATATTTAAAATATGGGACTGGGAAGGTAGCTCAGTGTAGAGTGCTTGCCTTGCATGCATGAGACTCTGGGTTAGATTCCTCAGCACCACATAAGCAGAAAAAGCCAGAAGTGGTGCTGTGGCTCAAGTGATAGAGTGTTAGCCTTGAGCTGAAGAGCTGAGGGACAGTACTCAGGCCCAGAGTTCAAGCCCCAGGACCAGCCAAAAAGAAAGAAAGATATATTTAAAATAGCCAAAATTGATGGTACAAACATATAATCCCAGGATTCAGGGAGGACAAGAAAAGTACAAGCATAAATGTGACATTATAGAGGTTGTGTTAATAACTTAATGTGTAGCTACTTTAAGAAATATTTGGGAGGCTGGGAAGGTGGCTCAGTGGTAGAGTGCTTGCCTTGCATGCATGAGCCCCTGGGTTCAATTCCTCAGCACCTCATCAGCAGAAAAAGCCAGAAGTGGCACTGTGGCTCAAGTGGTAGAGCACTAGCCTTGAGCTGAAGAGGTGAGGGACAATGCCCCAGGCTGAGTTTAGGCCCTATAACCAACAAAACAAAAAAATGGAACAACCATTTTATATGAAGGAAATAAACTTATAAACACTGAGAATCTTTGAAATAATACAACTAGTAAAATAAGAAACAACGTTTAATGCCTTACCTTTTTGCATTCATTTTAATATCAGTTAAGAGCAGTTGGTAAATATTACCTACTTAGGAATAAATTTTATAATTTTAATATCCATAAAATATCTTACCATACCTTTTCAACTGAATTGTCTGACTGTGAACTCTTGCTCTCAGCATCTGTTTTGCCTAATTTTTTCCCAATTGCCCTGGACAGATTAGGTTTAGGTCGCTGGTGACGAACTCTCAACAATGGTTTGATATTTTCTGCTTGATCAATTTCCCTAAGAAAAGTCAATACTATTTAAATTGAGAACAATATACATTCATATACAAATAAAACTATAAATACTGAGGGACTGAGGATATAGCTCAAAAGTAGAGCACTTTGCAAAAGGCCATGGGTTCCATTTCAACAATGAGATGTACAAGACGTTAAGTCGAAAAACAAACTTTACACCTTTGGTGGGGGGGACGGGGGGCGGGGGGGGGGGGGTGGGAGGAGGAGAGGATATGAAGGGATGGGAAGAGGAAACAAAGGAGGAGGCTACAATGCTTGATAAGAAATGTGCTCATGCCGGGCGCTGGTGGCTCTCGCCTGTAATCCTAGCTACTCAGGAGGCTGAGATCTGAGGATTGTGGTTCAAAGCCAGCCCGGGCAGGAGAGGCCGTGAGACTCCTATCTCCAATAAACCACCAGAAAACCGGAAGTGGCGCTGTAGCTCAAGTGGTAGAGCGCTCGCCTTGAGCTGAAGAGCTGAGGGAAAGCGCCCAGGCCCAGAGTTCAAGCCCCACGGCCGACAAAAAAAAAAAAAAAAAAAAAGAAATGTGCTCATTATCTTACCCAGGTAATTGTAATCCCTCTGTACAGTATTTTCACAATAAAAAAAAAAGGCCATGGGTTCAATACTCAGCACCACCAAAAAATAACAATAATAACCCTTTCAGAATCTTGAAAAAATATTTAAAAGCTTCCTCATTATAATACCAAAGAAAACCGAAAGATCAGACTAGATGGAGTCTAAATTGTTCTTATAAATGGCTATCACAGAATTAGAGGCATGGCTCAAGTGGTAGGATGCCTGCCAATAAGTATCAGAAAGTGTCAATACCGAGTTCAAGTCCCAGCCACAAAAAAAATAATAATTTCTCACTAAAAACTACAAAGGAGGGTTGGGAAAGGTGGCTCAGTGGTAGAGTGCTTGCCTAGCATGCATGAGGCCCTGGGTTCAATTCATCAGCACCACTCAAGCAGAAAAGGCCAGAATGGTGTTGTGGCTCAAGTGGTAGAACGCTAGCCATGAGCTGAAGAGCTGAGGGACAGCACCCAGGCCAAGAGTTCAAGCACCATGCCCAACAAAGAAAAAAACACTACCCAGGTGTTGGAGGTGTGAACTCTAGGAATTCACACACAATGAAACCAAAGGAGTATATTCTTTTTTTTTTTGTCGGTCGTGGGGCTTGAACTCTGAGCCTGGGCATTGTCCCTTAGCTCTTCAGCTCAAGGCGAGCGCTCTACCACTTGAGCTACAGCGCCACTTCCAGTTTTCTGGTGGTTTATTGGACATAGGAGTCTCACGGTCTCTCCTGTCTGGGCTGGCTTTGAACCTTGATCCTCAGATCTCAGCCTCCTGAGTAGCTAGGATTACAGGCGTGAGCCACCAGCGCCCGGCTCAAAGGAGTATATTCTTAGGGGAGGAATACAAAGGTGAAATGCCTATGTGCCTCTAATCATATAAAGTAATATTTATCTAAATGAATTCTAGCAAATGGAAACAAGAGGTTTTATCTTTATTGGGTTTTTTTGTTTTGTTTTGTTTTTGTCGGTCGGTCGTAAGGCCTGAACTCTGGGCATGGGCTCTGTCCCTCAGCTTTTCAGCTCAAGGAGATTGATCTACCCACCTGCGCTACAGTACCACTTCCAGTTCTCTGGTGGTTAATTGGAGATCAGAGTCTCACCCCCTTTCCTGCCTGGCTGGTTCGAACCAGATCATAGCTAAGATTACAGGCATGAACCATAGGTGCCAGGCTCTTTTCTTTTTGTCTTATTTGTTTATCTGTCTTAGGGATGGTAAGGGGAGGGAGGGTCACAAACCTGAAGGACAAAGGGTGAACAAATGCAGTAGTGGTACTCACTACACACTATGTTGAAAATGTACTATACAATGGTGGGTGAGGATGGGAGAGGAAAACTGGGAGACAGTAAGGGAAGGGGTGAGACTGTCCAAAAAGAAATATATATTACCTGACTTACCTAACTGTAACTATTTGTACATCATAACTTTATGACAACTTAAAAATTGTTATTTTTAAATAACAGGAGTGGATCAGTTGGTAGTGCACTAGCCAATGAGCGAAAGCATCAGATACCAAGTTCAAGTCCTGGTCTAGGACCTCAAAAAGAAAAACACTACCCAAAGTTGAGGGTGTAGCTCAATACAACACTTGCCTAATATGTACAACACTTGGATTTGATCCATATCATCACAAAACAGGAGAGTTGGGAAAATGTTTAAGAACAAATACTTGAAATAAATCTTATGATGTAAAATACTTACACTGATTTTTTCTCTAAGTCAACATGTTTTCCTTCTGTACAACTACTGTCAGAATTATTCACTTCATAAAATGCTACATCTCCAACTTCTGATGGGGGTAAATCTGAAGTGCTTGATTCTGAAGACTTAGAAGCTATTGGCATGGTATCTGGTTGATTACTAAGGAAAGGAAATTAAATTATATTATCACAGCGGACTGAATTCCAAGTAACACGTTTTTGTTTTATGTTTTTTTGTCGGTCATGGGGCTTGAACTCAGGGCCTGAGCGCTGTTCCTCAGCTGTTCAGTTCAAGGCTAGTGCTAGACCACTTGAGCCACAGCGCCTCTTACTAACACATGTTTTTATACTATTTTAAAAGATTTTAAGGGCCAAGTGACCATGGCTCATACTTGTAATCCTAGCTACTCAGGAGGCTCAGACCTAAGGACCATGGCTTAAAGTCAGTCTAGACAAATCCAAGAAACTGTTATCTACAATGAGCAAAAATGCTAAAGGTAAAAAAGCTAAGGGAGAACATAAGGTCTTGAGTTCAAACCACAATACCAGTGTACGCACATCAGCACACACAAATATACATACAAAAGGTCATATAAAGTACAATTCATACAAGTACAAGTTGAAACCAGGAATAACTATATCATGAAATGTAAATTTTTTAAGTGATGGCCATATACTATCACTGTTTCAACACACAGATCTAGTCATAGTTTCTTTGCTCATTTCTTTCTTCTAGTCTTTCTTTCTGTCTTTTAACAGTATCAGAAGATCTCCATGTATATTTTTTGGTTAGATGAGGTACCAAAACTATACTATAGGAAAAGAACAGTGTCTTCAACAAATGGTACTGGAAAAACTTAATATCATACAAGAAAAAATTTAACCCTTTATTTTATATCACACAAAAAAATCAACTAAAATGATTAAAGATTTACATGTAAAATGTGAAGTGATAAAATCTATGAAATCTTGGAACTAGGAAGGTAGTTCAGTGGTAGAGTGCTTGCCTTGCATGCATGAGAGCCTGGGTTCTATTCCTCACCACCATATAAGCAGAAAAAGCTGGAAGTGGTTCTGTGGCACAAATGATAGAGCACTAGGCCTTGAGCAAAGAGCTGAGAGACAGTGCCCAGGCCCAGAGTTCAAGCCCCACAACTGACAAAAAAGAAAGAAAGAAACAGGAAGGAAGGAAGGAAGGAAGGAAGGAAGGAAGGAAGGAAGGAAGGAAGGAAGGAAGGAAGGAAGGAAGGAAGGAAGGAAGGAAGGAAGAAAATCTTTAAAATCTCTACAACGGGCTGGGAAGGTGGCTCAGTGGTAGAGTGCTTGCCTTGCATGCATGAGGCCCTGGGTTCAATTCCTCAGTACCACATAAGCAGAAAAAGTAGTGGCGCTGTGGCTCAAGTGGTAGAGCGCTATCCTTGATCTGAAAAGCTGAAGGACAGCGCCCAGGCCCAGAGTTCAGGCCCCACAACTGACAAAAATAAATAAATAAAATAAAATAAAATCTCTACAAGAAGCCAAGACCCAGTGGATCATGCCTGTAATCCTATCTACTCAAGAAGCTGAGATCTAAAGAAAAAGGTTTGGTTTTCTTTCCGTGTTTTTTTTTTTGGGGGGGGGGAGGGCCTTTGGAGGAGTTGGTTTGTTTTTTTGGGGGGGTCAATCGTGTGCCCTGAACTCTGGGCCTGGGTGATGTCCTTGAGCTCTTCAGCTCAAGGCTAGCGCTCTACCACTTGAGTCACAGCACCACTTCCGGCTTTTTCAGCTTATGTGGTGCTGAGGAATCAAACCCAGGGCGTCATGCATGCAAAGCAAGCACTCTACCACTGAACCACCTTCTCAGCCCCTAGAGTTTTTTTGGGGTTTTTTTTTGTTTTTTTGTTTTGTTTTGCCAGTCCTGGGGCTTGAACTCAGGGGCTGGGCTCTGTCCCTGAGCTTCTTTTGCTCAAGGCTAGCATTCTACCACTTCAGCACAGCACCACTTCTGGCTTTTTCTGTTTATGTGGTACTGAGGAATAGAACCCAGGGCTTCTAGGCAAGTGTTCTACCATGAAGCCACATTCTCAGCCCTGAGGATAAAGGTCTGAAGTTAGCCCCAACAAATAACTCCAGAATCATATTTCCAATTAACCACCAACACATCAGAAGTGGAGGTATGGCTTCAGTGATAGAGTGCTATCCTTGAGCAAAAAGCCAAGGGAGATTGTGAGGCTCTGAGTTCAAGCCCCAGAACCAGCACAAAAAAAAAATAAATTGATGGGGCTGGGAAGGTGGCTCAGTGGTAGAGCGCTTGCCTTGCATGCCTGAGGCCCTGGGTTCGATTCCTTAGCACCACATAAGCAAAAAGAAAAAAAAAGCCGGAAGTGGCGCTGTGGCTCAAGTGGTAGAGCGCTAGCCTTGAGCTGAAGAGCTGAGGGACAGCACCCAGGCCCAGAGTTCAGGCCCCACAACCGGACCCAAACACACACCAAAAAAAAAAAAAAAAATGGGAGGATATGGAAAATTAAAACTCTTATAAAACTCTAGGCGAGAATGAAGAATGGTTTATCAACTATTGAAAATAGTATGGCAGTTTCTCAAAATAAAAGAATAGTTGAGTGCTAGTGGCACACAGCTACTCAGAAGGCTGAAATATAAGAACCTTAGTCCAAAGACAGCCCACAGGTAAATCAGAGGTATGTGTGTATATGCTGTTCCTGGGTTTTGAACTCATGGCCAAAAGACTATGGGTATGTATAGAGCTGTGTAGGCGTGTGGGGATGTTGTGTTGGTAGGTATGTGTAGTAGGCATGTGTGTTAGTTGTCCCTTCACTCCATTGTCAGCTATTTTTATGCTTTATTGGGCATAAGAGTCTTAGGCTTTCTTGTCTAGGCAGGCTTCGAACCACAATCCTCAGATCTCAGCCTCCTGAATAACTACGATTACAAGTGTGAATCACTATTGCCCAGTTGAGACTCTTATCTCCAATCAAAACCAAAAATCCAGAAGCAGAATTGTAGCTTAAGTGGCAGACTATTAGTCTTGAGTGAAAAAAGTTAAGCAAGAGCAAGACCCAGCACCAAAATATGTACATAAATAAGTAAATATATAATCTAGCAATCCCACTTCTAGGTATTTTCCAAAAGAATTGAAATCAGGATCTCAAAAGGTATTTAAATTCTTGTGTTCAGTACAACATACCACATAATAGAAAAGAGATGGAAATCCAAATATCCATTAACTGACAAACAGATGAAGAGAATGCAATACATATATGCAATACAATGCTATTCAACCAGGAAAGGACTAAGTCTGCTGGTGCTTTAACTCAAAGATAAAGCATTTGCCTAAGGATGATACTATTCAAAGGAAGTGTTCTCATTACCTGATTTATACAACTGTAATCCCTCTGTACATCCTTTATAATAACAACAAAGTAAATTTAAAAACATAAACATACTAATTAAAAGTTACATTGGCAAAATAAACATCAAAAAAGAGAACCAGTAGGATACAGTAGCAAACATTTGTAATTCCAGAACTCTAGAAACTAAGGTAAGATTTCGAGGCCAAACTTGGTTATATAGCAAGACTTTGTCTCAAAAGATTTTTTTTAAAAATTGTTTAAAGTACAATACAAGGCCGGGCACCTCACACCTGTAATCCTAGCTACTCAGAGGCTGAGATCAGAGGATCACGGTTCAAAACCACCCCAGGCAGGAAAGTCCATGAGACTCTTATCTCTAGTTACTCATCAGAAAGCCAGAAGTGGTATTGTGGCTCAAGTGGCACCTGCCTGGAGCTGAAGAGCTCAGGGACAGTGCCCAGGCCCACAGTTTAAGCCCTATGACCAAGAAAAAAAAAACAACAAATTACAATACACAGTACAGTATACAATGATAAAAGGCAATTTTAACAAAACACAATATTAGGTATATATGAACCAGAGCTTCAACATAAATTAAACAAAACCAAAAAAACTAAAAGAAGAAACACAAATCTACTATTGACAGCCTTTCTCAGTAACGAGTAAAAGATGTAGATAAAGCCAATAAAGACCTACAAATACCTTGGTGAAAGGATGGGGTCAGTTCTCTTCTCAACTTTTTCTTTAGGTGCTAACCCCACAATGTCATCCACGCTTTCCCGACAGGAAAGCTGCTGCGCACTGCATCCTTCACTTGTCTCAGGACACAAAACCTGACTGCCACCTAAGAATGTAAATTGTATGTTAGTCTACAAAAGAAAAGAAAATGCACTTTTTTTTCCTTTTGGTGGTATTAGAGTCTGAACTTAATGCTTCATAAGTATTAGGCAGGCATTCAATTGCTTGAGCCACACCTCCAAGATAATATACTTTTATAAAGCAGAAGGAATTTACATTTAACATTTACATTTCTTACAAAATATTGATCCATTCAACATTCAAGTTCTAATTCATAAGCCATACATCTGATTTAGAGCACAGCAAAACTCTAAACCTCCTGTACATTTCAAAAATCAGTCCTGTTTCCTCTAAATTTTCAGCAAATTCTTTTTCTTTATTTTTATTTTGTTTTGTTTTTCTGAGAAAAAGTCTACCTATGTCGCCCAGGTTGGCCTCCAATTGGAGATCTTCCTACCTTAGCTCCCCAAGTACTAAAATTATATGAGTGTTACCAAACTGAGCTACAACTTTCCTTTTACTTAATTTTTAAGTGGTTAAATTGATTTGGTTCATATTACTGGTTAAATTGATTTGGTTTCCCAGCCCAACACATTATCTCATTTAATGGGCCAGTACTCCTTTTTTTTTTCCATTTGGTGGCACTGGGAGCTGAACTCAGGGTCTTGTGCTTGCTAGACAAGCACCCTACAACTTGAGCTACACCCCTAGTCCCAATTATCCCATTTAATAATCAAAGTAATCCTACTAAAAGGTACTACTATTATTAACCTCCTCATATACAATAATCATCTGAGTATAAAGATCTTAAGTGAGGGGCTGGGAATGTGCCTTAGTGGTAGAGTACTTGCATGAAGCCCTGGGTTCAATTCCTCAGTACCACATAAATACACAAAGCTGGAAATAGTACGGTAGCTCAAGTGGTAGTGGCTAGCCTTGAGCAAAAAAGATGCTCAGGGGGCTGGGAAGGTGGCTCAGTGGTAGAGCGCTTGCCTTGCATGCTCAAGGCCCTGGGTTCAATTCCTCAGCACCACATAAGCAAAAAGAAAAAGCCAGAAGTGGCGCTGTGGCTCAAGTGGTAGAGTGCCAGCCTTGAGCTGAAGAGCTGAGGGCCAGCGCCCAGGCCCAGAGTTCAGGTCCCACAACCGGACCCCCCCCCCCCCGCCCTAAAAAAAAAAGATGCTCAGGGACAGTGCCTAGGCCGAGTTCAAGCCCCAGGACTGGCCAAAAAAAAAGAAAAGAAAAAGATTTTAAGTAACTTACCCAATGAAAGTCACTTACTATTTGTAAGTCAGATACAATTTGACTTACCTTAAAGAAAGAACTCAGACATAGTCATCTGTCTGATTTCTAAGTTCTGATTTGTAAATCATTAAATTATCCTGCATTATGAGTTATATAATAAAAGTCATAAAATAGTAAATACTGTTATGTATACATATCACTACTTCAATTAACAGGACATAGTGATTTATTAAAACATATAGATGGGGGGCTGGGAAGGTGGCTCAGTGGTAGAGTGCTAGCCTTAAGCAAAAGAAGCTCAGGGACAGTGCCCAGGCCCTCAGTTCAAGCCCCAGTACTGGCAAAAAATAAAAAAATTTAAAAGAAAGAAAAACCTAAGGGGCTGGGAAGATGGCTCAGTGGTAGAGCGCTTGCCTTGCATGCCTGAGGCCCTGGGTTCGATTCCTCAGCACCACATAAGCAAAAAGAAAAAAGCCGGAAGTGGCGTTGTGGCTCAAGTGGTAGAGCACTAGCCTTGAGCTGAAGAGCTGAGGGACAGCGCCCAGGCCCAGAGTTCAGGCCCCATGACCGGACCCAAAAAAAAAAAAAAAGAAAAAGAAAAACCTAATAATACATGTCAGAAGTATACTTCAAAGAAAAATCTAACAACTTTTGTTCTTTTAATAAATTCTTTCATTACTCTAAAATAAAATTATTTAATAATGTTATTTGTACATGTTACTAATTGTTACAATATATAACTATGGTATACACCCTATTACTGTGCATGTCTGTCTCCTCAAGTAAATGTAGCCTTTTAGAATGTATAATCAACTTACTCTTGTTTACTTCACTTTCAGATGGACTTGTATGAACTGTGACATTTCCTAAAAGGTTTTCTACTTGCTGTTCATTAGTCTCATCTTGATTCTTCCTTTTCCTTTTCTTTTGATTTTGGTCTTGTTCTAATACAACTTGTTCTGAATCCTGTCCTGATGAAATCAGAGATTCTTCTTCAACTGTCTGAGCATCCTTCAGAGATCTTTCTGTATCAGAAATTTTAGTACTCACAGATTCATCTGGCTCATCATTCACTCCTACATTAGTAACTTTTTTCACTGGAAACAAAAGAATTACGCATAAATATATGAACAACTTATAAAAAATATTTTAGTTTGCTTTGTTTTGTATGTTTTTCTTGTGCCAGTACTAATGCTTGAACTCAGGAGCCTGGGCACTGTCCTTAGCTTTTTCACTTATAGATGGCATTCATTACTGGAGTCACAACTCTACTTCTGGCTTTTTTTGGAGATAAGTCTCATGGACCTTTCTGCTCAGCAGGTTCCAAACTGAAATTCTCAGATTTCAGCTTCCTGAGTAACTAGGATAACAGTGTGAGCCACAGGCACCTGGCCAGAAAAAATCCTGAAAGAGAAAAAGATATGTATTCAAGGGTGTCCTCTGTAATAATATTTGTATTAAAAAAATTGAAGAGAGGCCGGGCGCTGGTGGCTCATGCCTGTAATCCTAGCTACTCAGGAGGCTGAGATCTGAGGATCGCGGTTCAAAGCCAGCCCGGACAGGAGAGACCGTGAGACTCCTATCTCCAATAAACCACCAGAAAACGGGAAGTGGTGCTGTAGCTCAAGTGGTAGAGCGCTCGCCTTGAGCTGAAGAGCTGAGGGACAGCGCCCAGGCCCAGAGTTCAAGCCCCACGACCGACAAAAAAAAAAAAAAAAAAAAATTGAAGAGAAACTAAAGTAAGAATAAAATAAATTATAAATGTCATTATTAGAATGTAACAGGTGTCACAAGTTCCATCTCAAGCACATGATTTTTAATTTTTACAAATCTAAGCCAGGCGCCAGTGGCTCACACCTATAATCTTAGCTACTCAGGAGGCTGAGATCTGAGGATCATGGTTCAAAGCCAGCACAAGCCGGAAGGTCCATGAGACTCTTATCTCCAATAAACCACTAGAAAACTGAAAGTGGCGCTGTGACTCAAACAGTAGAGCGCTCGCCTTGAGCTGAAGAGTACAGGGACAGCACCCAAGCCCAGAGTTCAAGCCCCACAACCAACCAAAAAAAAAAAAAAAAATCTATACAGGCAGTTTTATATATGTACATATATACATATATAAACTAACGTACACACACATAAAGAGACATATTACTGTTTTATATAAATGTATATATAGTGTATATATGAAATAGGTTTATATATAGTAATAAAAAGATTTTAGCCAGGTGCCCGTGGCTCATAGCTGTAATCCTAGCTACCCAGGAGGCTGAGATCTGAGGATTGCAGTTCAAAGTCACCCCAGGGAGAAAAAGCATTGAGACTCTTACCTCCAATTAATCACTAGAAAATCAGAAATGGAGCTAAGGCTCAAGTGGTAGAACACTAGCCTTGAGGCCTTGAGTGAAAGAGCCCAGAGACAGCACCCAGGCCTTGAGTTCAAGCCCCACGACTGACAAAAAGGAAGAAAGAAGGAAGGAAGGAAGGAAGGAAGGAAGGAAAAGAAAGAAAAGAAAAAAGAGGAAAAGAAAAGAAAAGAAAAAGATTTCAAAATACATTACTGGGGGCTGGGAAGGTGGCTCAGTGGTAGAGCGCTTGCCTTGCATGCCTGAGGCCCTGGGTTCGATTCCTCAGCACCACATAAGCAAAAAGAAAAAAGCCGGAAGTGGCGCTGTGGCTCAAGTGGTAGAGTGCTAGCCTTGAGCTGAAGAGCTGAGGGACAGCACCCAGGCCCAGAGTTCAGGCCCCACGACCGGACCCAAAAAAAAAAAAAAAACAAATTACTGGGCTGAGCTCTGATGGCTTACATTTATAATTCTAGCTACTCAGGAGGCTGAGATCTGAGGAAAGTGGTTCAAAACCATCTCAGACAAGAAAGTCCATGAGAATGTTACAAGAAAGTCCATGAGAATGTTATCACCAATATCTATCAAATGGCAAGAAGTGAAGCTGTGGGTCAAGTGGTAGAGTGTCAGCCTTGAGCAAACAAAGCTCAGAAAGAGCACTAGACTCTAAGTTCAAGCAACCAGGACTGGGGCACGCGCACACACGCGCATGCGCACACACACACACACACACACACACACACACACACACACACACACACACACACACACACACACACACACACACACACACACACACACACACACAGCTCAGAAAGAGCACTAGACTCTAAGTTCAAGCAACCAGGACTGGGGCACACGCGCACACACACACACACACACACACACACACACACACACACACACGTGCACACGCATGCGCACACACACACACAAATATTTCATATTATTGGTCTGGAATGGATATGGATCTAAGTGGTAGAAAACCTGCCTAGCAAGCCATCTGTACAACACCTTAATAATAACAAAATTATATTTTTTAAAACATCAATACTTTTGGTAATGTGGTTCAAGTGGTAGGAGCATCAGCCTAACAAACACATGGCACTGTGTTCAAATCCCAATACCAGCAAAAAAAATGAATGAATGAATACCTTTTACGTTTTTCCGTGGTTTGGAGGACTTTTCCTTCAAACTCTGATTTTTAACAGATTTTTGTTTTCTTTTCTCTTCTTCAGCAAGAACTTTCTGAAGTAAATGAGCAAAAAAATCGAAGTCAAAAGGACGTTTTTCTTCTGTTTAAAAAAAAATAAAAGGAAAATAACCTTCAAGTTATTTTTTTAAAGAAGGAAAAGTACTTTGTCATTTGTAAAGAATCATACATCAAAAAACAGACTTATCACTAGGACCATGGATAAACAAGTAGATAATAGAACACCAGTCAGCAATAAAAGAAAAAACTGTGGAGTGTAGCTGAGAGGCAGAGCACTTGTCTAGCATGCGCAGGACCCTCAGTTGTAGCATATGCTAAGTGAATATGTGGGAATTCAAATGAAAATAGTGGTTGCATTGAGCCAGTAGGATAGATTTTGTTTTTCAGGGGGTTTTTGGGGCGTCCGGTTATGGGGCCTGAACTGTGGGCCTGGGCGCTGTCCCTCAGCTCTTCAGCTCAAGGCTAGCGCTCTACCACTTGAGCCACAGCGCCACTTCCGGCTTTTTTCTTTTTGCTTATGTGGTGCTGAGGAATCGAACCCAGGGCCTCAGGCATGAAAGGCAAGCACTCTACAGAGCCACCTTCCCAGCCCAAGGATAGATTTTGTTTGATTAGAACAGAAACCAAGAAAAATTCTGAAATAACAAAAATGTTCCATATATGATTTGGGGTGATGGTACATGTATATTCTTCGCCAGTTTCAAACTACACTCTGAACTGCCTGTAATATAAAGGTTGTTCAGTAACAGTGCTCATTCTTAATAGCTAGCACAAAATACTGGATTTAATCTCCAACAACAAATAACAAAATGTGAAGATGATTAAGTCTTCAAAATGCCTATCTATATAGGCATTTTTAATCATTTCACTATTTACTCCCTCCCCAAATAGCAGTAAAGTAGGAAATAATTGTAAAATGTAAGTTTAGTAGACTCAGGAACATATTTTTTTTTTTTTCTTTTTCTTTTTTTTTTGGTCCGGTCGTGGGGCCTGAACTCTGGGCCTGGGCACTGTCCCTCAGCTCTTCAGCTCAAGGCTAGTGCTCTACCACTTGAGCCACAGCGCCACTTCCAGCTTTTTTCTTTTTGCTTATGTGGTGCTGAGGAATCAAACCCAGGGCCTTGAACATGCAAGGCAAGCGCTCTACCACTAAGCCACCTTCCCAGCCCACTCAGGAACATATTTGAATGCTCAGCAGCACCACTATATCAAAAAATAATAATAATAATCAAGCCAGGCACCCAGTGGCTCACTCCTGAAATCCTAGATAGCTACTCAGGAGGCTAAAATGTGAGGATCAAGGTTCAAAGCCAGTCCGGGCAGAAAGTCCGTGAGACTCTTATCTCCAAAAAAAACACAAGAAAACCGAAAGTGGCGGGGTGGCTCAAGTGGTAGAGTGTTCACCTTGAGCTGAAGAGCTGAGGGACAGAACCCAGGCCGAGAGTTCAGACCCCACAACTGACCAAAAAAAAAAAAAAAAAGCTCAGAAACAATGTTCAAAACAGAGTTCAAGCCCCAGGCATATACACTCACACAAACACCCACACACCTATACACACAAGGATTCTCAACTGTCCTGATTGCCACTTGATATAAACACCTATACACAGCAGGTGGTCAGTGCTGATGACTTAGTGATAAGTTGACAGCAGGAAGGATTCATCCATAGTGTTCTATTTTCCAGAAACAATCTTTTAAACTTAGTCCCTCACAATAAACACCTAGCACTGGTACTATCAGACCCTTGGTAATCTCTTGGCATGGACTCTTAATCTGCTTCTAGATATTTTAACTAATCCTTTGTCAATGGATTTGTAGCATTACTAAAACCAGGATGTTAAATAGAAAATTTCCAGTCTTATGCTTCTTAACCAATATAAAGACAAATCTAGAACACACTAAAGTGAAAGAAAAATATTGGACATTTTTAGCCTCTCCAAATGATAAAGGAAGACATTATTACTTACGGAATGCTTTGTCTATTCTCCATCCATTTGTTTTCTCTTCACGTTTAAATTTATTCTGTCAACAAAAAAAAAAGTCAAGAAATGTAACAATTTTCCTCAAATTATTGAAGAATATCTGGAGGTTTATACCTAAATTATGGCAACTTAGGAGGCTGAGATCTGAGGATTGAGATTCAAAGGCAGCTAAAGCAGAAAAGTCCATGAGGCTATCATCACCACTTAACTACCAAAAAGTTGGAAGTGGAGCTGTGGCTAAAGTGACAGAACACTAACCTTGACCACAAAAGCTCAGAAACAATAACCAGGCCCTGAGTTAAAGCCACAGGGTTTTAACTTTAGTATCCATGAAGATACAAACACACAGTAAAAATCTCATTCATTTTGCTAAAATACTGTAAAAATAATGTAACACTAGGCCGAGTCCTGGGGACTCCATCCCCCCAACATAGAGCAGCTTAGACCCTTACAAGTTTCTAGAAACCACCTTTCCCCATCTTTTGGACTGGGAAAGCCCCCCAAAATGCAGACAATCTGTGATTTAGCAACAAAGGTGAATCTGCCAGGAAGAGCTGGTTGGGCAAGTCTCCAAGTTCTCCTGGGAGAAAAGCAGGCAATCTTTGCCAGTGAAAAGATTGCTAGAGGGGCTGGGAAGGTGGCTCAGTGGTACAGTGCTTGCCTTGCATGCTTGCCAGTGGCTCACGTCTATAATCCTAGCTACTTAGGAGGCTGAAATTTAAGGATCTCAGCCTGGACAGGAAAAGTCTATGAGACTCTTATCTCCAATTAACCTCCAGAAAACCAGAAGTTGTGCTGTAGCTCAAGTGGTAGAGCTCGCTCCCCTTGAGCTAAAGAGATCAGGGACCAGGCCCAGGCCCAGAGTTCAAGCCCCAACAAAACAAAACGAAAAAAATTAACACTAATGTATGTTTATCCCATATTTTTGCTTAAAAAAAATGCTTGAGTGGGGAGCTGGAAAAGTGTCTCAGTGGTAGAGTGCTTGCCTCACATGTGTGAGACCCTGGTTCTGTTTCTCAGCACCATATAAGCTAAAAACACTGGAAGTGATGCTGTGGCTCTCAAGTGGTAGAGCGCTAACCTTGAGCTGAAGAGCTGAGGGACAGTGCCCAGGCCCAGAGTTCAGGCCTCACAACCAACAAAAAAAAAAAAAAAAGACTCTACTGCAGGGCACTGGTAATTCATACCTGTAATCCTAACTACCAAGGAGGCTGAGATCTAAGAATTATGGTTCAAAGCCAGCCCAGGCAGGAAAGGCCATGAGATTCTTATCTCCAATTAACCACCAGAAAACCAGAAGTGGCACTGTGGCTAGAAGTGGTAGACTGCTATGGCTGGGAGAGTGGCTCAGTGGTAGAGCGCTTGCCTTGCATGCCTGAGGCCCTGGGTTCGATTCCTCAGCACCACATAAGCAAAAAGAAAAAAGTGGTGCTGTGGCTCAAGTGGTAGAGCGCTAGCCTTGAGCTGAAGAGCTGAGGGACAGCGCCCAGGCCCAGAGTTCAGGCCCTACAACCAGACAAAAACAAAAACAAACAAACAGAAAATAAAAACAGAAGTGGTAGACTGCTAGCCTTGAGTGGAAGAACTCAAGTATAGCACCAAAACCCTGAATTCCAGCCCTGTGACCAAGGGAAAAAAAAAAAAAATATTCAAACTATTCTGGCATATGTGTCTTCTCTTTATATCAACACTTAAATTCAGAGCCTTTATCAGTACACTCTCAAACATATTTGAGAAATAAGAGTGATGGAGATGTATCTGTATTTGAACTGAGAAACCTTACTTGCTTTTCAAGTAATAAAGGAGAAATAGTGAAGGGAAAAACTGTCACTGGGCACCAGTAGCTCATGCCTCTAATCCTAGCTACTCCTAATTACTGAGATCTGAGGATTGTGGTTCAAAACCAGCCCAGTCAGAAGAGTCCCCCTGAGACTCTTATCTCCAATAAACTACTCAAAACAAAAGCAGGAAGTGGAACTATAGTTCAAGTGGTTAAAGCACTAGCCTTGAGCACAAAGATGCTCAGGGACAGTGCCCAGTCTCAAGTTCAAGTCCCAGGACAGGCAAAAACAAAACAAAAAACTGTCATTTAAACCAGACACGTATTTGTTTTTTTTTTCACCTTTTATATGCAAAATATATTTTAATATTATATATATAGTACAATATACACATATATGTGTGCATACACACACACAGACATACACACACATTTAAAACTTTGCAGATTGTTTCCAAACAAGCATGTTAAGTTTACTTTACCTTAATTTCTATTCTTGCTCTGTGAGGAAAAAGTTGTCCAATCATAGAAAAGTCCGTTCCTACCATGCTGATGGCTAAAAAAAACATATCTGTTTCTGTAAAAATAAAAGATTTAAAATAACCAAAAAGTAATCTTTTTAAAAACAAAATTAAGAGAAACATTATGAGTTTAAAAATTCACAGTACTTAATTTCATGGGATAGAAGCTAATGGTATGCATAAAAGCATTTTTTTTTCCTTTTTTGGTCAGCCATGGGGCTTGAACTCAGGGCCTGGGTGCTGTCTCTGAGTCTTTTTGCTTAAGGCAAGCATTCTACAGAGCCATTTCCAGTTTTCTGGTGGTTAACTGAAGGTAAGAATCTAATGGGCTTTCCTGCCTAGAAAGACTAGGATTACAGGAGTGAGCCACCAGCGCTCAACTATAAAAGCATCTTAAACAATCCAAAAAAAGGGCATTAGTAATTTTTATTTTTTTTTTTTTTTTTTTTTTTTGTCGGTCGTGGGGCTTGAACTCTGGGCCTGGGCGCTGTCCCTCAGCTCTTCAGCTCAAGGCGAGCGCTCTACCACTTGAGCTACAGCGCCACTTCCGGTTTTCTGGTGGTTTATTGGAGATAGGAGTCTCACGGTCTCTCCTGCCCGGGCTGGCTTTGAACCGCGATCCTCAGATCTCAGCCTCCTAAGTAGCTAGGATTACAGGCGTGAGCCACCAGCGCCCGGCTTGGCATTAGTAATTTTTGTGTTCATACAAAGCAGCTAATTTTTTTTATCTGACCTCACTTTAAATGCCTTTAAAAACTGCCATCCATGGCCAGCATTGAGTTATGTGTCCAACTAAGATGAGCTAAATAGCGTATGAATAAAGTAGCTAAGGATGGGACTGGTAGTGCATGCCTGAAATCCTAGCACTTGGGAGGCAGAGGAGGATTTTGAGTTCAAAGCCATCTAAACTACACAGAGAGATCCAGTCAAAAAGACAAAAAGAAACCTGGGTGCTAGTGGCTCCCCCTTATATTCCTAGCTCCTCAGGAGGCTGAGATCTGAGGATCACAGTTTAAAGCTAGCCCAAGTAAGAAAGACTTGGAGATTCTTATCTTGGAGCACTGTGGTAGCAGTGTTAGCCTTGAGTTAAAGAGCTTCAAGAACAGAACATAGGCCCTGAGTTTAAGCCCCATGACCAACCCAAAGAGAGAGAGAGAGAGAGAGAGAGAGAGAGAGCGCACGAAGAACAGAGGGTCAGTGGCTCACACCTGTAATCCTAGCTACTCAGAGCACTGAGATCTGAGGATCACAGTTTGAAGTCAGTCAGCCTGGGCAGGAAAGCCTGAGACTCTTATCTCCACTAAACTACAAAAAAAGCCAGAAGTAGAGCTGTGGCTCAAGGGGTAGAATACTAATCTTGAGCAGAAAAGCTCAGGGACCCAGAATACTAATCTTGAGCAGAAAAGCTCAGGGACCCAGCCCAGGCCCAGAGGTCAAGCCCCAGAAGGGGAGTGGAGAGGGAGGGAGAGAGAGGGAGGGAGAGAGAGAGAGAGAAGGGGGAAGAAAAGAATATAGTAGTGGAGCACCAGTGGCTCACACCTGTAATTCTAGCTACTCAGGAGGCTGAGATCTGAGCATCACAGTTCAAAGCCAGCCTGAGCAGGAAAGGCTATGAAACTTTTATCTCCAATAAACCACCAGAAAAACCAAAAGTGGCACTGTGGCTCAAGTGGTAGAACACTAGCTTTGAGCTGAAGAGATTGAAAGACAGCATTCAGGCCCAGAGTTCAAGCCCCATTACCAATAAAAAAAAAAAAAAAGAAGATAGTAAGGAATGTCTAACGGGAAAAATACATGAGAAACTTGATAAAACTTGGTGAATGTGACAGAAAATAGAATTATACAATCTTTTTATTCTACATCCTCTACCATATTTGAATTTTCTCACAAAGCTCTAATACTTCTGTGTGCATGCGACAGCACTGGGGCTTAAATTCTGGGCCTTGAGCTCTCAGTTGGCTTTTTAGCTCACAGCTGGTGCTCTACCATTTGACATAGGCCTCCAATTCCAGTTTGTTACTAGTTTATTGGAAGATAAGAGTCTCTGCCTGGCTGGCTTCCAATCTTACTATTTTATTTTTTGGTGGCAGTGCTTGGTTGAACTCAGTGCCTGGGCACTATCTCTGAGCTCAAAAGTCTACCACTTGAGGCATAGCTCTAGTTCTGGCTTTTGGGTGGTTAATTAAAGGTAAGAGTCTAATGGACATCCTTGATGGGCAGGCTTCAAATGTGGATTCTCAGATCTCAACCTCCACAATAGCTAGGATTATAGAAGTAAACCAGGGGCTGGGAAGGTGGCTCAGTGGTAGAGCCCTTGCCTTGCATGCTTGAGGCCCTGGGTTCAATTCCCCAGCACCACATAAGCAAAAAGTTCTAAATCACTGATTCTTTAGCCGGGCGCTGGTGGCTCACGCCTGTAATCCTAGCTACTCAGGAGGCTGAGATCTGAGGATCTCGGTTCAAAGCCAGCCCGGGCAGGAGAGACCGTGAGACTCCTATCTCCAATAAACCACCAGAAAATCGGAAGTGGTGCTGTAATTCAAGTGGTAGAGCGCTCGCCTTGAGCTGAAGAGCTGAGGGACAGCGCCCAGGCCTAGAGTTCAAGCCCCACAGCCGACCAAAAAAAAAGAAAAAAAAAGAAAGAATAACCAATGGTGCACAGCTCCAATCTCAACTCTCATAAATCAGCCTTCTGAGCAGCTAGGCTATAAGGTATAAGTAACCAGCATTTGGCTTCTACTGCTTTTATAACAGAAAACACTAACAAGCCCCACCATTGTTTTGGTTTGTCAATACTGCGGTTTGAACTCAGGATATTCACTTGCTAGGCATGTACTCTACCAAGTGAGAGACAGAGAGAGAGACAGACAGACAGACAGACAGACAGAGAGAGAGAGACACACGCACACGCACGCGCACGCGCGCGCACGCGCACACACACACACACACACACACCACACCCATATGGGATAGATTTTTTGAGACAGTCAATTATGTTGCCTAGAATAGCCCTCGAACTTGCAATCCTCCAGTTTCCATCATTTGCTTTTCCTTTTCTTTCTTTTTACCTCCACCTATTGCACACTGGATTAGATTTATAGACATGTACTAGGTACTACCTACAGTAGTAGGTAGTAGGAAGGGTCTATGTAGACTAGGCTGGCCTTGTGTTTCTATTTTAGCTGCTGGGATTACAGGCGAGTGTCACCAACACTAGGCTAAATAACATAATTTACCAAGACAGATTTTATTACACAATACTATCTGACATAGAACATTATGACTTTAGAAATGTTAATTTTCCATTCAATTTTTTTTTTTTTTGCCGGTCCTGGGGCTTGAACTCAGTGCCTGGGCACTGTCTCTGAGTAGCCACAGTGCTACTTCCAGCTTTTTCTACTCATGTGGTACAAAGAATTGAATCCAAGGTGTCATGCATGCTAACCAAGCACTCTACTTCTAGGCCACATTCCCAGCCCTTTTTTCTCCTTTTTTTTTTTTTGTCAGTGGTAGGGCTTAAATTCTGGGCCTGGGCACTGTCCCTCAGCTCTTCAGCACAAGGCTAGTGCTCTGTCACTAGAGCCACAGCACCACTTCCAGTTTTCTGAGTGGTTTACTGGAGATAAGAGTCTGATGCCCCAGGCTAGGAAGGTGGCTCAGTGATAGAGATGCAAGCATGAGGCCCTGGGTTCAATTCCTCAGCACCACATAAGCAGAAAAAGCCAGAAGTGGCAATGTGATTCAAGTGATAGAGCTGAGGGACAGTGCCCAGGCCCAGAGTTCAAGCCCCATGACCAGTGGGGAAAAAAAAGAGTCTCATGGCCTCTCCTGCCCAGGCTGGTCAGATCTCAACCTCCTGAATAGCTAGGATTACAGGCATGAGCCACCACATACAGCCTAAAAACAATTTCTAAGATACAGAGATATATAGCTGCACAGGGATAGATGGAAAGTGACAATAATATTAGCTAAAGAGAAAACAACATATTAATATACGTATTACTTAAGGGAGATCTAATCAGAAATATCAAACATCAATTCATCTCAAATAATTTTAATAAGTAATTACCTTTATTTGACCATGGTTTAGAGTAACAGTTTTTTCTAAAGCTGGAATAGGTAGTTGTAGAGCCTCGCTCAAATATAGGGTCATTTTCCTCAACAACACAGGGGCCTTTTGTCCTTAAAACTTCAACAGTTAAACTGAAAAAAGCAAATTTTCAAATAAATTCACATTAAAAATAAATAAACAGTAAATTAGATTTAGGTACTTAGATATTAAATTTACAATAGAAGTCACATAAAAAGTACAAGTCACATAAAAAGTACACTAATATACCTTTGGAAAATAAGTAAAGTACATTTAAATATATATATTCAAAATATCTGTTAATTTCCACATAAATGTTATGCCCAAAATGCAGAAATAAATGTAAACCTGGTTGGAAACATGGCTTAGAGGTAGAGTGCTTGCTTAGCATGCATGAGGCCCTGGGTTCAATTCCTCGGTACCACATTTAAAAAACAATTAGATTAAAAAAGAAAGAAATGTAAACCTGTTCTTAAAACGGTTAACAATATAAAATTTACAAAATATTCTTGCACTACTTAAAATACGTGTTTTATGCCAGGTGCCAGTGTCTCATACCTGCAACTGATCTACACAGAAGACTGAGATATGAGGAACACAGTCCAAAACCAGCCAGGACAAGAAAGTCAATGAGACTCTTTTCTCCAATTAATCACCAAAAATCTAGAAATGGAGCTGTGACTTAAGTGGTAGAGCAATAGCCCTAAGCAAAAAAGCTCAGGACAGCACACAGGTCCTGAGTTTCAAGCCCTAGGACCAGCACCAAAACAAAAAACAAAAAAGTGCGGCACTCAAATGCTGTCTATACATGAACATGTAAAAAAATATAAATACACACTATGCTACACACAACAGGAATTTTGAGAATTATAAGTATTTCATATTTATAGCTTAGAATCCTACAGCCAATGCACTTTAAATATGCTTTTATGTATTTAATAACCAGTGAAATCACCATTACAAAAACAAAAGATTAAAGGGTAGTGGCTAATTATCTATAATCCAAGCTAGTCAGGAGATTGAGATTTCAACTCCTAATAATCTTGCTCATTCTCCTCTACATTAACCACATATGCCACCATAACCAACAGGAGCCTGAGATTTGAGAACTGAAATTCAAAGCCAGCCAGCCAAATCCAAGACTGTTATCTTCAATTAACCAGGGAAAAAGGTAGAAATGGAGATGTGGGCTCAAAAGGCAAATCACTAGCAGTAAGGAAGACAGCAATCGGTCTGGGGTTGAAGCACCAATAGCAAGAAAAACAAAAACAACAGTAGGATTCTATTTATATATCCTTATCAAATTTAAATGTTGTATTTTTTATTATTAAACTGTCAAAGGGCTAGAAGTGTGGCTCAAAATATTAAGAGAACCTGACTAGCAAACTTGAGGCCCTCAGTACAATACTGAATACCATCCCAAAAAACAATCTGGCAAAGATTTTTCATTTTCTTTTTTTTTTTTTTTTGTCGGTCGTGGGGCTTGAACTCCGGGCCTGGGCGCTGTCCCTCAGCTCTTCAGCTCAAGGCGAGCGCTCTACCATTTGAGCTACAGCGCCACTTCCTGTTTTCTGGTGGTTTATTGGAGATAGGAGTCTCACGGTCTTTCCTGCCCAGGCTGGCTTTGAACCGCGATCCTCAGATCTCAGCCTCCTGAGTAGCTAGGATTACAGGCGTGAGCCAGTAGCGCCCGGCAGATTTTTCATTTTCTTGATTTTCCTATTAATTTATCTCTTTTATAAATTTACTTAATAAGCCAGGCACTGGTAGCTCACTCCTGTAAACCTAGCTACTTAGGAGGCTGAGATCTGAGAATCCAGGTTCAAAGCCAGCCCAGGCAAGAAAGCCCATGAGACTCTTTTCCATTAAAGTGGTGCTGTGGCTCAAGTTGTAGAGTGCCCAACTTAAGCTGAAGAGCACAGAGACAATGCCCAGGCCCAGAGTTCAAGCCCCACGACCGAACAAAAAAATAAAAATGGGGCTGGGAAGGTGGCTCAGCGGTAGAGTGCTTGCCTTGCAAGCCTGAGGCCCTGGGTTCGATTCCTCAGCACCACATAAGAAAAAAGAAAAAAGCCGGAAGTGGCGCTGTGGCTCAAGTGGTAGAGCTCTAGCCTTGAGCTGAAGAGCTGAGGGACAGTGCCCATGCCCAGAGTTCAGGCCCCACGACCAGACCCAAAAAAATAAATAAATAAATATAAATAAATAAATAAATAAAATATATATGTACTTAATAGTAGAGGGCCGGGCTGGGAAGGTGGCTCAGTGGTAGAGCGCTTGCCTTGCATGCATGAGGCCCTGGGTTCGATTCCTCAGCACCACATAAGCAAAAAGAAAAAAAGCCAGAAGTGGCGCTGTGGCTCAAGTGGTAGAGCGCTAGCCTTGAGCTGAAGAACTGAGGGACAGCGCCCAGGCCCAGAGTTCAGGCCCCATGACCAACAAAAAAATAAATAAATAAAATAAAAAGAAATAAAAAATAGTAGAGAGCCAGAAATAGGATCTTTCCTCAGACAAAAGCAGATCTATGATCATGAAACCATCATCTTTTCAACTTCTCTTTCTCCTCCTTCTCTAGCCCCTGTCCCATTCTATTCATTTCTCTCACACTAACTTACCTTTCTTCATCCAAAATAATAGAGCCATCTTCAGCCACTTTTACACGAGGGACCAGCAATGGCCCATCATCTATCTCTTCTTCCATTTCTTCATTTTCATCAGCATCAAGAGTACCCTTATTTTCTTGCCTACTGAAAGCAAAGATAAATTAATATATGCAACTATATAAATAATTCCTGGGGCAGAAGAACTCTGAGTTCAAAGCCAGCTAGGCTACAGAGTAAAACCCTTTCTAACAAAAAAGCCAGGTGCTGGTGGCTCAGGCCTTTAATTCCAGCTACTCTGGATGCTGAGATCTGAGGATCACAGTTCAAAGCCAACTTGGGCAGGAAAAGTCCATGAGACACCTATCTCCAATACACCAGCAGAATACTGGAAGTGGAGCTATGGCTCAAGTAGTAGAGCTTGAGCTAAAGAGGTGAGGGACAGCACCCAGACCCAGAGTTTAAGCCCCACGACCAACAACAACAAAAAAAAAGCCAGACACCAGTAGCTATAATCCTAGCTACTCAGGAGACTGAGATCTGAGGATCATGGTTCAAAATCAGCCCAGGCCAGAAAGTCCATGACACTCTTATCTCTAATAAACCACTCAGAAAACTGAAGGGGTGCTATGGCTCAAGTGGTAAGAGCTGAAGAGCTGAGGGACATCTCGTAGGCCCAGAGTTCAAGGCCCATGACTGACCAAAAAAAAAAAAAAAACACCAGAAATGGCACTGTGTCTCACACTCACATGGTAAAGCACTCACCCTGAGCTGAAGAGCTGAGGGACAGCACCCAGGCCAGACCGACAAAAAAAAAAAAAAAAAAAAGAGGCTGAGATCTGAGAATCGCAATTTGAAGTCCACTGGGCAGAAAACTGTCCGTAAGACTCTTATCTCCATTAAACTACTCAGAAAAGCCATAAGTTGCCCTGTGACTCAAGTGGTAGAGCACTAAGCCTTGAACACAAAGAGACTCAGGGATAGTAACCCAGGCCCTGAGTTCAAGCCTCAGTACTGGCAAAAAAAAAAAAAAAAAAAAAGAAAGAAAAGAAAAAAGGAAAGAAAAACACCTATCAGAAGCAAACCATAATAGGAAGTACCACTGATTTTATTTTTCAGAATGAGAAGAAATTGGAGGTAGTTCAGTGTGTGTGAGGCTCTAACTTTGATCCCCAGTACTGAAAAAAGAAAAACAAATAGAAGAATACACATGACAGAATATAAGGTGAGATGCTTACTCTCTTGTTTGAACTGGAGTCACTGATTTTTCATTTTTCTTTTCTTGTTCCAGTGAAGAACTATTAAACACAAATGACAAAAACTTTAGGGCTACAAAGAAACATAGGTCCCATGGTTTCCCTTATTTGCAATATCTAGTATAGGTATGAGTCAAGCGGAAAAAGTCAGATAATGTGATGTTAGGAAAACAAAACCTCAAATATGTATTTTAATGTTTTTGTTTCTTTCATGCATGTGTTTCTAACGCATTTATAAGATTATTTCTTTGTTGCTTTGTATGTCCCTCCCCCACAGTGTAACCCCCGCTTTCACTATATTTGATGTCAGTATAACATGTGGAGGAGATGGGGACAAACAAGTCGTTTAAGGATTCAGGTGGACCTGTTGCAACAATGAGAAGTACAAAATGTCATGTCAAAACCAGCTTTACAATGTCGGTGGGGGGGGGGGAGGGGGGTATGATTGGTTGGGAGGGAGGGGGGAGGCTGGGAAGGGAGGTGAAGGGTAAACAAAGGAGGAGGCTGCAATGCTTGGTAAGAAATGTATGCATTATCCTGCCCATGTAATTGTAACCCCTCTGTACAGTATGTTCTCAAATAAAATAAAATAAAATTTAAAAAAAAAAAAAAAAAAACTTTAGGGCTAGTAATGTGCTTGGTAAGGTGCTTGCCTAGCATGCAAGAAGCCCAGGGTTCGATTCCTCAGTACCACATAAACAGAAAAGGCCAGAAGTGGTACTCTAGCTCAAGTGGTAGAGCACTAGCTGTGAACACAAAGAGGCCAGGCCCTGAATTTAAGCCCCAAGACCGGCAAAAAAAAAAGACAAAAATTTGAATTATCAATTTACATGTTATTAACTTCTCTGTATTTTTTTAATATGGTATATCATAACACTTCAATTTTGCAGTTATAACCTGAGAAATTAGCTCGGTTTGTGTTTACCATGCCCAGCCTAGGATTTTATCCCCAGCACAAAAAATAGCTGGGCACTAGTGACTCAATTCTGTAATCCTGGGACTGGGAAGGTGGCTCAGTAGTAGAGCACTTGCCTTGCATGCATGAGGCCCTGGGTTCGATTCCTCAGCACCACATAAGCAGAAAAAGAAAAAAAAAAGTCGGAAGTGGCGCTATGGCTCAAGTGATATAGTGCTAGCCTTGAGCTGAAGAGCTGAGGTACAGTGCCCAGGCCCAGAGTTCAGGCCCCATGACTGGACCCAAAAGAAATAAAATAAAATAATCTGTAATCCTTGCTACTCAGGAAGCTAAGAACTGGGATCATGGTTAAAAACCAGCAAAAACCAACACTGGCAGGAAAGTCTATGAGACTCCAATTAACCATCAAATAGCCAAAAGTGGAAGTATGGCTCTCAAGTGGTAGAGTACTAGCCTTGAGGAAAAAGCTCATGCCTAGGCCCTGAGTTCAAGCACCAGGACCAGTGTGCGCGCACACACAGACACACAGACACACAGACACACACAGACACACACAGACACACACACACACACACACAAGTAGAGCTCTAGTTCAAGTGGTAGAGCACTTACCTTGAGGGAAAAAAAGCTCAAGGACAGCTCCCAGGCACTGAGTTCAAGCCTCAGGACTCATATATACACACACAAAACAAGAAGTTTTGTTCTTGAAGGATTTAATCCTTCAAATTACACTGTATTCAATTTATATTTAAAGCATGTATTAACTACACAAAAAAAGTAACGAATCCCTGGTATCTAACCTTATGTTCATTGATAGATGTCCTACATGCATGTAACATAGGTTAAGTTTATCCCTTCTGCACTATATTTAATTAAAGTATGACATAAAAAGTAGACTATCTCTGGGGCAGGAAAGTTGGCTCAGTGGTAGACTGCTTGCCTTGCATGCATGAGGCCCTGGGTTCAATTCCTCAGCACCACATAAGCAGAAAAAGCCAGAAGTGCTGCTGTGGCTCAAGTGGCAGAGCACTAGCATTGAGCTGAAGAGCTAAGGAACAGTGCCCAGGCCAAGAGTTTAGGCCCCATGACCAAAAAAAAAAAAAATAGACCATCTTTGCCTCTTCATATTTATATAAATATACATACTGAAATGAACGCCAAGAGACCTTTTTTAATTCCTTTATTATTTTAGTTTTTAGTTTTTGATGATTCTGTCTGCTTTACCTCATGCATGGAGTATTCACGTGGACAGCTGCAAAAGGGTGAGAGGGAGAGAAGAGAACTCAAGGGAAAAAGGACAGAAGTGGAGCTCAATGGACACTGACGAAAAGTAAATCTATACAAATCATGAGTGGAAATAGGAGGGAAGGAATAGAAAAGAATGAGGGAAAAGAAGAAACTACACAAAAGGAAATGGACTCATACCTGACTCATGTAAGTATAATCCCTCTGTATGTTGCCTTTTTAATAACAATCAAGTAAATTTTTTTTTTTAAACTAGATCAGGGGCTGGGAAGGTGGCTCAGTGGTAGAGTGCTTGCCTTGCATGCATGAGGCCCTGGGTTCGACTCCCTAGCAACACGTAAGCAGAAAAAGCTGGAAGCAGCTCTGTGGCTCAAGTGGAAGAATGCTAGCCTTGAGCTGAAGAATTGAGGGACAGCACCCAGGCCCAGAGTTCAGGCCCTTACAACCAGCAAAAAAAAAAAAAAAAAAAGCTACATCATACCTTCAGCCAGATTATAGTAAGAAACAGAACTTGCAACTTAATTAGAAAAAGGTGTCTAGTTGCTTTTACTACAATACTGGTAACTAATATAACAAAACAAACAATTCTAATCTTAGTGATAAGGGGCACCATTAACCATTCAAACAAGCAGTTACTTGATGGAAATGGAACTCAGCAGTAGTGTCAGCAGTAAAGAGTGTACTTAACACAAGTGAAGCCCTGAGTTCAATTACCAGCACAAAAAGAAAAGAAAAATAGTTTTTGTTTAAAAGAGTTTACCTAAAAAGACAGTATAACACCATAAATCTTACCAATATGCTTTTGGAAAACAAGAAACTTTAAAAACAAGTATTTTACTTACGCCATGGGATTTTTATCTGGAAGATAATATATGAAGTCTCTCATTGTCATTTTTGAACGATCTGCTATCTTCTGGCTTTCATTTATACCGTATTTGTTTTTCCATTGTTTCTATATAAACAAACACATACAGACCCATTTTTATAAACATAGAAAAAATGCTTTATGCTGATTACTACTCCAAAACAATTTATATAATAAACATTAAAAAGGGCTGGGAATGTGGCTTAGTGGTAGAGTGCTTGCTTAGCATGCATGAAGCCCTGGGTTCATCTCACAAACAGAAAAAGCGAGAAGCGCTGCTGTGGCTCAAGTGGTACAGAGTGCTAGCCTTGAGCAAAAGCAGCTCAGAGACAGTGTCTAGGCCCTGAGTTGCAGCCCCAGGACTGGCAAAAAATAAAATAAATAATAAAAATAAACATTCAAAAGTTGTAGCAAGGGCTGGGAAGGTGGCTCAGTGGTAGAGCGCTTGCCTTCCATGCCTGAGGCCCTGGGTTCGATTCCCCAGCACCACATAAGCAAAAAGAAAAAAAGCCAGAAGTGGTGCTGTGGCTCAAGTGGTAGAGCGCTAGCCTTGAGCTGAAGAGCTGAGGGACAGCGCCCAGGCCCAGAGTCCAGGCCCCACGACTGGACCTAAAAAAAAAAAAAAAAAGTTGTAGCAAAGCCTGGCTACTTAGGAGGCTGAGATCTGAGGATCATGGTTCAAAGCTAGCCCAGGCAGAAAAGTCCACGAGACCCTTATCTCCAATAAACTACTCAGAAAAGGCCAGAAGTGACACTATGGATCAAGTGGTAGAGTATTAGCCCTAAGCACAAAGAGGCTCAGGGACAGCATCAAAGCACCAGTACCAGCAAAAATAAAGTTGGCTGGGAATATGACTTAGCAGTAGAGTGCTTGCTTCACATGCATGAAGCTCTGGGTTCAATTCCTCAGTACCACATAAACAGAAAAAGCTGGAAGTGGCACTGTGGCTCAAGTGATAGAGTGCTTACCTTGAGCTGAAGAGCTCAGGGACAATGCCCAGGCCCAGAGTTCAAGCCCCATACGGACAGAAGAAGTAGAAGGAGGAGGAGGAGGAGGAGGAGGAGGAAGAGGAAGAGGAGGGAGGAGAAGGGGAAGGGGAAAGAGCAGGAGCAGGAGAAGAAGAGGAGGAGGAGGTGGGGGGGAGGAAGGGAGGGAAGGAGAAGGAAGAAGGAAGAAGAGGGAGGGAGGAGGAAGGAGGGAGGAGGAAGAAGGAGGAGGAAGAAGAGGAAGAAGAGGAGGAGGAGGAGGAGGGGAGGAAGGGAGGGAAGGAGGGAGGAAGAAGGAGGGAGGAGGAAGAGGAGGAAGAAGAGAAGAGGAAGAAGGAAGAAGGAAGGAGGAAGAAGGAGGAAGGAAGAAGAGGAAGAAGAGGAAGAAGAAGAAGAAGAAGAAGAAGAAATAGTAGTAGTAGTAGTAGTAGTAGTAGTAGTAGTAGTAGTAGTAGTAGAGCTGGTGGCCCACAACTATAATCCTGGCTACTCAGAAGGCTTTGATCTGAGGATCATGGTTTGAAGCTAGCCTGGACAGTAAAGTCCATGAGACTCTTCTCTTCAATTACTAAAAAGCTGAAAGTAGAGCTGTGGCTCAAATGGTAGAGTGTTAGCCATGAACAAGAAAAAGCTCAGGAACAGTACCCAAGACATGAATTCAAGCCCCAGGATTAGCGCACTTGTTCATGCGAGTGCACGCACATATATACATACACATACACACACACACACACAATGGATTTTTTCTCATTCATTAGAAAGAATATTACATCATTTGCAAAGAAATGGAAAGACCTGGAAAAAATTATGGTATATGAAGTAATTCAGGTCCAGGAAAACAAAGGACATGTTCTCTCTCATAGTGGAAGCCAGTACTAATTCATAAATGTACAAGAAAGCCAGGCACCAGTGCCTCACAACTTTAACCCTAGCCACTCAGGAGGCTGAGATCTGAGGACCACAATTTGAAGCTAGCCTAGACAAAAAGGGCCATGATACTCTTATCTCCAATTAACCAGCAAAAAGCCAGAAAGTAGAACTGAGGTTCAAGTGGCTTAGCTTTGAGCACAAAAGCTAAAAGACAGTATCCAAACTCTGAGTTCAAGCCCCAGTACTGGCACACACACAAAGCATAAAAGTAAACAATTAGGGCTGGGAAGGTGGCTCAGTGGTAGAGCGCTTGCCTTGCATGCCTGAGGCCCTGGGTTCGATTCCCCAGCACCACATAAGCAAAAAGAAAAAAAGCAGAAGTGGCACTGTGGCTCAAGTGGTAGAGCACTAGCCTTGAGCTGAAGAGCTGAGGGACAGCGCCCAGGCCCAGAATTCAGGCCCCACGACCGGACCCAAAAAAAAAAAAAGGAAACAATTACAGGCTCATGCCTGTAATCCTAGCTACTCAGGAAGCTGATATCTGAGGATCTCAGTTCAAAGTCAGCCCAGGCAGGAAATTCCCAGAGACTCTTAGCTCCAATAAACCACCAGAAAACCAGAAGTGGTGCTGTGTGGCTCAAGTGGTAGAGCGTTAGTCATTCAAGCCCCATGACCAATAAAAAAAAAAAGAAAGAAAGAAAAAAGAAAAAAATACTTGATGAGGTCCATTGTTTTTTTCAACAATTATACTAACAGGAGAAATTTTAATAACGTAAGAGATATGATTTGGCTTTGCTACCCTAATACAGATGCCTACTTCTTTTTCCAAAGTATGCCATACTAACCTAAAAAACAGAAATCTAACAGGCAACATCAAAATTACGATTTTACTCACTTACCTTCTCTTTTCTGAGCTCTTCCTTTAACATCTCCCTCAGTTTCTGGGCTTTATATATTCGGTATCTGTCTGAACATGGCTGCTTCTCTCTTGTTGTAATGGGGTTTGGCTGTGAAGTGTCTTGATTAACTGTAGATAAGGGATGAGACTGTGAAGGAACACTGACACTTGGTTTCCCTAGACTAGAAGTACTTGATACTCGTTTTCTTCTCTGTGAAGCAGTAGTGGACACATTAGTGGATTCTTCAACCTTATGTTCACCACCAGTGTTTTCATCCCTGTTGAAATTAAAAGGAAAAAAAGGCACCATGACTCCTTTTTTTTTTTTTTTTTTTTTTGGGGGGGGGGTCCGGTTGTGGGGCCTGAACTCTGGGCCTGGGCGCTGTCCCTCAGCTCTTCAGCTCAACGCTAGCGCTCTACCACTTGAGCCACAGCACCACTTCTGGCTTTTTTTTTTCCTGCTTATGTGGTGCTGAGGAATCAGACCCAGGGCCTCATGCATGCAAGGCAAGCGCTCTACCACTGAGCCACCTTCCCAGCCCTCCTTTTTTTTGGGCGGGGAGAGGGGGGTCAGGTGTGGGGCCTGAACTCTGGGCCTGGGCGCTGTCCCTCAGCTCTTCAGCTCAAGGCCAGCACCCTACCACTTGAGCCACAGCACCACTTCTGGCTTTTTCTGTTTGTCTGGTGCTGAGGAATCGAACCAAGGGCCTCATGCATGCTAGGCAAGCACTCTACCACTGAGCCACCTTCCCAGCCCCCATGACTCTTCTTTTCTATGTGTTAATTTTAAAATCTAGCTTGGTAAAAATTCAAAACAGTAAATTCTCATGCTAAAAAAAAAAAACCAGTGAAGCTGGACTCCAGTGGCTCACGCCTGTAATTCTAGCTGCTCAGGAGGCTGAGATCTGAGGATCATGGTTCAAAGCCTGCCCGGGCAGGAAAGTCCATGAGACTCTTATCTCCAATAAGCCACTGAGAAAATCATAAGTGGTGCTATGGCTCAAGTGGTAAAGTGCTCACCTTGAGCTGAAGAGCTGAGGGACAGTGCCCAGGCCCAGATTTCAAGCCCCACATCCGACAAAAAAAAAAAATAGAGCTGAGGGACAGCACCCAGACCCAGACAGAGTTCAAGCCACACAACAACAACAACAACAAAAAACTTTCCTGCTCAGTATGGCTTTACACCATGTTCCTCAGATCTCAGCTTCCTGAATAGCTAGGGTTACAGGCGTAAACATAAACATCCAGCCCTGTTTTCTTCACCCTCCCCCTTCCCCATCCTCCCAACTACCTCACTCTCCACACCCTGCATCTGTCAGTTGCAGGGCTTGAACTCAGGGCTTGGGCACTGTCCTAAGCTTTTTCTACTCAAGGCTAGCCCTCTTACCACTTTGAGTCATAGCTCCACTTCTAGTTTTCTGATAGCTAAGAGACAGGAGTCTCATGGACTTTCCTGCCTAGAATGGCTTTGAACCAAGATCCTCAGCTCAGCCGTCCTGAGTAGCTAGGATTACAGGCATGAGTCACAGGTGCTTAGCTTTTCTGCTAGTTCGGGGGCTTGAACGCAGGGCCTGGGCACTGTGTATAGCACTCAACCATTTGAGCTACAGCTTCACTTCCAACTTTTTCTTTTGCTGGTTAACCGGAGATAAGTCTCAAGAGACTTTCCTGCCCAAGCTGGCTTCAAATAGCAATCCTCATAGCTCAGCCTCCTGTGGAGTTAGGATTACAAGTGTGAGCCACCAAACCCTGTCTTCTTTAAAACTGTTTTGTTTTGTTTTGTCTGTCTATCATGAGGACTGACCTCTGGGCCTGGGCCTGAACACTGTCCCTCAGCGATTCAGCTCAAGGCTACTGCTCTACCATTCTGAGCTACAGCACTACTTCTGGTTTTCTGGTGGTTACTTGGAATTAAGAATCTCAATTTCGGCTGGGAAGGTGGCTCAGTGGTAGAGCGCTTGCCTTGCATTCCTCAGCACCATATAAGCAAAAAGAAAAAAAAAGCCAGAAGTGGAACTGTGGTTCAAGTGGTAGAGCGCTAGCCTTCAGCTGAAGAGCTGAGGGACAGTGCCCAAGCCCAGAGTTCAGGCCCCATGACCGGACCCAAAAAATAAAAAAATAAAAATCTCAATTTCCTCCTTGGGTGCCAGTGACTCACACCTATAATCCTAGCTACTCAGGAGGCTGAGATCTAGGATCACGGTTCAAAGCCAGCCCGGGCAGGAAAGTGTGAGACTCTTATCTCTAGCCTTGAGCTGAAGAGCTGAGGGATGAGGGACAGTGCCCAGGCCCAGAGTTCAGACCCCACGACCGGACTCAAAAAAAAAAAAAAAAAGAACAACTAGCCAAATACCTGTGACTGGTGACTCAACACTCTTAGCCACTCAAGATGCCCAGATCTGAGGATATTGGTTCAAGATCAGCCCAAGCTGACAAATCTTTGAAATCCTCATCTTAAATTAACCAGCATAAAGACAGCTTGGAGGCAGTCTCAAGTGATAGAGTTCCAGCTGGCAGGAACAGAAGCAGAAAACACCAGGCTACTAACCCTGAGTTCAAGCCCCAGTACTGACACACACCAAAAAGAGTCTATATTCTCTCTCATATCTCTCTCTCTCTCTCTTTTACTCTCTATGTCTGGCTGGCTGGCTGTCTCTCTTTCTCTCTCTCTCTCTCTCTCTCTCACACACACACACACACACACACACACACACACACAGAGGAAATGACCCAAAAAGCTTAACTAGAGTACTCACATATACACACACACACACACACACACACACACACACACAATCTATTCACATAGACAACACACCACTGACTTAAAAACAAATTAACTCAAGACAAGAATATGAATTCAAAACGGGAAATAATGTTGCAACTGGAATTCTCAAACCAAGTGAAGGTAGCTCATGCCTGTAATCATAGCTACTTAGAAGGCTGAGATTTGAAGATCATGGTTCAAATCCAGCCCAGGCAAGAAAGTCCTGAAACTGTCATCTCCAACAAACTACCAGAAAGAAAGCTGGAAGTGGAGCTGTGGCTCAAGTGGTAGAAGACTAACCTTGAACAAAAGAAGCTCAGGAACAGTGCCCAGGCCCTGAGTTCAGGCCCCAGAACTGTCACCAAGGAAAGATAAAAAAAGATAAGAAGAGAGCTGGGCACCGGTGGCTCAAGCCTGTAATCCTAGCTACTCAGGAGGCTGAGATCTGAGAATCCCAGCTCAAAGCCAACCCGGGCAGGAAAGTCCGTGAAATTCTTATCTCCAAGAAACCACCAGAAAACCGGAAGTGGCGTTGTAGCTCAAGTGGTAGAGCTCTAGCCTTGAGCTTAAGAGCTGAGGGACAGCTCCCAGGCCCAGAGTTCAAGCCCCACAACCGACAAAAAAAAAAAAAAAAAGATAAGAAGAAAAAAAAGGGGATTTTCCCAACATAAAGAAATGACAGGAGCCGGGCGTTGGTGGCTCACGCCTGTAATCCTAGCTACTCAGGAGGCTGAGATCTGAGGATCGCAGTTCAAAGCCAGCCCGGGCAAGAGAGACCATGAGACTCCTATCTCCAATAAACCACCAGAAAACCGGAAGTGGCGCTGTAGCTCAAGTGGTAGAGGGCTCACCTTGAGCTGAAGAGCTGAGGGACAGCGCCCAGGCCCAGAGTTCAAGCCCCACGACCAACCAAAAAAAAAAAAAAGAAATGACAGGGCTGGGAAAGTGGCTCAGTGGTAGAATGCTTGCCTTGCATTCATGAGGCCCTGGGTTTGATTCCTCAGCACCACATATGCAAAAAGAAAAAAAGCCAGAAGTGGTGCTGTGGCTCAAGTGGTGGAGCACTAGCCGTGAGCTGAAGAGCTGAGGGACAGCGCCCAGGCCCAGAGTTCAGACCCCATGACCGGACCCCCAAAAAAAAAAAAGAAATGACAGATGGGCTAGGATGTAGCTCACTGGCAAGCACTTGCCTAGCAAGTGCAACATCCTGGATTCAATCCCTAGTACTAAAAAAGAAAGGATAGAAAAAAGAATTGTACTTAAAAAAGTGACTTTTGGGCTGGGAATGTGGCTTAGTGGTAGAGTGCTTGCCTAGCATACATGAAGTCCTGGGATCAATTTCCTCAGTACCACATAAACAGAAAAGCTGGAAATTGTGCCTGAGGCTCAAGTGGTAGAGTGCTAGCCTTGAGCAAACGTAGTTCAAGGACAGTGTCCAGGCCCTGAGTTCAAGCCCCAGGACTGGCAAAAAAAAAAAAGAAACTTTTGAGGTGAAAAATGTATCAATTAATGTATTAATTACCCAGAACTGATCATTATATAACGTATACTTATATTAAAATATCACACTGTACTTCATGCATAATTATGTATCAATTAAAATGTTTTAATGTTTAAAAAGGGTATTATAAGATTATAAATCTGTATTCAGTATACACTATGTAAAAAATGAACTATGTAACTTATCTGCATGGGCTGGAGGAGGAAACTGGGGAAAACAAAGGAAGAGGTGACACTGTCAAAAAAAAAAAAAAAAAAATAGCCAGAAACTAGTAGCTCACAACTATAATCCTAGCTATTCTGGAGGAGGCTGAGATATGAGGATCAAATTCAAGGCCATCCTTTGCAGAAAAGTGTGCCTGTAATCCTAGCTACAGAGACTGAGAACTGAGGATCACGGTTCAAAGCTAGCTCGGGCACAAAAGTAAGAGACTCTTATCTCCGATTAACCACTAGAAAACCGGAAGTGGTGCTGTGACTCAGCGGTAGAGTGCTGTCTTGAGCTGAAGAGCGCAGGGACAGCGCCCAGGCCAAGAGTTCAAGCCCCATGACCGACAAAAAAAAGAAAAAAAGAAAAGTGTGTAAGATTTATCTCCAGTTAACCACCAAAAAAAACAAAAGTTGCCCAGTAGCTCAAAGTGGTAGAGAACTAGTCGAGCAAAAGAGGTCAGGAACAGCGCCCACGATTGACCAAAAAAAGAACTCATTACCTAACTTATGAAATGGTAACCCCACTGTACAACATCTTAGTAATAACAAAAATCATATAAATATATAATATATACTTTTTTTTTTTTTTGGTCAGTCGTGGGGCCTGGGAGCTGCCCCTCAGCTCTTCAGCTCAAGGCTAGCGCTCTACCACTAGAGCCATATCACCACTTCTGGCTTTTTCTGCTTATGTGGTACTAAAGAACTGGGCTGGGAAGGTGGCTCAGTGGTAGAGCACTTGCCTTGCATGCATGAGGCCCTGGGTTCGACTACTCAGCACCACATAAGCAAAAAAGAAGAAAGCTAGAAGTGGCAGTGTGGCTCAAGTGGTGGAGCATTAGCCTTGAGCTGAAGAGCTGACGGATAATGCACAGGCCCAGAGTTCAGGCCCCATGACCAGACCCAAAAAAATAATTGAACCCAGGGCCTTATGCATACGAGGCAAGCACTCTATTACTGAGCCACCTTCCCAGCCCCAATAAAATTATATTAAAAAAAAAAAAAAAGAATTTAAATCTATTTTCCTCAAATTTCAGTTATTTTGTATAAAAATGGAAAATACATTAACCTACTGAATAACCAGAAAGTCTCCCATTCATTCATTCATTCATTCATTCATTCATTCATTTATGGTGAGGTACTGGGGCTTGAACTCAGGACCTAAGTTCTTACTCAACTTTCACAGCTGGTGCTCTACCACATGAGCAACCATTCCCCTTGTCTTGCACTCTACTAGTTAATTAGATGACTTCCAACCAAGCTGAATTCAAACCTCTATCCTCCAAGTCTCAGCCTTCTAAGTAGCTAGAATTACAGGTGTGAAGCAACTAGCTTCAGTTTAAACTCTTTTCTCAGAGCTGGAGACAGACCAATGGTACAATGTTTATCTAGGATATATAGTGTTTCATCCTCAGCTGAAAGCCCCCTACCCCCATGTTAGTCCTTGTAACAATGTGATACATAAACCTTTTGCATTTTGTTCCATATATTAAATGCATAAAGACAGAACATACGCACTATTGGTTTGTTTTTTGGTTGGGGGGGGGGGGGGGGTTGGGGTCTGATCGTGGGGCCTGAATTCGGCTTGGGCACTGTCCCTCAGCTCTTCAGCTCAAGGCTAGCGCTCTACCTAACTTGAGCCCCAGCACCACTTCCGGCTTTTTTCTTTTTGCTTATGTGGTGCTGAGGAATCGAACCCAGGGCCTCATGCATGCAAGGCAAGCGCTCTACACTGAGCCACCTTCCCAGCCCACACTATTGTTGTTTTTTTTTTTTTTGGGGGGGGGTCCGGTCATGGGGCCTGAACTCTGGGTCTGGGCGCTGTCCCTCAGCTCTTCAGCTCAAGGCTAACGCTCTACCTAACTGGAGCCACAGCGCCACTTCCGGCTTTTTTCTTTTTGCTTATGTGGTGCTGAGGAATTGAACCCAGGGCCTCAGGTATGCAAGGCAAGTGCTCTACCACTGAGCCACCTTCCCAGCCCCCCACACTATTGGTTTTTACAACTAACAAAGATTTACCAAAAAAAAGAAATAGATAAAAAAGAGAGAGGAAAACAAATATTCTAGAGCATAATCTCTCAAGACTAGTTTCTGGTCAATTTATTAAATTACCAAGTACAAATTTATGCCTATTAACAAAACCTCTAAGAAGTTTTTTTGTTGTTTTTTTTTTGGGGGGGGGTCCAGTTGTGGGGCCTGAACTCTGGGCCTGGGTGCTGTCCCTCAGCTCTTCAGCTCAAAGCTAGCACTCTACCACTTGAGCCACAGCGCCACTTCCGGCTTTTTTCTTTTTGCTTATGTGGTGCTGAGGAATCGAACCCAGGGCCTCAGGCATGCAAGGCAAGTGCTCTACCACTGAGCCACCTTCCCAGCCCCTCCTCTAAGAAGTTTTGTGGGGGTTTTTTTGTTGGTTGTCGGGCTTGAATTCAAGGCCTGGGTGCTATCTTTTAGCTCTTAGCTCAAGACAAGCACACTACTACTTTGAGGCATAGCACCACTTCCAGTTTTTTAGTGGTTAATTGGAGATAAGAGTCCCACAGGAACTTTTTTGCCTGGATGGACTTCAAACTGTGATCCTCAGATCTCAGTCTCCTAAGTAGATAGGATTACAGGCATGAGTCACTAGCACCTGGCTAAGAACTTTATTAACAGTAACCAATTAGGCCCCTTCATTTTGAGTCAAAATTCTGAAACTGGTTCATCGAAAACTTGGAAATTTACTGAGCACCACTGAGATAAAAAAGTAAAATTATTCCCAGCACCAGTTCACACCAACGGGGAAATTATACTCCCTTCCCCTCCTCAAAAACTTTTTTTTTTTTTTTTTTTTTGTCGGTCGTGGGGCTTGAACTCTGGGCCTGGGCGCTGTCCCTCAGCTCTTCAGCTCAAGGCCAGCGCTCTACCACTTGAGCTACAGCGCCACTTCCGGTTTTCTGGTGGTTTATTGGAGATAGGAGTCTCACGGTCTCTCCTGCCCGGGCTGGCTTTGAACCACGATCCTCAGATCTCAGCCTCCTGAGTAGCTAGGATTACAGGCGTGAGCCACCAGTGCCCGACTTCCTCAAAAACTTTTTTTCTTGGGGCTGGGAAGGTGGCTCAGTAGTAGAGCGCTTGCCTTGCATGCCTGAGGCCCTGGGTTCCATTCCTCAGCACCACATAAGCAAAAAAGAAAAAAAGCCGGAAGTGGCGCTGTGGCTCAAGTGGTAGAGCGCTGGTCTTGAGCTGAAGAGCTGAGGGACAGCACCCAGGCCCAGAGTTCAGGCCCCATGACCGGACCCCACCCAAAAAAAAGAAAAAAAGTTGTGTTTTTTTTGAGGGGGTCCGGGCCTGGGCGCTGGGCCTGGGCTCTGTCCCTCAGCTCTTCAGCTCAAGGTCAGCGCTCTACCACTTGAGCCACAGCGCCACTTCCGGCTTTTTTTTTTTTTTTTTTGCTTATGTGGTGCTGAGGAATCGAACACAGGGCCTCATACATGCAAAGCAAGTGCTCTACCACTAAGCCACCTTCCCAGCCCATCAAAAACTTTTCAATCTTTTGTGACAAATAACTAGGGCTGGAAATGTGGCTTAGCGGTAGGGTGCTTGCTTGCCTAGCATGCAGGAAGCCCTGGGTTCAATTCTCACGATCAATAAACAGAAAAAGCCGGAAGTGGTGCTGAGGCTTTAGTGGCAGTGCTCACCATGAGCAAAAAAGAAGCTGTTGACAGTGCTCAGGCCCTGAGGACTGGCAAAACATAAAATAAAAAGTAAACAACTTATACAACCTGTCACCAGGACTGGTTGTTTACTGGCTTTCTCCTATATATAGCACAAAAGGAAACTATCTTATTAACTTGGAATGTCTTAAACTTAATTGTTCTGCAGTGTCATCTCTATTTTTTCCAACGAACAACTTTTAGGAGTCAAATATTTGTCCCTGTCTGGCATAAAACAGTTTATGTAAGTCATCTCTAAATTCCACAATGCAGCTTCAAAGAAGGTAATATTATCCTTATTTAAGGAAAGAGTAAATTCTTTCAAAAAATCTACTTCATTTGGGGCTGGGAATGTGGCTCAGTGGTAGACTGCTTGCCTACGATGCATGTAGCCCCGGGTTTGATTCCTCAATGCCACATAAACAGAAAAAGCCAGATGCAGCACTGTGGCTCAAGTGGTTGAGCCAAAAGAAGGTTAAGGACAGTGCCCAGGCCCTCAGTTCAAGCCCCATGACTGGCAAAAAAAAAAAAAAGGTCTAAGCCGGGCGCTGGTGGCTCAAGCCTGTAATCCTAGCTACTCAGGAGGCTGAGATCTGAGGATCGCGGTTCAAAGCCAGCCCGGGCAGGAGAGACCGTGAGACTCCTATCTCCAATAAACCACCAGAAAACCGGAAGCGGCGCTGTAGCTCAAGTGGTAGAGCGCTCGCCTTGAGCTGAAGAGCTGAGGGACAGCGCCCAGGCCCAGAGTTCAAGCCCCACGACCGACAAAAAAAAAAAGGTCTAGTTCGAGATGATAAATATAAATAATATTATAAATATAAAAACATTGACTCCAAATGTAGTACTAAGTCCATACTTCTTGGTCCAGGAAACATGATCTTAGAGTAGCCTACTTCAAACCAGTGCAAGCAGCCTGACTCTCCTTTCCACTGACATAAGTCAGCAGCACCAAAGCGACGCTAGGGATATAGCTCCGCGGCAAAGCGCTTGCTTAGCATTCATGAGACTCTCTTAAGTTTGATTCCCCAGCACCGAAAAGCAAAGGAAGAAGGGAAACTACTACTCTCTTACTAAAATTAATTGTCTTAAACAAAGCTACTTCTCATACAAAGTACCCAAGGTAAATTAAATTTCTCAAATAACTTGGCTGTTCTTGTCTTCAAGATTATTATGGCTGATTCCCTCCAGACAAAATTCATAGCAGCTACACGGAGAAGAGACAAACTGCAGTTGGGAGTTGTTTCATCAGACTCAAAGGAAAGGCTGACAGTGCAAGGGGAAGGACTACTCCCATAATAAAGTCCATGTGTTCAGCTTCAAACTCCCCACGCAAGCGCTCACCTGCTCACGGGAGCCTTTTCCTGGGGCTCCGATCCCCCGGAAGCCACCGCCGGCACATGTGCAGACTCCGCAGTCTTTGGGGCGAACTCGGCTGCAGGCTCCGGTGGCCTGGGAGACTCCCGTCCACGCTGGGGCTGGGGAGCCGTGGAACCCCGGGCGCCGACACCGGGCCTGACATTCGGCTTCACGCTTAGGCGTGCCCTGCGGAACATGGCGGAGCCAGGGGGGCCCGGGACGCGGCTTCACCGCCGCGCCCAGCCCAGAGCCCCAAGCACGGCCGGAAACCGCGTGAGGACCTCCGCCCTCCCCACAAAGCCGGAACGCACCCAGCGGGCCGCTACCGCAGTTTCGCGCCCCTACCGCCTCCTCCTTTCTCCCGCCGCCGCCTCTTCTTCATGACCCTGCCACACTAATGCCTAAATTTCTCCCTCCACCCGGATCCCGGCCCGTAGAGGGCGCAGGAACCGACGCGTAATCACTCGGCGCCCGGCGCTTACGTCAGACTCACGGCGCCGGGAGCCATGGTAACCGCAAGCGCCTCGCTTAGGTTACCTGTAAAACGGAAGTTGAGGCGCAAAGGCCTGAGCTCTTCCTTCTCTACCTGTGCTTAGTAGTGGCTGCAAGGAAAGGACGCAGTGCCTTAAACTTATTTAATCGGTATTAGAGGATCGAACGCAGGGTGTCCCCCATGCAGACTGCATTCTACACACTGAGCTGCGCACACACCGTGACTCACACCTGAGAGAAACTGCTTAAAATCGCCGGCCCAGGAGCTGGGAAGGTGGCTGAGTGGTAGAGTGTTTGCCTTGCATGCATGAGGCCCTGGGTTCAATTCCTCAGTACCACATAGGGCTGGGAGGGTGGCTCAGTGGTAGAGCGCTTGCCTTGCATGCATGAGGCCCTGGGTTCGATTCCTCAGCACCACATAAGCAGGGAAAAAAAAAAGCCGGAAGTGGTAATGTGGCTCACAAATGGTAGAGTGCTAGCCTTGAGCTGAAGAGCTCAGGGACAGCGCCCAGGCCCAGAGTTCAGGCCTCAGGTCTGGCAAAAAACAAAAATCAAAAAAAAAAGTGTAAGAGCAGTGCTTGCTTACCTGTGTCAGAACTTAGAAATTCTATACATGCTAAGTAGAACACAATTAGAATTTGTGATGGGAAGAAATTGAGAATGGTCTCTCCTGGGACAATAAACTACAAAACACAGCCAGGAAAAATATTTACTGTATAACCTTGTGTATTTTTTAATGTGAAGTATTGTCCATGCAAAAATCATAAACTACAAGTATTTTTGTACCGATACTGGGACTTGAACTCTGGGCTTGGACCCTGTCCCTGTGCTCTTCAGCTCAAGGCTGGCACTCTACCGCTAGAGCCACAGCGCCACTTCAGGTTTTTTTTTCCTGCTTATGTGGTACTGAGGAATCCAACCCAGGGCCTCATGCATGCAAGGCAAGCACTCTACCACTGAGCCACCTTCCCAGCCCCTCCATGAGACTCTTATCTCTAATAAACCACCAGAAAACTGGAAGTGGTGCTGTGGCTCAAGTGGTAGAGTGCTAGCCTTGAGCTGAAGAGCTCAGGGACAACACCCAGGCCCCACAACCAACAAAAAATAAATATTATCCTGCCCATGTAATTGTAACCCCTCTGTACAGTATGTTCTCAAATAAAATAAAATTAAATAAATAAATAAATAGGGACTGGGAAGTTGGCTCAGTGGTAGAGTGCTTGCCTTGCATGCATGAGTCCCTGGGTTCTATTCCTCAGCACCACATAAGCAGAAAAAGCCAGAAATGGTGCTATGACTCAAGTGGTAAAGCGCTAGCCGAGCTAAAGAGCTGAGGGACAGTGCCCAGGCCCAGAGTTCAGGACCCAGGACCAACAAAAAAAAAAAGTAAATAAATAAATAAATATACTCCCAGCCAGGCACTGATGGCTAATGCCTATAATCCTAGCTACTCTGGAGACTGAGAAGTAAGGATCAAGGTTCAAAGCCAGCTGGGGCAAAAAGTCTGTGAGATCTTTTTTTTTTTTTTTTGTCAGTCATGGGATTTGAACTCTGGGCCTGAATGCTGTCTCTCAGCTCTTCAGCTCACAGCGAGGGCTCTACCACTTGAGCTACAGCACCATTTCCAGTTTTCTGGTGGTTTATTGGAGATAGGAATCTCACAGTCTTTCTTGCCCGGGCTGGTTTTGAAACGCGATCCTCAGATCTCAGCCTCCTGAGTAGCTAGGATTACACCGCCTGGCGTCTGTGAGATCTTTATCTCCAATTAACCACCCAAAAGCCAGAAGCGGAGTTGTGACTCAAATGGTCAAGTGCTAGCCTTGAACAAAAAAAGATCAGGGACAGCACCCAGGTCCTGAGTTGAAGCTCCAATATTGGCATAGGCACACACACACCCTGCCAAATTAATAGCAAATCATGAAAGGAATAAAGTTCTGGACTGAATGGAGAAGTGGATTATGTAGAAGGAGAAAGGGAAAGTCCTCAATAGTAGGAGAACAAAATTGAAGGAAGAGAGAAAAGGAAAAAGAAGATGTAGGTCTATGGGTTCTGTGTGCCCTCTTTAATACTCTGGAGAGGAAAAAAAAAAAACCTAGATATATTCAAAGTTCAAGTGTCAGGGTATAACTCAGTGCTTAGTACATGAAAAATCCCCTGAGTGCATTGAGAAAGAGAAGGCTATGGAAGGAAGGAAAAAAGAAAGAACATAAAAAGAACACCCTAAGCTGGGCGCTGGTGGCTCACGCCTGTAATCCTAGCTACTCAGGAGGCTGAGATCTGAGGATCGCGGTTCAAAGCCAGCCCAGGCAGGAGAGACCGTAAGACTCCTATCTCCAATAAACCACCAGAAAACCAGAAGTGGCGCTGTAGCTCAAGTGGTAGAGTGCTTGCCTTGAGCTGAAGAGCTGAGGGACAGCGCCCAGGCCCAGAGTTCAAGTCCCACGACCGACAAAAAAAAAAAAAGAACACCCTGCTAAAGATGTCTCAGGAAATCTTGGAGCAACTGCCAGGACAATGCAACTATGGACAGTATGACTGTTTGGTTAGTTTTAGTTTTAGTTTTTGTGGCAGTACTGGGCTGAGATCTGAGAGTCATGGTTCAAAGCGAGCCCAGAAGGGGCTGGGAAGGTGGCTCAGTGGTAGAGCACTTGCCTTGCAATGCTTGAGGCCCTGGGTTCAATTCCCCAGCACCACATAAGCAAAAAGAAAAAAGCCGGAAGTGGCACTATGGCTCAAGTGGTAGAGTGCTAGCCTTGAGCTGAAGAGCTGAGGGACAGCACCCAGGCCCAGAGTTCAGGCCCCACAACCGGACCCAAAAAAAAAAAAAAAAAAAAGCGAGCCCAGACAAGCAAGTTTGTGAGACTTTTATCTCTATTTTTTTTTGTCAGTTGTGGGACTTGAACTCTGGGCCTGGGAGCTGTCCCTCAGCTCTTCAGCTCAAGGCTAGTGCTCTACCACTTGAGCCACAGCACCATTTCCAGTTTTCTGAGTGGCTTATTGGAGATAAGAGTCTCACAGACTTTCCTGCTGGGGCTGGCTTTGAATCTTGATCCTCAGATCTCAGCCTCCTGAGTAGCTAGGATTACAGGTGTGAGCCACTGGTGCTGGCTTTCTTATCTCTAATTAACCAGCAAAAAGCTAGTGGAGCTATGGCTCAAGTGATGGGACCTTATCCTTGAGTGAAAAAACTAAGGGAGAGCACCCAGGCCCTGAGTTCAAGTACCAGTACCAACACCATCCAAAAAACTGAAACAGGTTCATTAAGGAGAAACAGATATCTGATCTCTAAATAGTATTGAAGAAAGAGGAGGGGCATAGGAATGGGAAACCAGGTAAGAGTAATAACTATATTAGCTTAACATATTAAGAGCTACCATTCATGAGCAGGAAGCTATTTTATGTGTGTGCTAGAACTGGGGCTTGAATTCAGACCTCAGTAGAGCTCTTGCCTGGCTGTTTTCTGCTTAAGGATGGTGCTCTACCACTTGAGCCACACCTCCATTTCCAGCTTTCTGCTGGTTAACTGGACTTGTCTGCTACAGTTAGCTTCAAAACTGGGTCCTTATAGATGCCTAAGTAACTAAAATTACAGATATGAGCCACTGGCTCCCAGACAAGCAGAAAGCTTTTTTTTTGGGGGGGGGGTGATCCTGGAGCTTTAACTTTTTTGTCCCTGAGTTTTTGTGCTCAAAGCTAAAACTCTAACATTTGAACTACAGCTCTACTTCCAGCTTTCTGCTGTTTAGTTAGAAATAAGAGTATGACACTGGTCTGGGAAGGTGAATCAGTGGTAGAGTGCTTGCCTTGCATGCATGGGACCCTGGGTTCCATTCCTCAGCACCATTCCTCAGCCAAAAGTGGTGCTGTGGCTCAAGTGGTAGAGTGCTAGCCTTGAGCTGAAGAGCTGAGGGACAGCACCCAGGCCCAGAGTTCAAGCCCCATGACTTGGGGGAGAGGGAGAGTCTGACACACTTTCCTGCCCAGGCTGGCTTTGAACCACAATACTCAGCTCTCAGCCTCCTGACTAGGCAGGATTATAGGTACAAACCACCAGCCCCTAGCTCAGGAAGCTTTTAGCATAGTGAAATAATATCTCTACGCTCACACAGCAGCTAATTTATAGAGTTGGACTTCCAACCGGAACACCTTACATCCAGAGCCAAATTCTTCTACCTTTTCTAAAAATAGGCAATTTTATTTTATTTACTTTTTTTTTGTTGGTCGTGGGGCTTGAACTCTGGGCCTGGGCGCTGACCTTCAGCTCTTCAGCTCAAGGCGAGCACTCTACCACTTGAGCTGCAGCGCCATTTCCGGTTTTCTGGTGGTTTATTGGAGATAAGAGTCTCAGGGTCTCTCCTGCCCGGGCTGGCTTTGAACTGCGATCCTCAGATCTCAGCCTCCTGAGTAGCTAGGATTACAGGCGTGAGCCACCAGCGCCCGGCACATTTATACTTTTTTGGGAGGGAAAGTGGCCTCCTTGCTAGCCTGGAACTCTATGATGTCAGTCAAGCATTCATCCAGATCACCCATCACCAGTACTTTTGTATCTTTTTAAATACTCTGAAGGGTACCGGTAGCTCATGCCTGTAATCCTTGCTACTCAGGAGGGTGAAATCTGAGGATTGCGGCTCCAAATCAGCCCGAGCAGTAAAGTTGGAAGGGAGACTCTTTTTTTTTTTTTTTTGTCGGTCATGGGGCTTGAACTCTGGGCCTGGGCGCTATCCCTCAGCTCTTCAGCTCAAGGCGAGCACTCTACCACTTGAACCACAGTGCCACTTCCAGTTTTCTAGTGGTTTATTGGAGATAAGAGTCTCACGGTCTTTCCTGCCCGGACTGGCTTTGAACCGCGATCCTCAGATCTCAGCCTCCTGAGTAGCTAGGATTACAGGCGTGAGCCACCGGCGCCCAGCTTGGAAGGGAGACTCTTATCTCCTATTAACCACCAAAAGACCGAAGGTGGAGCTGTGGCTCAAAGTAGTAGAGCACTTTATTTGAGCAGAAGAGCCCGGGGACAGTGCCCAGTCACTTGAGTTCAAGCCCCACAACCAACAAAAATAATTAACTATCCCACAAGAAATACTTCTTGAAAAAGCACCAGGCAAAGGGGTGCTGATATCTCAGGAAGCAGAGATCTGAGAATGGAGGTTCAAAACCAGGCCAGGCAGGAAAGTGTATCTTTAATTAACCAACAAAGCCAGAAGTGGAGACATGGCTCAAAGGGTACAGTGACAGCTAGATGCAGAAAAGTCTGGCAGAGTATCAGGCCCCTCCAAATAAAAAAACAAAACCAGTGAGACAGGTCTCTAGCCCTCTACTAATACGGACTTCATGGCAGGAGGTCCCATACTGCTTAAATTCTGGTACTTCGGATTCCTGCCTTTGGTTGGTGTTGCTTTGTTTTATAGGTCATGGGTCTCCACTACTTTGAGCCACAGCACCACTTCCGGGTTCCTGGTGGTTCATTGGAGAGTCTCAGGGCCTTTCCTGCCGGGGCTGGCTTTGAGCCGCGAACCTCAGCTCTCAGCCTCCTGAGTAGCTAGGATGGCAGGCGTGAGGCACGGCGCCCGGCTGCATTCGGCGCTTCACACCACACAGGCCAACCTCAAAGCCGGGTGAGTGCGCCACCCAGCACTGCGCGCGCTCGGCCGGCCGCCCGAGTCTCCCCGGTCCGCCTCGCCGCCGCAAGCAGATGATGAGCCGGGGCTTAGGTCCACCGTGCAAAAATTAGGTAGTGTTTACTGTCGGTTGGCACTGAAAGCTGTCGGTCCGGCCGGCGCCGGTGCAAGAGGAGCACTGAGGAAAACCCACACCCGCCCGCGCCGCCTGCACACGCGCGACACGCTTTCTCCGAACCAAGCGCGCGCCTCAGCGCGAGAGGGCGTGGCCGACTCCCCCGGCCCTGCGTCCGCCCCGCCCCCCGGGGACGCGCATGCGCTCAGGCTCGCCGGCCACGCCGCCGCTGTTGTCAGGCCCGTGGGCGGGGCCGCGAAGCTGACCGGGCGGAGGCGCCGCCCGCCGGAGGCCCCTCGCGGGCTCAACCTGGCAGATCCCCGGGCGACCGCAGTCCAGCCTTCCGAGGCAGCCGTTGCTTCTCCGAGTGGCTCTCCGTCAAGCTCCGTCGGGTGGTCGGCATGGCCCGTGAGTGTTCCGGAGGCTCTAGGGGACGCTGTGGGAACCGTCCCACAGCCAAGGGTGGCGGTCTCCACCCGGCTCAGCCCGGGCGCTGGCACGGCTCGGCGGGGTGCGGGAGCCGATCGCGGGAGCCCGCTAGGGTCCGCCGGCGCGGGGACCCCGGCTTCTGTCGGCCGAGGGCGGGGCAGTTGGCCCGGGCTGGGACGGGCCCTGCCCCCCAGGCAGAGCACCCCCCCCGGGTGGCTGGGGGAGCCCGCCGCCGGGGAAGGGTCGCGGTGTGGGCGCGGCCCCGCGCCGGCACCTGAAGACGGAGGGCCCGGGGAGGAGTGGGAGGCCGCCGAGGGTTCTCTCCCTACTTCTTTTGTTTGGCGCTCGCTCCCAGGTGGTGTTTTCGGAGCATCTGCATTTGCTAGCTGAACTGAACCAACCGGTGACTCGTATCTGCCTTGTTCTTTCCCAGGCATTGCTTAGAAGCCAGAACTTATTTTGTTTTGCTGGCCGGCGAGAATACACCATTGGAATGACTGTTTCGAAAGATCTAGTAGTGGCTCACGCCTGTAATCCTAGCTACTCAAGAGGTTGAGATCTGAGGATCAAGATTCAAAGCCGGCCTGGACAGCAGAGTCCATGAGACTAATATCTTCCGTTAATTACACGGAAAACTGAAGTGGAGCTGTGGCTCAAGTGGTAGAGTACTAGGCTTGTGCAAAAAAGCTCAAGGACAGTACCCAGGCCCTGAATTTAAGCCCCAGGACTGGCACAAAAATAATAATACTTAGATCTGAGTATAATTAGAGAATAATAATTAGATCGGAGGATCACGGTTTAAAACCAGCCTGGATGTCTCCTGAGACTCGTATCTCCAACTAACTCCTCAAAAAACAGAAGTAGTGCTGTGGCTCAAGTGATAGAGGGCTAGCCTTAAGCACAAAGAGGCTCAGGAACAGTGCCCAGGTCCTGAGTTCAAGACTCACAACCGACAAAGGAATAATTAATTAATAGAAGACCTCGCATTTATAACTACTAAACACCAAGACTGATATGGAAATATTCTTTTTTTTAGGGGATCTCCTTCTCTCTTTTCTTTTTTTTTTTTTTGGTGCTTGTGGGGCTTGAACTCTGGGACTGGGCGCTGTCCCTTAGCTTTTCAGCTCAAAGAGAACACTCTACCACTTAAGCCACAGCACCACTTCTGGTTTCCTGGTGGTTAATTGGAGATAAGAGTTTCACAAACTTTGCTGCCCGAGCTGGCTTTGAACCAGGATCCTCAGATCTCAGCCTCCTGAGTAGCTAGGATTACAGGCGTGAGCCACTGGTGCCAGACTTGGAAATACTCTTTAAGTCCATGTTTACCTTTAAGCTCCCTCACCTTCAGATCTGCACCTTCTGTGCAATACTTGATTTGTTTCTTTATTAAAAGAAAAGCTTTGCATATGTCTAAATTAGGGGACCCTTTAAGGGTATTGTTTCTATTTTGAGAATGGAGGAAAAAGCTTATCTCTTTATTTTTATAGGTGGAAATCAACGAGAGCTTGCCCGCCAGAAAAATATGAAAAAAACCCAGGAAATAAGCAAAGGAAAAAGAAAAGAGGATAGCTTGACTACTTCTCAGAGAAAGCAAAGGTGAGTGTACTAAAAGAAACTTTGATTAAAACCAAATTTTGGAAAATGAAAACCATTTTATTTTTAGTAGTGTTATAGTTTGAGCTCAGTGCTTTAAGGCTTTCTAGACTAGTGCTCTATCACTTGAGTCACAACCCTAGCCTAAAAAGCATTTTTAAGCCCTGGTGTGAAACCAGCCCTGACAGAAAAGTCCTCAAGATTCTCTGATTAGCTAGCAAAAAGTCAGAGGTGGAGGTTTAACTCAAGGGGTAGAGCACATTTCCAAAATAGACTAAAGAATGTGAGGCTCTTGGGACTGGGAATGTGGCTTAGTGGTAGACTGCTTGCCTAGCATGCATGAAGTCCTGGGTTCAATTCCTCAGTACCATATAAACAGAAAAAGCCAGAGATGGTGCTGTGGCTCAAGTGGTAGAATGCTTGCCTTGAGCAGAAGTAGCTCGGGGATAGCACCCAGGCCCTGAGTTCAAGCCCCATGACTGACACCCCCCCCCCAAAAAAAAAAAAAAAAAAGGCCGAGTAGTACACTCTTGTCATCTCAGCTACAAAGGAAGCATACCTGGGGCAGTGTATGACCTAGGTATAATACAAGTGATAGAACCCTGCCTAGAAGCAGGAGGTTCTAAGCTCAAACTCCAGTACAGCTGGAAAAAAAAAAGAAAGAAAAAATAGCAAAGCAAAGCAAAGAAAAAAAGACCCGAACTAATAATGTATACTTTCAATGACAGTTATTATTTGTGATGAGCTTTGCTTGAAATGTCTGTATTAATAGTATAGATAAAAATAATAGTATACGCCGGGCGCTGGTGGCTCACGCCTGTAATCCTAGCTACTCAGGAGGCTGAGATCTGAGGATCGCGGTTCAAAGCCAGCCCAGGCAGGAGAGACTGTGAGACTCCTATCTCCAATAAACCACCAGAAAACCAGAAGTGGTGCTGTAGCTCAAGTGGTAGAGCGCTCGCTTTGAGCTGAAGAGCTGAGGGACAGTGCCCAGGCCCAGAGTTCAAGCCTCATGACTGATCAGAGTACTACTACTACTACTACTACTACTACTAATAATAATGTGTAAAAATAGTATACATCAGTGGCCCAGCAATACTTCCAGCTATCCTCTTGGTTCAGAAATAGCCATTGTATACTGAATATACAAATCTTATAAAGGTCTTTGTTAGACATTCTGTATGTATTATCTCTTGAAAAATGGTATTTGCTCCAGTGTATGAATTAGGAAAGTAAGACTACTTTTGTTTGAGATAAGGTTTTGCTGTGTAGTATTCCAGACTGGTCTTGAATTTGGGATCTTTGTGCTTCAGCCACCACCCCAGTGCTGGCTTCACACTCAGTTTGTAGTTCTTAAGTAATATTACTAAGGTTTTACAGCAAGTACAACATAGACCATCTCTAAACAGAAAAGTAACAATCACTATTCTTTTCCAGTATATCTTTTTTCTTTTTCTTTTGTCTTTTTTCCTTTTTTTTTTTGGTGCCAGTCCTGGGGCTTGAACTCAGGGCCTGGGCGCTGGAGCTGTCTCTAAGCTGTTGTGTTCAAGATTACCACTCTACCACTTGAGCCATAGCACCACTTCTGGCCTTTTAGTGGTTAATTGGAGATAAGAGTCTAATGAACTTTCCTGACTGGGCTGACTGTTGAGAGCCTCACATCTCAGCCTCCTGAGGATTATAGGTGTGGGCTCTCATTGCCTGCTTTCTTTTTTTAATTATTATTATTTGTGTACATGTGTCATGTGCTAGTAATGGGCCTGGAACTCCTGGCCTTAGGGCCTTGCTCAACTTTCTTGCTCAGAGCTGGGGCTCTACTAATTGAACCATGCCTCCAGTCTGTTTTCCTGGTTAATTGGAGATGGAGTCTTTCCTTTTCTTTTGCTTTTTTTTTTTTTTTTTCTTGTCAGACATGTGAACTCAGGGCCTGGGTGCTGTCTCTGAGCTCTTTTGCTCAAAGATAGCTCTCTACCACTTTGAACCACTGCTCTATTTCCAGTTTTTTGGTGGCTAATTGAAGATAAAAGTCTCACAGGCTTTCCTGCATGTGCTGGCTTTGAGCTGGGTCCCTCATATCTCAGTCTCCTGAGTAGCTAGGATTATAGGCATGAGCCACCAGCACCTGGCTCACACATACTTTTCCTTTTTTTTTTTTTGTCTGTCGTGGGGCTTGAACTCTGGGCCTGGGCACTGTCCCTCAGCTCTTCAGCTCAAGGAGAGTGCTCTACCACTTGAGCTACAGCGCCACTTCTGGTTTTCTGGTGGTTTATTGGAGATAGGAGTCTCACAGTCTCTCCTGCCCGGGCTGGCTTTGAACCGTGATCCTCAGATCTCAGCCTCCTGAGTAGCTAGGATTACAGGCGTGAGCCACCAGCACCTGGCTACACACATACTTTTCTATCCCAACTTGCTTTGCACTTCAGTCCCCCCATGTCTCAACCTCCTGAATAGCTACATTACAGGCATGATCCAAGGAGAGTTCTTAAAATCCTCCTTCAGAAAATGGTGCTATGGCTCAAATGGTAGAGCGCTTGCCTTGAGCTGAAGAGCTGAGGGACAGAGCCCAGTCCCAGAGTTCAAGCCCCATGACCGACCAAAAAAAAAATCATCCTTCAGGAAAATAAATTAAACCTGTTAACAACCTAGTATAATTGCCATTATTTCTACATTTAGCTGCCTGGTATCAGGCACGCACGTGTGCGTGCGCGCACGTGCGCGCGCGCGCGCGCACACACACACACACACACACACACACACACCTATTCTTCAGAACAAGTTTAATATGCTTTCCTGCAATTTTGAAAGGTCATGATAATAGTAGGGTTATCATCAGATAGACATCAAAACTTTTCCATTCTGCCTCCATTCATAAAAGCTGACACTTGAGTGTTTATATCGTCTTTCATATTATTTTTTTAATGCAGTGAATGGGTTATGGAGAGAGAACAAATGAGAATGAAAATTAGTTATTCTTAAAGCCTTTTCACCATTCTAGGGACTCTGAGATCATGCAGCAAAAGCAGAAGGCAGCTAATGAGAAGAAGTCAATGCAGACAAGAGAAAAATGATGACTGGCTCTTTGGAAAACCTGGGTGCTACTGCCATTGGGGTGCATCATAAGCTCTAAGATCAAGATTTCTTAAGTATACAGTCATTATCCGTGTTATAACTTATCCTTATAAAACTGTCTATTTTAAACTTTGCTTCTCAATTTGACCAAGTGTTATGCATTAAAACCATCTTTCAAAAAATAAAACACCGACCATGCATGAATTCTACTTGTGAATATTATTTTTTATCAGCAGTGAAATGTTATATAACTTATTAGATAATGAGAATCAGAGTAGGAACTCCTATGTAAACCTTGTTTTATAAACTTCATTAAACAGATCTTTTAACGTGAATCTTACAGACTGGGAAGGTGGCTCAGTGGTAGAGTGCTTGCTTTGCATGCATGAGACCCTGGGTTTGATTCCTCAGCACCACACAAGCAGAAAAAGTTGTAAGTGGCACTGTGACTCAAGTGGTAGATTGCTAGCCTTTAGCTGAAGAGCTGAGGGACGGCACCCAGGCCCAGAGTTCAGGCCCCACAACCAACAACAAAAATAATAATAGTAAAAATAAGTCTTATTACATAGGGGTAGAGGTGGAACTCAGTATTAGAGGCCTCACTTAGCATGCATGAGGCCTGGTGTACCTCCCAGTACCACACATACACACAAATTTATTGTCTAAAAGAACTCTAAGATGCCTTTCTTCACAATGGATTCATATTGCTTGAAGAATTTATAGTCGGTACAAACCATCTTGCATGCCGGCTAAATGGATGTAAACTACATTAGAGGGTTCAGTAAGAATTAGACTTGGGGTTGGGAAGGTGGCTCAGTGGTAGAGTGCTTGCCTTGCATGCATGAGGCCCTGGGTTTGATTCCTCAGCACCACATAAGCAAAAAGAAAAAAAAAGCTGGAAGTGGCACTGTGGTTCCAGTGGTAGAGCGCTAGCCTTGAGCTGAAGAGCTGAGGGGCAGCGCCCAGACCCAGAGTTCAGGCCCCACAACTGGACCCAAAAAAAAAATAAAAAGAATTAGACTTACAAATTTAAAAGAAAATTGCTAGGCATTGGTGGCTAATAACTATAATCTTAGCTACTGCAGAGGCTGAGATCTGAGGATCACTGTTTAAAGCCTGCCTGGGCAGCAAACTCTGTGAGACTCTTATCTCCAGTTAATCACTCTTATCTCCAGTTAATGTGATTAATAATTCTGAAGCCTATTTGCTTGTATCAGGAAAAACATTTCTCTTCAAGAAAGCTTAGTAGAAATCTATTCAAGATACCATTGTAGGGCTGGGAAGATGGCTCAGTGGTAGAGTGCTTGCCTTGCATGCATCAGGCCCTGGGTTCGATTCCTCAGCACCACATAAGCAAAAAGAAAAAAGCCGGAAGGGGCACTGTGGCTCAAATGTTAGAGCGCTAGCCTTAAGCTGAAGAGCTGAGACACCCCCCCCCAAAAAAAAGATACCATTGTACTAGAGAACTTTTTTAAGTACAAAAGAAAAAAACAAATCCATTTTCTCTATATTATTTATTTTTATTTATTTTTTATTTTTGGGTCTGGTCATGGGGCCTGAAGTCAGAGCCTGGGCGCTGTCCCTCAGCTCTTCAGCTCATGGCTAGCGCTCTACCACTTGAACCACAGTGCCACTTCCGGTTTTTCTGGCGTTTTATTGGAGATAGGAGTCCCATGGACTTTCCTGCCCAGGCTGGCTTTGAACCATGATCCTCAGATCTCAGCCTCCTGAGTAGCTAGGATTACAGGCCTAAGCCATCGGCGCCCAGCTGAAACTTACTTTTATGATGAACACTTACTTGACTTAGTGGTACTTCCCTTTTATCCCAAAAACCCAAAAACCCCCAACTTCAAAGGTAAGAGGCTCTCAAAATACCATGCAAGTAGACCCTATCAGAAAAATACATTGAAAGCAAAAGGACTGGGAATTTGGCTCAAGTGCTATCATATTTATCTAGCTTTCAAGCCACAATACTACAATACATATTTTATTTTATTTTTTTTTGGGTCCGGTTGTGGGGCCTGAACTCTGGCCTGGGCGCTGTCCCTCAGCTCTTCAGCTCAAGGCTAGTGCTCTACCACTTGAGCCACAGCGCCACTTCCGGCTTTTTTCATTTTTTTTTGCTTATGTGGTGCTGAGGAATCGAACCCAGGGCCTCAGGCATGCAAGGCAAGTGCTCTACCACTGAGCCATCTTCCCAGCCCCTACAATACATATTTTAAAAAGTAATGCTGCCATGCAGCAGTGGCTCACATCTGTAATCCTAGCTACAAAGGAGGCTGAGATCTGAATGTCACAGTTCAAAGCCAACCCAGGCAAGAAAGTCTGACACTTTTTTTTTTTGGTCAGTCCTGGGGCTTGAACTCTGGGCCTGAGCTCTGTCCCTCAGCTCTTCAGCTCAAGGCTAGCGCTCTACCACTTGAGCTACAGCACCACTTCTGGTTTTCTGGTGCTTTATTGGAGATAAGAGTTTCACGGACTTTCCTGCTCAGGCTGGCTTTGAACTGTGATCCTCAGATCTCAGCCTCCTGAGTAGCTAGGATTACAGGCGTGAGCCACTGGTGGCTAAATCTGACACTCTTATCTCCAATAAACCACTCAGAAAAATGCAAAAGTGGCACTGTGGCTCAAGAGCCACAGAGCACTAGCCTTGAGAACAGAGGCTCAGGGACAGCGCCCAGGCCCTGAGTTCAAGTCCCACAACTGACAACCAACAAAAAAAGTAATGCTGAAGTTGGGAAGCTGAAGACCTGAATTCTGCTGTGTAAATACTTAGTGCCTCAGCATGTGTGTATGTTCATCTGGAATTCACAGCTCCACCTGCCCCTATTTCATAAGGTGGTAAAAAGAGGCAAATCCTTCAAAGCATTTTAAAGAATGGTGGTTTGGGGGGCTGGGAATGTGGCTTAGTAGTATAGTGCTTGCCTATCATGCACGAAGTACTGAGTTCCATTCGTCAGTACCACACGGACAGAAAAAGCCGGCTATGGCTCAAGTGGTGGTGTGCTAGCCAAAGGAACTTAGGGACAGTGCCTGAGTTCAAGTCTCAGGACTGGGGGGAAAAAAGGGAATGATGACTTTATTACTGCTTATCTCTGGGCTGCATATTGTATTTTTTTTTCTTTTTCTTTTTGTCAGTCATGGGGCTTGAACTCTGGGCCTGGACACTGTCCCTCAGCTCTTCAACTCAAGGCTAGCACTCCACCATTTGAGCCACAGCACCACTTCCAGTTTCCTGGTGGTTTATCGGAGCTGAGAGTCTCATGGACTTTCCTGCCCGGGCTGGCTTTGAACCTCCATCCTCAGATCTCAGACTCCTGAGTAGCTGGGATTACAGGCGTGAGCCACGGGCGCCCGGCGCATACAGTATTCTTTACCTTTTTTTTTTTTTTTTTAACTCTCTTATGGAGGAGTTGCCCTTTAACAAAGCCGTGTGTGAATGCAGTGCGTTTACCTTTATTTTCTAAATTACTTCTAAGGACGCGTAGTGTTCTAGCCGTCATAGAATCATGTTAATAAAGGACAACAAAGAGGAATAAAGAGTATGAGGATTAAAGAAGGAAAGAAAAGCAAGCACGTGGAGCAAACATAAGAAGCGGAAACCATTTGCAGAAAGCAAGCGTCCCTAAGGCCCTCCCGGCCACCGTACTCTTCCGGTCTCAGAAGCTTTCCGGCGCGGAAGTCGTCACTTGGGCGGCGACGCGGCGACGGACGCCGTGCGGAGCGTCCTGCTGGCGGCCCATCATGGCGATGAGCAGCGGCGGCGGCGGCGGCGTCTCGGAGCAGGAAGATTCGGTGCTGTTCCGGCGTGGCACGGGCCAGGTGAGACCGGGGTCGGAGCAGCCTGGGACCGGGAGCCGCGTGCGCACTTCGGCCGCCTCCGGCCGGCGACAGCTGGCGGTTGGCTCTCTGGGAGGCTGCGGACCACATGTCCGCGCGTTTCCCGCCTCCCTGGAGCCGCGGCCTCGGCTCCTCGGGGTGAACTCGGGAGCCACGATGGCCTCGAACTGACGCCGTGCACGGCGCTCGATGTGCGCGCCCGTCTCTGCAGGTCGAGAGCCCGCCTAGCGGGAAGCCCGGCCAGGAGTCCGGTGAAGCGATCCTCGCGTAGGTTGCCGGTGTTGGCATTAGATTGAAAAGGTGGATTCTGCGCCTTCTTTATAATCAGCACTCGAGAGCGTACAGATGGGGGCTTTTCTTTTTGAATGCTTCCTCCAGGACCAGAACCCCATTCCCGGCCCTCTTGCTGCCCGGCCTTGCACGTTCAACCCAGTACTCACGAGCCACGCCCTCCAGCCTGGCTTTTTCCTGGTTATTTTGGAGATGGAGTCGAACAGATGTGTGTCTCCTCCCCCACCCGCCCCGGGCTGGCTTCTAACTGTGACCCACTGGATCTTAACATTCTGAGTAACTAGGATTACAGGAATGTTCCATCTCCCCCCCAGCTTGCATATGGATTCTCAAATGTCTCAGAAAAGACGAGAATAAATGTCAGGTTGTCTTGAAGACTTGGAAAGATGAGGTTTCTTTTACTGAGATATACTAATACAGAGAAGAAAGAGGACCTCAAATAGATCAGGTTCAGTAGAGGGAAGACTTGAGTTGTGCTTGGTAACTCAGGTTTGTAATCACTCCAAGCTAATTGGGAAGCTGTGCCCAGAGAACCGGGAAGTTAGACCGAACTGGGCCATAGAGCAACGACCCCAATATCTCGTATCCACATTAAAAAAAAAATCAACTTGGTCTTGGGAATCACGTGGTGAGTGTGAAAATCTGAATTTTAAAGTGTGAGAGAGAGTTCCTGGCAAAGTTATTTCAAGGCTGTTTTAAGTAGAAAGGAGAGCAGCACATTGAGAATTTGTCCCAAAGTATGTACAATGTATTCCACTCAAGCTCACCACCTCCCTCTCTCTTTTAACCCTTTTCCTAAAACAATTTCAACAGGTTTCATTGTCTTTTTTTTTTAAGGCACAAAGTATGTTTATTTGAAGGTGATAGAAAAGCCATGAAAGAATAGGAAGAACTTGCTCTTTCCTTTATCCTTCCCCTCTGTCTCTGTGCATAGGGGCTGGCAGTTGCTCTCACCCCAATAAACTCTTTTCTGCCTGGAAAAAAAAAAAAGAATAGGAAGAACTAGCAGAGTCCCCAGGTGGGGAGTCGGCCTCCCTGTCACCACATGAGCAAAATGGAGGTTTCTTTGTCTG